AATAGTGTGTAGCTTCAGGGCAAGGAGGATATTAAACTGCTGTGAAGACAATAATATTCCTGTAGTTTGCAGTACCACAGACACAGCGACTGAACAGTCAGGCCGGCATTCCAGGCTTCTAGGCGATCTGTCTACCTGTCCACGACCCATATCGCGTGTTGTTGTAGGCGAAAAAGGTTTACGTTCTTTCCTCGAACGACGTGGGTCCAGTATGCAGCTAAGATAGGCGAACGGCACGCACCGGCCGATGTCGAGAACCCGCTCCATACGTTGGCTTTGTTCGTTGTTCCAGTTCTGTATTGGAACGATGGATGGGCGTATACTGGACGTGGTTTATACAGCACGCTGTCTTGGTACGTGAGCGCTCTGAAACACGTTAGAGGCAGCTTGTTCCACAGACATGCTCTGTCGACGGTGACGTTGTTGTCGAATAAGCAAACAGTCGTCGCTCCTCATGACTACACGTGTCAGACACCCGACTATGCCCTCGTTGGGCTGCATGAGCCGCATCGTTTGGGCTGCTAAGCGGTCAGTGAGGCCGCTGAGTTGGAACCACGTAGCCGGCTAGACAAAGGTAGCATGACTCCCAGCGATGGCAGTACTGCTGCAGGATGATGAGGTGAATTTAATAGCAATGGCAACGGGCACTGTAGATGGAGTATAGTAGAGCGGCTTCCACATCACATCGCAGACATTACATCGCTGTCGTCATCATCAAGCATATCTACTATTGCTTCAGCCAGACTATGTCCGAGCCAGCACAATCGTTTTCTGCGCACTATTGTCTGGACTGGAGGGTTGGGCGCCGGCCTTGAAACACGAATTCCTACTATATCGATTTGACGTTAGAGACAAGACCGAAGCACGACACGACACAGCCGCCTAGTTAGAACCAAACCGTTTCGGCAGCCAGGGTTGACGCTTTTTCTGCTCTCCTGCCCTCCCCAAGACGTCGCCCGACTGTCCCGCCTGACCACAGTCTGCCGTGGATTTTGAGATTGTTGTTGTTTACCCATACGCCACTGGTTATAGCGTACCGTTTTTGTGCTTAGGCAACCTTGGACAGCAACCCATCTCCTGCCCTGCCCCGCGTTCTCCTAACATCTTCTCGCGCCCGCACCTGTGCTCCACCTCCAATCCTCCCTTCGCCCACACCGCACCGCACCTTGCTCGCGCACCTCGGAACCCTGGACTCGGCCATTCTCTAGCAGAAGGAGGCTCGAGTGCGGTTCCGTCAGCACCACCAGACTCATGCCGTTAGTCATAGCCCATCTCCCCCAACGTCGCGCCATGCCCCATGCTGCGTCGTCGCGGCGCTCCGCTGTAAAGTCGCGCGCAACACACAGCACCGCGCCGTCGAGCGTGTCCATTTCTCCTCCCCAGCGCCGCTATCATGTCAAGGGCGACACTAACGTGGCCATCAGACTCCGGAAGGGAATCACAGTCAATAACCACACGGGCGCCTTCGAAGACGACGACGACTTTACCGACGAGGACTCGGCCGGCATCCAGGTAGTCTCCGCCAGCGAGGACGAATACACCACCTCGGAGGCGACCGACGAGGAAGACGACGAAGAAGACGAAGAGGGCGAGGAAGACGACGACGACGACGAGGAAGACGAAGACGACGACGAGGAAGGCTCGTGGGACTACATAGAGGACGAAATCAACCCCTCCGACTCGGCCTCGCGTCCACAAGTCGTCAGCAAGCACCACTCGGCGCAGCGGCACGCTGTCTCGCATCACGCTGTTGCACGCCACGTTATTCCCCCACCTGCTATAGCCCCTCCACGTGGACCACGCACAAAGGCCTCGCACCGAGATCGAGCCTCTTCGCGTCACGCAGCGCCCGTCCCAGATCCTCCCTCGCGCCACGAGAGCCAAAGTCGTAGCCGCAGCCGCAGCAAACTGGAGCGCACACGCAGGTCGAGGCGGCCAAGGCCCCAATCCGTCCATCAGGACGCTCTCGAGGTCGAGGACGACGACTACCCATACGGAGCCCCGCCCCACCCTGGCCATCCTCCCGGCCATCCCAGTGCTGGCTGGGGCCACATACCCCAACATGCTCCCAACGGCTATGCGCCCAGCTTGATGTCGGATCCACGCTACCCCTACGGCGGCTTCCCGGGCGGCGCACAATCGCCCCCGGGTCAGCTGGTGCCCTTCGGTCAAGAGGCACACTCGGCCTATGCTCAGAACCCCTTTGCCCCTAACGGCCAGAATCCTTTTACTCAAGGTCCTCCTTCGGCTGGCGATCCACGCGGCGGTTACTTTCCCGATTACCAGGACCCGCGCCATCAAGACCCACGCCACCAAGATCCGCGTCAATCACGTAGGGGTCATCGTAAGTCCATGCCGGCGGCGCCCCAAGCAGACATGATGCCTTATTCACCAATGGGCTACTACCCACCATACGGTGCTTCGCCCTATGGTGGCATGCCACCGCACATGTATCCGTACGGACATCCAGAGCATCACTCTCCACCTCCACAACACCCGCCTTCGCACCCACCCTCGCATCCACCCTCGAAGCGTCCTACACCGAAGCCCCAGCCTCCGCCTGAAGAAGAACATCATGTCCCCGCTGCACCAGCTCCGCCTCCGCCCCCACCTCAGCCTCAGCCAGCCCAAACCCCTGCTGACCAGATGCAACTGCAGACGTTGCAGCAGCTTATGCAACAACAGCAGTTGCAACAGCAACCCATGCAACAGCAACTCATGCAGCAACCCATGCAACAGCAGCTCATGCAACAAATGCACCCTATGGCTATGATGGCTCAACCTCCCCCTCCGCCTCCCGCTCCCGCGCAACCTGATCCAAAGGAGGAGGGCATGCTCTCCAAGCTTGAGAAACTCTTATTGGGCAAGGAGGAAGAGGAGAGAAAGGCGGCCGAGAAAGCAAGAAGAGACGCTGAATTAGCCAAGTTCGATCGCCTCGAAAATCTGCTCATTGCCCAACAAGAGGCTAAAATCGAGAAAGAAAAGGCTAAGAAGGAGGCTGCCGAGAAGGCTGCTCAAGAAGCTGCCGAGGCAAAGAAGAGGGGTGATGAAGACAAGCTCGCCAAACTCGAAAGCCTCATCCTTGCTCAGAAAGACGAACAACTCAAGCGTGAGGCGGCTGCAGACGCGGCTCGAGCAGCCGACAAGGCAGCTGCAGATGCGGAGGCAACCAAGATTGCAGAAGAAAAGAAAGCCGCTGCCGAAAAAGCCAAGCTGATGCTCGAAGCAGCGCAAAAGGCACGTGAAGAAGCTGAGAAGAAAGCCGCCGCAGAAGCCGAGGAGACCAAGAAGGCCCATGAGAAGGCTTTGGCAGAAGCCAAGGCTGCTGCGGACGACCTGGAAAAGGGAAAGAAGGCTGCTGAAGAAGAGGCCGCCAAGTTGAAACCATCCGACGCTCCAAAGGCCCCAATCAAGTTCAAGGATGCTGTTGGTCGCAAGTTCAGCTTCCCGTGGGCTCTGTGTAAAACATGGAAGGTAAGTTGTCTGGGTAACAGGTCTCAATTTGGAGCTAACATTCGGTCAGGGCATGGAAGAACTCATCAAGCAAGCTTTTCTGCACGTCGATGTGATTGGCCCTCACGTTCATGAAGGCCACTACGACCTCGTCGGACCGGACGGCGAGATCATCCTCCCCCAGGTCTGGGAAACCATGATCCAACCAGACTGGGCCATTACTATGCATATGTGGCCAATGCCTGAACCCCCGCCACCACCACCGGAACCGCCCAAAGAAGCGTTTCCTCCACCACCGCCCCCTCCACCGGATGCGCAAGTGTTCCTGTCCAGCCACCTTCCGTTGAAAGGAAAGGGCAAGAGGGACAAGAGCCAGAAACGCCAATCCCTCCCTCAGGCACATATCGTGCAAGTGCCCCCTCCTCCTCCGGGTGTCATGCCTGGTCCTCCACCCCCACCGCCGCCTCCTGGACATCCTGCTGGTGGTTCCCCCCCTCCTGCAGTTGTCGTTATGCCCAGTGGCAGTGGCAGCTCCGGAAGTTCTCGCAAGAAGCCTGCGCCATCACCTTTCTTCAGATGGGCTGCTGGCACCCAAGTCAGGAAGAAGAAATAGGCTTGGTTGCAGAGAAACCAGAAATGGTCGACTGGATCCTCTGAGGCTGCTGCGGAGTTGAGCGTCAGTGATGCTAGTAGACTCCTTCACGTTTTTGAACAGTCATGCCCCGTCCCCGCTGCAGCGCTCTTCGGTTGGCCGCTTAAGCGCCGTCTCGATGCTTCTTTGTTTTTCGCGAGATATACCAGGTACTGTTGGGGAGTCGCGATACGCGCCTTGATCTTCTGTCATTTGTCACTTTTCTATTCGAGGCTTTTTGTTTTCGATTACAAGGAAAAGTTCAGATACCATGGTCGTTTTAGCGTCGTACGTTTCGTATTGCGTGTCGCTTTGGCCTCTGGACTACCCCTTCTGGTTTGGCGTCGGCGTTGCGCTTGATTTTGATTTAAGTATATGGCTGCGATGGTCAGTGAACGCACGGACTACCGACTTATGGGACAATCGTGTGGTTGGATTGATGAGAGTTGATGATAATACGAGTAACGAATCTGGACAATGAAAGGAATGTTTGTTGAAGCCATGTTGTATGTTGATTAAGAAATATGATACATATCCTAAAATGCCGATCAGCTTCCATCCGTTGCCCAGACATGCATTAGGATCTGGACAGGGGGTTGATGTCGCTAACTTCCCTTATCCACCTACGTCATAATCTTTGCGCCCTATCCAAGGAACAACACGATGACCGTTAACTTCGAGTCGCCGCTCCTGCAGTAGCTCAGAAACCGGATTTCGGCTTTCACTTACTACGAAACTGCTGTCGATATCTCATCAAACATTTACATGTTTTGCTTCTTATAACGTCGAAAAGTGTTTCAATACAGTCCACGCACGAGCTTTGTATCTTTCATCAGGACATTCACTACCCTTCGTATTCGAGTGGCCCAATATGTGGAAACCAAGCCCTTTTCTTGGCATGCTCGTCGCCCTCATCATGACCGTGTTGGCCGCAGCTGCTGACGAAGCAACGACATCATACACGAGTGACAGCTCTTTTCAGGACGACTTGATGAACGTCACTAATGAGTATCGTGTGCAACACAATGCATCAAAGCTTGAGTGGAACACGACGCTATCCGACTACGCTCAGGACTTGGCAGACGGTTGCAAATTTGAGCATAGCGTACGTTACACCACTTGATCCTAGGCCAGCACGCGCTGCTGAAACCCGGAATCGATGTCTCGCTTCCAAAGCGACAATACCCACAGATGGGAGAAGGATCAGCGGCTCGGGAACTACAATGACATGTCGACTGCGCTAATGCTAGAGACCGTGTAGGGCGGACCATACGGTGAGAATCTCGGTTCAGGATATGGCAGCGCAGAGCTTACCGTCATGGCATGGGGAAATGAGAGCACGAAGTACGATTTCAGGGCAGGGGAATTTAGGTTTGTTCAACTCTCTGTTTACGCCATGTATATACGTGCTTACTGACTTTACCAAGCGAGGAAACTGGCCACTTTACTCAACTTGTGTGGAAATCGACAACCTCAATGGGGTGCGGCCGCAAAGAATGTAATGGTGGTACCAGTGGTGGTGAGGGCGATGCTCCGGGGTGGTTTGTCGTCTGCGAGTACTGGCCTCGGGGAAATGTGGTTGGACAGTTTAAGGAGAATGTGCAGTCTACACCGCAACAGGATGCAGAGTCAAAAGCACCAAGCACAGCGATCGAGAAAGTACTGTATGTGTGGATCGGACTCGTCACTGGATGGATGGTCGCTGTATGGTTGTGAAGACGTAGCGAAAAATGATGTATCGTTTCTTTATATGCAACACCTTACTAGCGGATACGTGAAGACGGGACGGTTGGTGCCGGGCCAATAAAAACAACCAAAAGGCAACTGTGACAGTAAATTGTTCACAACACAACGGGCTATCACTTCATTGAATCGCTGCAGTCGCCCTATTCCTTCATTCATGTACTGCGCCGCGAAGTCCTTTGTCATATCGATCCTAGATGCATCCTGCTGCCAGCATGCCATCCCGAGAGTACCATGCATGATGTTGTGACCTACATGTAGTCTACCGTTAGGCGTAAACGTATCTTCATCACGTATTTGTAGATGATTCTATGTTTGCTTGAAATCTGATTGACGACCTACAAGTCATCTACATATGTTGATACAACCAGTACACAAGACGGGCACTGTCTCGAGGGTGTTTGCTTCACACTTTCCTACTCTAAGATAACACTCTACTTCCCAAAGATGGCTCGCATAATCGGCTCCACAACAACTCTGAATCCGATCGATCGTCGTACCTGCTTGAGATCTCATACTGCACCTAGGTCCAGTCGAAGACTTCGAAATCAACATGATACGCAACAGACCACAGACTCTACTACGGACAACGTCTCAATAGCCCAAAGTCCTCCTAGACGCAATGTCCAGCGGATGATCGAAGTTCGCATTTCCCGGAAGATCACCGTCCTGCCCGATCGACTGTTGGAGGAGCAACTGATGGTTCCACCTGCACCTATGTACCAGCAACTGGTTGATCTTCATAGATACCGGCTAGGGTCAGCGAGATTCAGACTGTCGCGGCAAATCAGAGATGGAGAGTGCTGGCGTGTGCTTCTCAACGACACTGAAGTTGTGGGCCCTCGCGGTTGTTGGGTAGCTCGAGGAACAACGAGCTGGCGATATCCTTTTGGAAGTGCCTAGACCATGTACCGGGTACACAACATCAATCGCAAGAACCTGAACCAGCATTTAGGGGAAATCTGCTATACACGCATGCTGCCATGAATGTTATGGGATTCAGATACGCGTTGAAGTTCACCACCATCGTCGGGGATGTGCCCCAACAGTTCGAAGTATCACATCTCTGCGGACACTCTCACTGCTATCGACCGTCCCATTTGGTGCTTGACTCACATCGAGTGAACCTGTTGAGATCACGATGCCGTGGCTGCGGTAAGGACAAGGAGGGGGCTGATTACAACCATTGTGTTCATGCCGACCTACCAGGATCGAGTGGACGACACTGCTTTGGACACGAACAATGTCCCGAATACTGCCCAGAGCGCTTGAAACAAAGGACTTCCGCAGCTAAAGAACAAGGAAATGGCTAGAGGACTGTTGAAAGTCATAGGTACACTCAATTCTGGGCTCTGGTATCACGACTGCTTACGGGCATTACTGCTTCGAACCTGGGGGATGAATACAGATTACCAAAGCGCACGAGGCTTGCGACGGGAAACAGGAGCGTTTGGAGGTAGGAAGGAATCGTCTGGTGAAGTGGGAAAAACAAGCGTTTCAAACGCTTGCAGCTCATGAAGCAAGGTATCATTGGTTCTAATAATGTATAAATTAGAGTCGTGTTTCAATCAGCTATAAGGCGAGCTGTGAGAATGAGTGACCCAGATAGTAGGACCTCATGCCCCACCAACATCCAACTCCGCCGTGAAGTCTTTCCGTATGGTAAGGTTCTCGTACTTCTCTTGATTCTCGATAACCAAACCTTGTTCGTTGGCTAGATGCAGCAAGCAGATGAAGCAATAACTCGTTGAGATATCGGCCATGGTTTGTTTCGGATACACAGCCTGTAAGCTGTTGACGACATCGGTAAAAGTCAATGAACCATCGACAGCTTTGTTTGCTGGATCGTCGGCGACGTTGGGTTGAGGAGGCCCAGAGATCTAATATTGGTCAGCTTGGATGCTATGTAAGAGTTGGTTCCATAACTTACGTCTTCGAATCCGATACCTTTCCATAGCTCGTCCTTCAATCTTTTCACGTCCACCTTCTTTGCGACTCTTGCGTACTGCACGTATTCGGGCCGGAATCGTCGGCTTTGTGTTACTAGCTGCGCACCAAACGCGTCAGTCTGCGAGCTAGGTAGCATGCCGTCTATTGGTAGTGTAGCTTCGGGTGCGTCAGGCGGCGGCGAAAAGTGGTCGCGAGCGTCTGCGAAAACGTCCTCATCGTCGATAGGCCCACCAGGCATTGGCAAACCATCATCTTGGAAGAAGTCGGCATCGTAATTGCCCTGTATGTCGTCACCCTCGCCTTCTTGACCTTGATCAGCCCAGTATGCTTCGTCGACGCGTGCTGGGTCTCCAGACTGTGCTTGTGCACGGCGTCCGCCCTTTCGGGAGTCCATACGTGCTTTGGGTTTCAAGAAGAGACGCAATAGCTGCTTCGAGTTGAAATGCTTGTCGTCTGGGAGAAGATTACGCGACTTGGACTTCCATTGCGCTTTTGGTAGAGATATAGTTGAATTGGATGTTGCAGGCGTGTAGAGCATATCAGCTAGTGTCTGAGCCATGGGTGCGGCGAAGTCAATCTCGAAGGGCTCCCTCTCTTTCCGTTTCGTTGCTGGTGTTGCCTTTGCAGAATGCTTGACTCGTGAGATACGCCAATGCTCAGGACCTGCCCAGCTCTTCTTAAGAGCTTGATCGAAGTAGGTCAGAATATTCTCCTGTTCTTGATCACGACCGTGCATCATAGAGACGCCATATTGAGCACCAGTGCCGAGTGCACCCTCGGCGCTGTCTGGCTCCTCATCCCCTTCAAGGCCCATAGTGTGAACGCGAGCCTGTGGATGTTGGATTACTTGACGAGCCCAGACCTCTCCGCCTTCGCCAAAGCCCGTTTCCGGAGGTAGGTCGAATCCGCCCATGTTCACGTCGTCGTCATCGTCGAAGCCCATAGGATTGTCGTCATCCAAAAAGAGGCCTGACCGGTTGCCCGCCTCGTCTTCTTCATCTTTGGCACCGTCTTCGTTGGCAGAGTCATCGGGGGCCTTGAGAAAGGGAAGATCCATGGAACCGTTTACATCACCAAGGTCGAACGTCTTCATCGAGGGGCACACGTCCTCCCGGTCGAGCTGGGATAGATCGGGAAAGTACCTGGCAGCCAGGCCAGATATATCGACATCGATAGCATCGGGCGTCTGGGACTGGTCTTGCTGCATATGGGCGTCTTCGGGCACTGGGGTAGCACGTGTGTCGTCGGCGGTCGCATCGTTTGCGTCGTCGCTGCTGTCAAAGACGATCCTGCCTCTTCCGTCTATGGCCAGGTGATTCAGGAGGAGACCTTTTGCTCCGCCCTCGTCAAAGTCGGCGGAGGCTTTTTTGAAGAGCGGATCTACTGAAAACTCGAGCTCCATCTTCTTGTTCTGTAGTTGTGCAAAGGAAGACGCGAGGGTAGCTTCGGCCGACCGGGCAGCCCTCTTCTTGCGCTTCTTCTGGCCACCCTCTCCATCCTCACCATCTTCGCCTTCGCCGTCGTCGTCGTCGTCGCCTCCATCAGCGTCATGACCGTCTCTCCGCTTCTTGCTGGCATTCTCTGCGAGTCCGCTAAGCAGCTTGCCCGTGTCGGTGGCCACGCTGTCGACCCTGCTGGTATAGATCTTGACGCAGCCATCGAGTGTGCAGCTCGCCTTCTGAAAGTTGACGCCGTCGCCTTCCTTGAGTAGAGACATTTCGTGAAAGTAATCGATGAGAGCGAAGTTCCACGAGTTGTTTGCGTTGATTTTCTGCCCGTCACGTCAGCCTCGACCTAGTGGGTGCAGCTGTGTATGCCTACGTTGTCCGTGGCCATCTTCATCCATTCCTCGAAGTTGGCCAGCAAGGGCATGACGCCGCGGTTTCCCGGCGTGACGGCGTTGCCAGTGATGTCTGGCATGTCGTCCTGGTCTTGCGAGGGCGTTTGGGGGCTGTCATGGTCGGCGCCATGCAACGTGCGTCGTCTTCCAGGCGTGGCAGTAGCCGTCGAGGCGCGCATCGAGTTGCGCTGGGCTTCTTGCTGTGCATGGCGGCGGATGGCCTTTTCCTGTCGGTCGTCGTTGAGCGGCACCTTGATGGGTGTCTTCTGCGGCGAGACGGCCGTGTTGTACTTGGTCGTGCGCGCCATGGTGGGTTGGGTTGTGGTGCTTGTGATGGCCCTGGCCGGAGCGTTGTTTGTTTGGGCGAATCCGCGCGGGGGTTAGCGCGCTACGACCATGACCTTCCGCATCAACGCGCTCCCGAGTGCAGACACCCACACTCGCAATATCACGGACGTCGGGCTATTTGCAACCCATGCAGCCACCATGGCAATGTACGCGACAGACGTCCAATTAAGCATAGTTTCCGCACCTAAACTCTCCTTCCCCACAATTCGTTTACTACTACCCTTGCTCCGATGTTAATACGCCGCCCCAACTATTAAACCTTCGTGTTTACTCGTGACACTCCATAGCGCGGCCTCCATTTTCCGTCAATGAGGGATGAGCGGACATCCTACTGGATATGTTAGCATGACGATGCTAGGCCTATTGGTCGCTCGACACTATATCTTAGACGTGCTTCCTCGACCCGCCATTCTTGACTGACATCTGCATTCTGATATCCCAACTTCGCCATGCGCCTTCTTAGTTTAGCAGGCCTTAGCTTGACCGCCTCAGTCGCGAGTGCGACACTTCAGATCGTCCCTGGTGCAACCTGGACAGCAGTGCGTTGCGTCGTGTCCCATCCGGTACGCTAACTGACGACATCGCTTCAGACAAACACAGGTCAGCACATTCAGGCTCACGGCGCCGGCATCATCAAGGATGGAGGAAAGTGGTATTGGTAGGAATGGTCTACGCATAGGCTCAAGCTCTCCCAGTCTGACACACCGATAGGGTTGGCGAAGACAAAACCAACGGAACAGCTTTCACAAACATCAACTGCTACTCGTCCACTAACCTCGTCGAATGGACTTATGAGGGTGCCCTGATCTCTCGTACTGCATCCGGCGATACAGGACCCAATCGTGTCATCGAGAGACCAAAGGTTATGCACAACAAGCAAACAGGCAAGTATGTTCTATGGATGCATATTGACAGCGCCGACTATGGTGAGGCCAAGATCGGTGTCGCTGTTGGAGACAGTGTCTGTGGAAAATACACGTATTTGCGAAGCGAGCGACCATTGGGTTTCGAGAGTAGAGATTCAGGCGTGTTCGTTGATGACGACGGCAAGGGTTATCTACTCACTGAAGACGTAGGCTTCTCTTGTTCAACCATCAGCACCCACATTACTGACAAGAATAGCGCAGCAACGGCTTACGTATCAACGCACTCTCCGATGACTATCTCAACATTACTAAAAATGTCTACGTCTGGAAAGAGAAATATGAGTCCCCAGCCGTCATCAAACACGAGGGTGTATACTTCATGTTCGCTTCACAGCTCACCGGATGGAACCCAAACGACAACTACTACAGTACATCAACGGCCCTTTCGGGACCATGGTCTTCGTGGAAAAAGTTTGCAGACTCAGGATCAAACACGTACGCTTCTCAAACAACCTTTGTATTGCCTGTTGGGAACGGATACGTATACATGGGCGATCGATGGCAGAGTGAGAACTTGATGAGAAGCACATACGTGTGGCTCCCACTTCAGATCTCCGGGACTACCGCCAGCATGAAGAACACAGTCAACTGGATTCTCGACCCCAACTCTGGGGCCACTACCTCCGGCCCCGAAGAAACCTCGTACGAAGGTGAAAGCGCAAACCTTGCTAACGGTGCCAAATCTCAGGCCTGCTCTTCCTGCTCAGGCTCCAAGGCAGCTGGGTACATTGGCGGCACCACGTCCGGCTCGGCCACATTTCCCAATATCCAGTCTTCAGCAACGACTCGCACGACGATGAGGATCAAGCATCTCAACGGTGACAAGAGTCAAAGGTATGCAAATATTAGTGTGAACGGGAAAACGCAGAAGCTAGCATTCCTGCCCCATGGAGGAGGGGATCCAGCCAGCTCGGTGATACACGTCGATTTGAAGCAGGGTACGAATGAAGTCAAGATCAGCGGTATTGATGGAGGTTGGGGACCAGACATCGACAGGATCTTCGTTCCAGTTAGGTGATTCATCAAGGCTTGAGATCCATGTTTCATACTGCCCAAAGCGTTAGGCTTGGTACAAGAGGGGAGAAGATTTGACCGTGGGCTCCGAAAAAGACAGTAGGAGATGCGTGGAGTACCTAGGTATGATCCCAAGCATGATAACTTGAATGGAGATTGGAAAATGTTTGAATTCGCAAGTTTCCATTTAAACTTGGTGATACGAGCTGACCTGCAGCTGCTGAACGAGCGAAGGTATATATATACAGCGTTTGCGTCATTGTTACGTTAGGTGAGATAGGGCCCGTGAAGCAACACAGGAGACTAAGAGATGAAATACTTTGCCTTCACGCTTCGAGCAGCAGCACCCTTAGCTGCCGCACCCTTGGCAGCAGCTCCAGCTCCAGCCGCCGCACCACCGGCTGCCATGTTGCTCATGACGAACTTGGCAGCCTCGTTCGCATTAGCACCATATGACAAGTGCGGCGCCAGGATGACAGCCTGGCCCGCACAGATAAGATCGCCAGTTGCGCAGATGATCTTGGTGTTTCCGGCCGCGACTTTACCGACAGGCTTGCCGTTGTTTGGGTCACCAAAGATGACAGCGCTGGACACAAAGGCCGAGTCCTGGGCACTAAGCATATCTGCTGCGTTATGAACGAGCTGTCCACCTTGTCTGGTTGTTCCGTTAGGCTTCATAGTCCTCAAATCCTGTTGGAATTGCTTGTTACTTACGAGTAGCCCGCCATAACCAGTGTAGTGTCTGGGCATTGCGCCCTGACCTGTCCAACCATCTGCGCCATGAGCTGACTGCCTCCTTTGTCACCACCAACAAGGAAGCCTGGAACATCTGCTGGGTACTGGATGCCTTGTACGGCGACGTTGGCAGCACCTCCCATCATGGCGCCGAGGGCCGTGACAAATGGCGGGCCCGCAATGCTGCCCATGTTGCCAAGTTCGGTTGTGCCACGGGCGAAAAGGACGGTCATTGGTTTGCAACCGCCGCCATTCTTCACGTCGTTCTGAGTGATCGAAGTAAGGGCGGCGAATGCGGTGGTTGGGAGGAGGAAGACGAGGGACTTCATGGCTGTAGAGGGTGTGGCTTGATTCCGTCAAGGAATTTGTATTAAGATATTACAAGTATGTGGTGAATGTAGATAAAACAAGTACGGGTATCTTGAGAAGTGAAGTAGAGATGGATGGGCTGCTGTTCATCTCATGAAGCGAATGACATGTCTTCTTATAATCTGGCCCAGCAGAATGCCATGGTCAACGCTGAACAATTAACCACCGCTTTTCAGGAGCTTGAACATGCGATGTACACATCTGTCATGTTTTCACTTGCTTTTCGAAAAGACATCAAACGTCATGCCAGACCACAAATAGTACGCATACTGGCGGTCAAGGGTGTCGTGCGACATATTCTACGAGCCCTTCCATGTCGAATCGAGGCCATCGGGAACGGGATTAGGGTTAGAGCTACAGCCTAGTAGCCGCTGTCCCGGTATACCTAGCAGGAACTGTGACAAAAACTGCCGAGGTCCACGGGTGATGCGCAGCATGGATACTCTAGATGACCGAGGCGGCGAGTTCCATCTGATGGGGCTGGGTGTGAGATGCTTGGCGTTGTTTCCTATCCCTGCGATTTGATGCTTCGCTGTCCGCGTGACTTGACGTCAATGCGGCTTCAGACTGAGCTCAGGACGTCCAACGTTGTAACCAGACTATGGGGAAACGGCGAGCCAATCGCATCCGACAAAGATGTTCGGCTAAAATCACGTCTCATGACTCTGAGTTCTGTCGCACCGTGTTCACATCCTGTGACTGTTTCAGCAGCCCGTTCCATCTCTTCAGATCCCGAATCGTCATGCGTTCCAGACTCAAGGCCAAGCTGCGTTCCAAACCTACGGTCGCACAGCTTCCCGGAAATACCGGATCGTCGCCAACATGGCTCGTTCAAAAGTCTTGGTGAGCTTGTCCATGCGACATGGTGTCTGCGAAAGCATCGTAGCTATCCAGATGCGGGCGAACGAGCACGCCTTGACATTTGTGCCGCCAACGTCACTGTGGGAAAACGCTTCTCAAGCTGATGCATCGCGCATACACGTCGGGATGATTCGAAAGGGCTACGCTGCAGAGACGCTGAAAGAACAAGAGAAAAGGGCTACGATGCAGAAACACTGGAATCGCGAGGAGAAAAGGGCGACGTTGGCTACTTTGGTATTTGGCACCACCCCGCCTTTGCCCCAAGAGGAAGGTACTAGCGACTTGTGCAATATCCCAGTCCATGATCTTTCATTGTATAACTAGCTCTAGCGCTGCGCAAGAAAGGTCTTCCAGTAAACAGTTTCAGAGTTCAGGTATCGTAAGTGGACGCACATCATGCCTCTTGAAGTCCATCGCATAACCTCTCCCACCGACTTTGACGAGTTCGTCGCCATACAGATTGCTGCCTTCGCCAACGGCGGGGGTATCACATCTCTGCTCACGCCAAATCCTATCACAGAGGAGTATGTCCAAAAGTCTGTCGGCAAGCACGTCAAGTCGTGGAGCGAAGAGAAAGATGTTATTTACCTCAAAGTCATTGACACCGATCTCGATGGGAAAATGATTGCAGTCGCCAAATGGCGCATCAACGAGCAGGAGCGAAGTGAAGAAGAAGCCAAGAAGATGTATCCGGTACCCGACGAGAAAGACAAAGGACAACAAGGCTTGCTGGACTTCATGGCCTTTCTTAGTCGAGTAAGGAAAGAATACATGGGAACAAAGCCTTTTTACTGTCAGTGCCCAGCCAAACATGTCGAGATGATCTGCTAACAAACACTAGTTTTACACATCCTCGCAACGCACCCAGACCATTATCGTAGGGGTGCAGGGGCCATGCTGCTCGATTGGGGTACCAGGCAAGCGGATCGCGCAAGACTACCTGCCTTCTTGGAATCGTCACCAATGGGCAAGCCGTTATATGAGAGAATGGGATTCCAAGCCAAGGAGGGTAAGTCGCGACAAATCAACTGCCTTCGGGACTGTCACTGACTTTGTGTTTTCGGCATTGCAGTGGTAACGTGGGATCTGACACACTATGGGTTAGAAGGTACAGATTACAGCACAGTGATGCTTCGGGAGCCCATTTCGTAGAAGTTTCTGGGTTTTGTAGCACGAACAATGCCAAGAAGGCAACAATCAGGTTTCTGACTGTGTCGACCGGTGATGCATCTCATGTCTTACTCACACCACCCGTTCTTTCCCAAACCTAACTTTCACATCCAAGCCTCTCTTGCTCAAGTCCTTCACTCTCCTTACAAACTCCAGTTCCTTTCCACTCTGTTCTAGCATTGGATTCCTCCCTATGTCCTCCAATACAAGTTCGTTCAAATCTTCCATTCTGTTCAGTGCTGCGAAAAAGTGCTCCACAGTATCTCGACTTTCTTTGCTCTCCAGAATGCTCATGGCTGGCTGCACAAGGGTGAGTGCCTTTATCTCGGAGGTAGCTGGTCCTGCGCAAGAAAAGAAGACAATCGCAGTCTGTAGGCCAAGGATCCGTATAGGGAACCTGGAGCACATATAGGAAAGGCATTCAGCCCGAATCTGGCGACTGACGCGAAAGAGAGGAAGGTTCAGCACCGACACGGCAAGATGCTCCGGTTTGGTGCAATTTACGATCACAATGGAAGACAACTCTGGGTAGATAGCCATGGCGTATATATGATTGCGTATCTCGCCTGGTAGTTCCAGAAACGCACAATCCGTCTTTTGGGGCTGCACAGAGTCAGCTGTCTGTTGTACCAAAGCGCTGGGTATTTTTTACGGGCGATGCTGACACGTTGCCGCTGGGTCGTTTGTGGCGCAACCATTTGATCATCATTGTTTCTATTGTATAGTCCTCCCTGGATGTAGTAAGACGAGGACGGATCGATGCAGCGCTCCTGATGATGGAAACGCGGGCGGGTAGCGCCTTAACCCCATCAGGATAGCTCACCTTGATAATCGTCTGGCGCCCAACACAGCTCTTTCATCATACCTGCAATATCGCGCAAGTGATTAACTATAATATACAATTCCATTGATCACGTTATATGAACACATTGTTGTGGTAGAAGAATCTAATTCAGACCCATGGCTTGCCTATGTATTGTACTATTACCCTTTCCACTCCAGCTGTGCCACATTCATGCATATGGCCACGAAAATCCAAAACAGACCTTGCAAAATATACTACGTTTACACGTTTGTCACCTTGTAATCTTTGGGGTCGCACTGATTGGGATGTCAGGTCGACCAGTCATTCTAATCCTCTCCCTTATCAACCTCTCCGTTCTGCTTAGTGACCGCACCAGGGTGGTAGGTCCTTCGACGTCACTTCTCCCAAGATCATCTCCCTCATTATCTCTCTTCGCATAAACTCGAATGGTATGTCCAAGTTTATGGCTTGGAGTCGGCGGCGCGAATGGAGGTGGGACGGAAGGGCTATGTATCGCCAAAAGCAACGAGTCAGCATTAGCGCTTGTCTTCAAGTGCCGATCTTGTTCAGCGTCAAGCCGGAGTGATTGTGCTGCTTGGCATGTGGGTGACTGTAGGGCGATTGAGCGACCATGGACTTGTTGATTCGCGAGCTTGGAATTATGGTTGTTACGGCGACGGTAATAGACTATCCCAAGTAAAGCTGCAATAATTGCGAGAATTACACCAGCTGCTGTAGCCAGGTATTTGCTGTTCTGATCAGACCTTGGAACCATCAGCCTATGGTTTGGAGGATAAAGGTCCCATACGTACCATTGGTAGTCACTCTTTGGGATACCCTGGCTTGTCTCAGTGCATGCAGGGGTCGCGACGGTTGGGTGATAGACCAGGCTGGATGCGACTGTCGTTCGTACAGCCGCTGAACTCATGGTCAACGTGGAGATGAACATGTTCGTCTTCGCTGGCTTTGGAGATGTACATATATTAACGTAGTAGCTGTGGATAATTTCATCGTCCTCTTCATTACATACATGTTGACAAACCACTCCACCCGTATGGAGGCTGCGCAGGTAATCGGACTGACACACGCAGTTTCTGTATGTGGACAGATCGGATATCGGAGCCGCTGGTGGAACACAGTTGCCTTCAGAGATCTCCAGGATACGGCATGACCTCGCACATGCTGGTAGTAGATCATAGTCAAAGAGACTTATGTCGTGATTCTTGCTCACTCTCGTGAAGCGATGCATGGTGAGTTGTTGGTTGATCAGTGACCAGGGTGTAAGCTTCCTAGAAAGGCGTTCCCAGTCGGAGACTGTGATAAACAGCGCGTTTCTGGAACGAACACGGTGCAACCTTTAAACAAGCTTCACTTGCTGCTGATTTCACGAGGTCTTATAAGGCACTCACGGCCGCCTCCGCCGCACTGCCGCAACCTTTGCTCTTTCTCTCTAGCTTCCATGTTTCCGCTTTAAGCACACATCTTGATTGACATGCGACTCTTCGAACAAGAACATCACAAACCCAGGTAGCAGTTGAAGAGAAGTAGTCGAGTGGGCGGAGAAAGACTCAAGTCTGGCAGGCGTTCTCAACGAGCATACTTGGAGGCGCAGCGAAGCCTTTGATAATGGCCTTGTTAGTGGCTCTCGCGGGGATGATGATGACGATGACGGATAGGGCCTCAGCGTGGAGAACGGTGTCAGAACTATGTTTGGTGTGCTTGAGGGCTTTGCTTCGCAGGAGTAATTCTTGGCAAGCATTTGCGGAGTTCTCGGGGGTGCCAAGATGACGTGGTGTTTGCATCGTTTGCATCCGCGCCAGAACTTTGGGGAAACAGCGACAGGGAGTCTGCCACCATTAGCACCATCACAATGCTCGCACGCACACATGTATCTCCCCGATTACTTTTGAGGGCGCTCGCACGGCCTCGTGCTACAACATGCTCTGTACTCCACCCTTTACCAGCGTGCCCTCGACGTGGAAAACGCACAAAAGCCAGCCGACCCGATGAGACGGAGAAGGATGCGACGACCGGATCCAGGTCTGCGATACGGGACAAGCTCAAAGGCACAAAATCCGTTTTCGAGAACGATGCGGAAACGGACAGGCTTATGCGCCCGCTGTCCGACGCCGAACTCGAACGTGACGATATGCCCGTCATCAACTGGTATGAGCAGGACTTGGACAAAGGCACGCCACAGCGTCTCGTTGAACGCTTAGCCACACCGGAAGATCGCAAGAAAGACAAAGAGATGTACATGATGATAGAGGAATCACAGAAGAACCCGGACTACGACGACGCAAGGCTGAACCGGCGACTGATCGACAGCTTACTGGCTAACCCAAACTTCGCCGAATTGACGGACGAGCTCAAGGATATCAAGGAAGGCATCAAGTCGAGGAAAGAGCTCCAGCAATTAGAAGAGCAGGCAGCCATCGAAGCAGGGAAGGAAAGCAAAGAGTTCAAGACTGGCCTACGGACGGCCACACTCCAAACTCTACAAGACATTGTCAGCGATCCGGATATCGGAGATGCGAAGGCTGACCTCCAAAAGTGCATCGACGAGATGCCAGATGTGGAGGAAATGGACAACCCCGATTATCAAGCCATGCTGAACAAGGCAATGGACAAGCTGGGGGCCAACGAAGCTATGCAGAAGAAGGTTGCTGCTATGAGCGAACATCTCGATAGCCCGAAATTAGAGACTGAATGGGAGGAGTACCAGAGAAACACAGAGGACGCTATCGCTGAAGCTGAGGCCCCAGATGACGATCTCACCATGACAACGCCCGAGGACCTGCAGGATGTGGATAAACTCCTACATCAGATGCGGGATATCATGAAGTCGCTGGGTGGCGACAGCGGCCTTGAGTCTGAACTTGATGCAGCCCTCAATGAAGACTCGTCGTCGAACCAAGATCAAGACGGTGTATTCGAACGTGAGATGGACCCGCAAGAATTAGCGGAGGAGATCATGAAGTTTGCCGAGTCGAAGGCATCGCAGCCCCAGCAGCTTGTGGAGGACGAGGAAGATGTTCCCGCCGAGCTACAAGCCAAAGTTGACGAAATCATGAAAGACCCCAAGTTGATGGAGAAGCTCATGTACATTCAAAAGCTCATCTCAGAAAACAAGCAACAGCAAGGTGATCTTACTACTATTGCGCACGATAGTGCACCTGATCCCTACCAACTCGAAGACGACCGCACTACTACGCTCAAAGAACGTATGGCTGCCGCCCTCCAGGATCCAGAACACTCTGCCGCCCTCCAACGACTCCGCGTTCATCTGCCCCCACCTTTTAACATCTCGCCCGCGCTGAAGTCTTTCAATCAAGCCATTGAATTCGCATACATCGGCGCAAATGACGACATCCGCCGGATTCTCTGGCGCTCGTACCAAAAAGCGCGATCTTTACCTACCTTTCTCCAAAATATCAGTGACGAGGCCTGGGATATACTGTATTACTCCCAGGCGGTCACATGGGGCAGCAACCAGAACCGTGAGAACCATCTCAGAACCTTGCTAGCAGATCTCAAGAGCCTAGGGCGAGACGGTCCACCCACACACCCTAGTTCACTTGTTAACGGGGGTGTTGAGCAGATGGACACATGAAATGCCAGAGATTTCATAACGATGTATTGCTGTACGATATGACGACATGTATATGATACCCTTTGAATACATAACACTCCAAAGGCACTTTTCCAGAGCCATTCTTCATCCAATCTGACATTGTATTTTGTACATAGTGCTAAGGGCCTACCTTCTTGCACCTATGGCATCGATGATATGCCAGGAGCTACTATAAGCCAATATCTGATCATCTCCAACTCACTGAGACCGTAGCTGTGACCGTTAACACTTCCGCCGACGCTGTTTCCGATTCTGACAGGTATGAGTGAGAAGGCGCAATTATCTCTTGCCTTGTTCATCGGTACTTCCCGTGAAAACTTGTGTGAAAAAAGAAACGGTGCTATACTACCTTTGCACAACTCTTGTCGATGGTACCAGTCACTCCGACACTATACGAACCTCTAAATCTCCATTCAACTGCTGCTAGCCCCTGCTCTCTCATACCAGCTCTCATGCGAGTAATCCTTCTTCGGTCCCTCAACCTCGTATCTGATCATGAATCGCTCAATCTTCGCACCGCGAAACTTGAACTCGCAGTGATTGCGGTACGTATCCGGATCACACCAATGATAACCTTTGGCCATCCATCCAGACTTGTTGTCAACTGGCGCGTAGAACCCCCACGTGTTGAACAGTGCTCCTACACTTTTGTTGTCATCTTTAGCAAACCATGCTGTGATCTCGTCGCGTATCTCATTGTATCGATAGATGTAACGGCGAGTCGCAGGAAAAGACAGGCCAGTATCCATGGTGAATGTGCCTTGTTCGACGTACAGGTATTCGGATATGTAAGTGGTTGGATCGGTAGATTGGCGTGGGTGGAAGTGTGCTGTGCCCACAAACACGCCGCCAGGTGTGTTGGTATGTGAGTCAATTTTGCGTGTCATGTTCCACACACCTTGCATACCTGTAAACACTGCGGCAGCAACGAACCGAGCATCTTCTTGGGAAGCCTGGAGTACCTTGGCAACGTCTTCGACTACTTCCTTCGCCTGGGCATTGGTACCTGCATGGTGATAGCGCGATGGAAAGGTAGGACCCGTTTGGCCGCCAAATAGCGAGTCGTCGCGCGAGGCGCCTGTTCCTCGTGCAAATTCTTCAATCAAACCAACGTAATCTGCCATCCAGAACTGAGGTACCTGTAGCGATTTCTGGTTCATCGCTTCTTGCATGCGTTTCGTGTCATCGTATCTGTGTAATTCGGACAATAAAGACGGCAGCTGCTCAGAATCCCGCTTGGCCCAGCTTTGAGCAAGAAGTCGAGCTTGCATCTCCATCACCCCCCAATAAGGACCCTCATAGAAGCCCACAAACCCAATTGTAGGGACTCGCTGAGAGAACACCGACCCACGGGAAAGGAGATATGGTATACGTGAATTTGGTGCGGTGCTATCGTCGGCAAGAAGGCCTCTGACGCAAGGGTCAAGCCAGTCCAGGTCGGCTTTGTAGCCGGTAGCTTCGATGATACCCACGACGTCGCAGATCTTGCTCTGGCTCTGTAAGCTATCAGTATCTTCGTCACTACTGAAATTAGGAGTAGTGTAGTTACCTTTGGCTCTTTCCCCGATCCATGATACCAGGGCTCGTACTGCTTCAGACCAATGTCTAGGGAGACACCGTCACTTGCCTGTGCAACACTGTCAACCCATCCTCTTACTGGTACAATAATGCCACTTCTCACAAACTCCATGTAAGTATCTGTAATGCCAGTATATCCGGGGTGCTGTGTCTGGCTTGGTGCGTATGCGAGCTCGGCGTGTCCCACGTCGCTCAAGTCGTATCCTATACTTGCTCTCAGGAATTCGTGTCCTTTATTCGCTTTTTCGGGTGGCACTGTAGAGATGGCTGCTGAAATCTCTCCATTGCCACGGCGCGAAAGATTGTAGAGAACCAGATCCAAGGGAAGGAATCTGGGTGCTGGGTTGAAGTTTCCGTCTTGGTCCTGAGGGTCTTGAGGAAGATGACGAGGAAGACAGTAGAAGGGACGGTTGATGATGTGAAAGACCCTGCTTTCGGCATGCGTAGATGTCTTCTCACTGGGTGCGTATTTCGCGTTCGAGATTTGGAAAGCAGCCTGTGCGGCAGCTTCTGAGCCGCTAATACCACCCCCGATCACGGCCACCTTTCCGGGAGAACTCGTCAACTCAGAGAGAGACCGAAATTTTGAGGAGTGCTGGATGTTTGGAAGACTTGTAGAAGGAGTAGGATCGAAGGTACCAGCTGGCTTGTTGAAGAAACCACTAGCCACAATCAATCGGTCAAACGTACGGGAGTCTAGCTGGCCGGTACCGTCGTCGCTGATAACTTTCCAGGTACGATCTTCTTGCAGGGATGCCTGGACAACCCGCTTCCCCAGGAGCAGATTATCAGTGATGCCAAAGCCTTTTGCGTATGCTTCAAGATATCGTCCCACTTGCCACGCTCTAGGGAACATGGGCGGAGCAGCTAGTGGATGCACAGCGGGTCTCGAGAGATCCAAGTCTACCGAAGTCCAAGGCAAATCGGAAAATGCAACTGTATATCTGCTCAAATTGGTCCGCATCTCTGGACTGCATTTGTCACTTGGTCCTCCATGTCCATCTCTCCACATGCCACCTACGCGGTCTGCTGCCTCATACACGGTAACCACATAGCCATGCTGTTTCAAAGTCCTCGCAGCAACTATCCCTGCAGGCCCAGCTCCTACAATGCAGACAGACTGTTCCTCTCTATGGGCAGTCATCGCCGGCTGAGCTGCGTGGCGGCGAAGCGGGGGAATGACCAACGGAGATATGGGCGGGTGCCAAGCACTCAAACACGAAGTGCGGCAGCGTAGAGCTTGGGGCAGCTTTGAGAGAATGATGATTAGCAGATCTGCAGAGAGAGTGAGGTGGTGTTGAGAAGTCCGATGCTAGCCTGTGATACGCTAGTGAGATGCCCCTCGGAGGATCAACCAATGAGAAAAAAGGTTCAGCGCAGGACATGATGGCAGATGCGGAAGGGCGATTTTGAAACAACGAAATCTATTCAGTGAGTACTCCAGAGTTGATCAGAGTCCCTTTCATGGTCTGGAACTGCGTCTTTCCATACTATGTAGGTGTTAGTGAGCGACTAGGTCATGTTGTGTGTGCTTTGAAAGCGGCGTACCGAAATCAGATACCGAATGTGACCCTGTATCGCGATTAACTTGGATATCGAAGGCGAAGGAGTGTAAGCGTACGAGATCGGTAACAGAGCGATGTTGTTCAAATTCTGATCTTGCGAATTGCCGCATGTCCTTCCGTGCTCCTACATCGGGTATGTTGGAGGTACTGCGGACTATGTCTCTCCACAATGCCAACACGCGTTGCCGCTGAATGAACTATATGACAATCAGCAGGCGTTGCATAGTGTAAGTCATGTGTTGGACAAACGTACGTGGTCCAGGCCCACAGGACTCTTTCCTCGTGCTCGTAGCCGGGACGGAGGCTTGGACGCTACCGTGGCATATCTTCGCAGCATTCCCTCGGTTGTATGTGGAACACTCGGATCAGCTGAATCTGACAATGCGGATGTGGACACGAAAGTAGTGGATGGTCGACTGGATGAGGCTCTTTACAGCGATGCAGGCTGACGTATCGAGACGAATAAGCTAGGCTATGATGATGCTAGTCATCCAAGGATGCGCGTGCAGGATCGGCGCCCCGAAACGACGTGCTCGAAAGGACACACAACTGGGATGAGTGACTACCGGCACTGATTCCAGAAATGGGCGTCGAGTGTACTCACGCCATGGACCCCGTGTCGCGTCTTCCCCACCAGACGCGACGCCCAACCACCAAGCCCACGCATCCGCAGTCAGCCCGATACCCACGTTAATCCGTCGCAAACAACGCGAGATTCACGACATGGCGCACGTCGTCGCACGCGTACAGGCAGTACAGACTCTGCTGCGAGAAGACGTATACCTGAGCGCATACGGCGCGCCGCATCTGCCATGTCCGCTGTCGTTCCAGTTTGTCCCGTCGGCTTTCGACCTCACCAAGGACGAGCTCGAAGCTTGCCTCAGCCTCGTCAACAAGACTTCGGGACACGACTACAAAGCATCAAGCGTTGGCTGGAACCCGCGCAAGAAGAGAGAGGAAATGCTCGACGGCGAGATGATGTATCTCCTGGTGCGTCGCCGCCCTATCGACACGGCTGGCCAGGGTAGCATGGAGGGCACCAGTAGCGACGACGGCATTCTTGGCTTCACCTCCTTCATGTTCACATACGACGATCCCCCGCACCAAGACCGCCAGGTCCTCTACATCTACGAGATCCATCTCGAGGAGCAGCTGCGCGGACAAGGCCTTGGACCCCGTCTTATCAAATTCATCGAGAACGCGGCACACGCATGCCAAATCAAAAAGACGATGCTTACCGTCTTCACCGCGAATAAGCGCGCAAAGAGAATGTACGAGAGCCTGGGCTACGCCAAGGATGAGTCTAGTCCAAACGATAGGGTTACGAGGAACAAGGTCATCAAGGCCGATTATCACATCATGAGCAAATCAATCGATTGAGGATATTCATTTAAAAAAAAAAAAAGTAAGAATGCTAGACAGTCTATACACAAAAGCCGAGTGCTGTGTGGTATCTTGGAACGCCAGATTGTGCAAACAAAATCATCATCCAACCAGTCAAACCCCCCTCTTCATTATCTTTCTGTTGTCTAACCTCTTACTTTCCGTTGTACCATTCATACACTATCCCCACAGGCCGCAGCACACGAAACGACCCCACTGATTTCGCTTTGTACCCTCTGGCTTCTTCCCACTCGTCTCTTCCTCCTCTTCGCCAACGACGCGAAGGAAGACTTCGTCCAGGGTGGTAGGCGAAACAGAGTAGTACTCCAAACCCAACTCATTGCGGTTGGTCTCCAGCAACTGGATAAGACCAGGAATGCCACCGAGGTCGGATGCTGAAGCAGCCGAAGATGTGGTGTTGACTTGATGAACCTCTGCTTCGGTAATCTTACCAGTTTTCGCATTTTCAGCATGTGCGGGCAATGCAGTGGATTCGGAAGAGGCGGCTTTGAGAACTTTGAATCGGAGTTGTCCGTGGCCTCCACCTCGCGAACCCCATTTGTCAAGTTGAACACCAGGAATCTTCCTCTGGACCCATTGCTTAACAGTCTCCATCTCTTCTTCCGTGGTTTCGGGCGCAGATTTGAGAACAAGCTGTACGACCCAAGCGTCGCCGTACTGCTCTCCTAGATCACTGACAGTACCCAGGGCAAGCATCTTGCGCTTCATGATACCAACGCGGGTGGCGAGTTTGTCTGCTTCTTCCATGGAGTGAGTAGTTATCAACAAGGCGCGACCAGGTGCCGCAACTCCGAGCAAGGTACGCCACATGACTCTTTTGGCAGCTGCATCCATACCAGAGGACGGCTCGTCCAGCAGTAGAACCGATGGGTTGCCCATCAAGGCGATGCCCAAGCTGAGCTTCCTCTTGTTGCCACCTGAGAGTTTGGATGCGAGACGGTCGTGGAAGCGCCCCAGACTGGTAGCTTGGAGAATTGCCTCGACACTGGCTTTGGGATCGGGCACGCCGCGAGCGCGAGCGTAAAAATAGAGATGTTCGGTTACCGTCATGGAATCCATGGCATCAAATTGCGGACATACACCGAGATGACCTCGTGCCGCTGCACGCTTGCTGATGATGGAGATGTCTTCGATCAGAACATCACCACCGCCGTTGATGTGTGTTGTAGGGTGTATGTCGCCACGGATGAGTGAAATGGTTGAAGACTTTCCCGCACCATTAGGGCCAAGGAGGGCAAAGACCTGACCTTGTGGGATACCAAAAGTGATGTCGTTGACAGCATGGTTAGACCCGAAAGTCTTCTGTAGATGCAGTGCGCGCAGACTGTCTTTGCTTTGCTCAGCGCGTGTGATTTCAGCAGCGACAGCAGCAGGGACGGTGTCCACCGTCTCCTCCGAATGCTGCTGACGACTCTTCTCGCGGTTAAGGAACGCTGGTCGGTATCCCGAATCCCACCATACGAGGGCAATGAAGAGTAGGATGATTTGCACGACGAGGTACAAGATAGGCCCTCCGTACACAGTCAAAGCACCGGGATAACTTGGAATTTGGTTTCCATCACACAATACGCTAAAGGAGTTTAGAGATAGCAACTGCGTCCTTAACAAGCTTGCTGATGGCGAGATCAGCGAAACGGTCCAGTGGAAGTACTCAATATAAGAGTCGATGGCGTAAGCGGGCGCGTAAGTCAGAATGGCCATGTAACCGATAAAGTAAATGAGATAAAGTGACACCATGCCACCAGCAGCAAAGGCAAAGGCTGCCAGTTGCGATGTAACGACGATGGATATCAAGTAGGCGAAAAGAGTTGCACAAAGACCATAGAGGAAGAAGACCACGAAAAGGTAGCCTGGTGCATACCATGCGTCGGAAGCCTACGGTATTGTCAGCTGCGAATGTTTATACAAAACGTAAGCAAGAACTTACTGCTACAAAGATACCTGTGGTGACAGCAGAGATCACAAGCACGAACAAGAAGTCGAACGCAGTATACGCCAGCCACAGTGGTACAGCCCGGATACCGTTGCTGTAGTGCAGCGCTCGCACGTTCCTCAGTCGCTCCTGTGTGGGGTATAAGGCAAACAGCGCAGGGTAGACGCACATGGCCAGACCGAAATACAGAATCAGCTGGAGTGTGTCGCCCATATTAGGAGCGAACGGCACAGCGAATTGCTGATACTGCGTTGAGATGGTGGTGTTCGTTAGGATGTTGTCAAGGGTATTTAATGTGACGAGGCCGCCGACGACACCGCCATTTGCAAGGTACGCCATGACTGGCGGACCATTCTCGTTCAAGAAGAAGCCGCCCGGTGTAATGTTGCGGAACCGTGTGTTGACGAAGTCATTGAACTGGTCAAGTGTGTCCACGACGTAGAAGCTGTCCTCGGGAATGCCTGTCCGTTGGATTATGGTATCAATAGCAGGGCCAACGGTACTCCTCGGACCGATGGGAATGAGAGGGATGTCGTCCACGTTGGAAAGTGAGAAGATGGTAGGGTCATTGGCGCTGGCTCCGGGGTCACAGCCCACAGCCTCGTAATCTTTCAAGAAGAGAGTGACCAAACCAGCGGCAACAATTGGGAGGAGCAGAGCAAAGATGTATGGCCAGAAGTTGCGCTTCACGATGGTCATACGCTTTTGTACGAGGATGAGCATCTGCTTGAACAGACCAGTACCACGGCCTTTGCCCATCTCCAATCTCTTGTCAGTATCAGAATTGTGGTCTGAAGGTACCTCTAGGTCTTTGTCTGATGCTGTTCTTCCAGTTTGTTCACCGTGATCGGCATCCATGAGGTTGTATTCCTTTACCTCCTCAGCGTTGGCAAGGAAGACATCTTCTAGTGTCGGGCCAACGATGTCGTAATTCTTAACCCCGTAATCTCTAAGAACATCGACGAATCTGGTAGCGGGCAGCGCGTTCTCGAACTGATACTGAACCATGCCCTCGGAGGGTGCAGGCTTCTTGATGGCGTCTACTGGAGGTTTGATCGGAGCGTCCTTAGGATACGTGACGTGATATCCGGCACCCACTTCATGCTTGAGCTGGACCGAAGTACCCTTGGTTTTGAGTACACCACGAGAGAGAATGGCAACGTAGTCAGCGAGAACATCTGCCTCGTCAAGGAAATGCGTGGTAAGCAGAAAGGTGCGGTCGCCACGCTCAGCAAGTAGAATTTCCCAGATCTTCCTTCGTGAAAGTGGATCCAAACCAGACGAAACCTCATCAACACAGCAGACCTTTGACCCTCCAGTGAACATCATAGCAAGCTGAAGCTTCCGTTTCTGGCCACCAGAGAGCGTGCTCGACTGCGCCTTGATTTTGTGTCCCAAATCACAAGCGCGGATAAGGTCTTCAATGGTCTCTTTTGTGTCATAAGTTCCAGTCGACTTGAGCTGATTGAAGATGCGGACATGCTCGTAGACATTTAACTCATCCCACATGACATTCTTTTGCGGGCACAGTCCAAGACCTCCAGTACCATCAATCTCAATGGCTCCACTGGTGATCGAGTTGAGACCAGCGATGGCATCCAGGGTGGTAGACTTTCCACTACCGTTGGCGCCCAGTAGGACCATGATCTGACCTTTACGCGCTTTCATGCTAAAATTATCCACGGCGATGACTGTCTCTGGAGCCTTTACTCCGAACTTGGTGAGAACATTTCTGCGGAACCAACTTGGAGTCCAATGCTTTGAAAAGTTTGTCAGAATAATGTTGTGATCCGGCGAGGAAGTCGTAGTCTTCCTGTCCGCCGACACGGTACCATACAGCCAGCGCTCGACAAGAGCTCCTAAGAAGGGGTATACGCTAGTTTGGATGATGGCGAAGATGCAAAACACGATGCCGGGGGTGGTCCAAATATGATCTTCATAATCCGGTGCGGCTCCTACAAGGTTCATACCAATAAGCTGTCTCTCAAAGCGGGCAACGCAAATAATGAAGAAGACGTAGTTGATGGATGGAAACAGCAAGCTCAGGACATATACAGCACCCGTGCTGAAGGGTCCAGCGACTTGCGCGATAATGGCCAGCAGGATGGGGACAATGACAATGGTGATACCAGATAGTTGGGCTTTGCGGAAAAAGGCGGCTCCGAAGATGGAGAAACTGGTCAAGGACAGGCCAGCGAGAATATGGAAGATTACCAATATGGCAGCATTGGATGTTTTGAAAGCCAATGCCCACACAATAGCTCCCATGATGACCCAGCCTGGAAAGTAAATGATATCAAATGCAATGTGCATTGACAAAAGGCGGGCAAACTGCGTATGCCATGCTTTTTTGGCGGGAGACATTGCTTCTACCAGCTGTGACATGCCACGTTCTCTTTCTTCTGCCATTTGGCCCGTTAGTTGGTAAGTCACACCGCATACACCAATGTACAGAGCGACGCCCATGATGTTGATGAGCGCACCCATGTACAGCGTCCTGATGCGATCGTCATATTCCTGCTGCGTACGCTCTGTGTATGGATACTCATCAATGTCGGGAACAGTCGCCGAGCCGTCAACGGCGGCGATGGCCTGGTCGATGGCGCGTTGGAAGGGCAAAATATAGATCTGAACGTCGTTGTCGTCCTGGTCCACGTAGATCTCCTCTCCCAGTGCTCCGTCCGATCTGATGGTGTAGTTCCAGCTCTGGCCTTGGCCTTGGCTCGGACTGGAATGGAAGGACACTGCACCATAACACGTACTGGCACCGCGCAAAGAGCTCTCGCACGTGGAGAGGAGTTGTACGTCTTGCTGGATTGTGATGGGTTGTAGGCCGGCATCACGGACCTGAGTCGAGAGTTGTGCAATGACCTGTTCGATATCGCCACCTGTGTATCCGTTGTCGACGAAGACGACTTTGTCGCGACCGCCCGTGGCAGCACTGAGCGCGTTGGGGAAGGAGCGTATGAGGGACGGGGTGCCGATGCCGTACTCGGAGGGTGGGACGAAGAAGTTCTTTGCGTAGGTAATGAAGAACATCTGCACACGCCTGGTCAGCCATGGCCCCGCCGTTGACATGTAGGTGAACGTACAAATATGATGGGAGCCCAGAAAGCGCGCACGCTCGTGAAGAACCAGTGGCGAACGAAGACAACGAGCAGCGTCTTCTTGGTGAGGATCCATGTCTGGCTCACGATTGCGCCTGCCATGGTCGCGGCCGTTGCCCGCGGTGGGCGCGCTGAGGGTGCAAGTCTAGGATCGAGTCGTTCACGTGGCGTCCAAGTCGTATGTCCTGAGTGTAACTACTTTGGGAGGATAAAGGCAACCAGAAAAAGACAAAAGAGCGATGTAGACAGGTAAAAAGAGGGTATTGGTTAGTACCTAGGTAGCGAACCATGGATGGCAAATACCTCATCAATGTCCTCCATCCGTACCCAGCGTATACGGCACGACGCCGAGCAGACGATGTCTTGTCGGACGTCTTCGACTACCGCATCCCCTGTCCATTCCCTCACGCCATGGTCCACATCGGGCGCTGGCGAGGCGCATGGCGGATTGATGTTGTGCCGGTGGGGCATAGGGGAACGAATGACACAGCATGGCGTTCAAAAGCCCTAAACTCCCTGCCAACGGCCCGGCTTACCTCACTCTGCTCCAAAGAGCTGGGGCAACGCCTGTCACGGAAAGCGCCAGATCTCACCTTTATTTCGACGTCCGTCATGGTCACGACCACGATTTCGCGTCGACATAGATCCTGGCCTGACTCGAAGCGCTGTCCGCTTCGCTTCTACAGGCCTACGCGAACATGCCTCGGCAACGACCTGATTTGCCCAGACAACGCCCAGTCGCCGAGTCCTAGTCATCATCGAATGCGTCTTCGGTGTCCTAGAGATCGCGATGCCGAAGAAAATGACAAGCCTCGCGTGCACACCCCTGCATCGCTGCGCCTCGCAGGCCTAATTCCCGTCGCGTCATCGATTCCAAGCTTCTGTGCGAAGCGCGAAGGCGATCATCCAATGAGCTGGGATCAGACGGGCCGACATGGCTTTCTTCTACCACAGACGTCTAGAAGCATTATGAAGAAACCTAACAGAAGCGTGTTTAGTTCATGTTTGCTCTTGGCGCACCATTCGAGTCGGCGCTTGCACTTTTCGTACTCCATAGTAACGAACAAGACCCTTCTTCGCCCTATATATTGCGAGTGACTACCCATAACACATGGCATACCCCGGAGTATCGTCGGTAGCGAATTACACAACCAACGACTACCCAGGTAGCGTTACAGGGTCTAACATAGAAGCACAAACGTCTTTGTTCTACGGACTGAAGGAATGAGGATTCTACTTATCCTTTGGATAGTGATATCTGTTCTTGGTAGCTGGGTGACGCTCAACTAGCTCCGGAGTGCGTCCAAGGATGGATTTGTCCAGCACGTGTGCTTCTTGCTTCTTCAGGAGGGTACTCTCAGCAGCTGGTCTTTTCCAGTGACTCTTGTATGCTTACACACGGTTCCTCTGTCGTTTCGGCTCGCCTGCCAATGTGCTTCAGCCCATCAAACGGATTCCTCCATGACCCGCCAGCAGAAGGACATGTTGTCCAACACAAAAGGAAAGCAAAGACGCGAAGCAACTGCGTTAGAACACACGAACGACATTCTACAACTACAGATAGTGTTGCGTCTGACCGGTGGTGACAGTGGAAGAGAGAAGAGGCGCTCGACGCTGACGCTGACGTTTGACAGATCGAAAGTTTGGCCGGCTCCCCTTCCCGTCCATGGCACAACGACTGCCTGCCTTGACAATGCCCTGCTCCGAGAGCATCGATGTCGACATCGACGACAGTAGCAGCGAACGCGCTGCTACATGACATACTGACTTGACGATCTTCTGATCGAGTGGGCTCTTGACTGGACAGTCTTTTGATTGAGTGGGCTCTTGACTTGACTGTGACGGTGGGAGTTGGGCGGTGGTTGGCATGGGCCGCCCTATCGCGAATCTCGCATCCAGGCAGTTGGTTGTTCCTTTGACTGAGTGGGCTCTTGACTTAGCGATGACGATGGCAATTGGTCTCTGGAAGATCCTAGAGCTGCTCCATTGAACTTTCTTGCTTGTCGAGTCGTTTGAGGGCGTTTCCGAGAAATGGTGACTTGTCCGTCATCTCCTGACTTACTGTTGGCGATAGTAGTCAGTTCTCTTAACTACTCGGGGTTCGTTTGATGGCCATGACAGCTCTTGAATGGATGGCACTTGATCTTTTAGATTTTAGAGTTGGGTCATTAAACTTCCTTGCACGTTCGAGTCGGTTGAGTACCCTTCCGCAATGTCATGAGTCGTCTGTCAGCTAACAGTCTGCAGAACCACTAACCATCATTCCCTACTATGTCGAACTGCACCCGTGTCGTGAGCTTGTCTGTCACTTCTAAGTAGACATGTCACAACAGTAGCACCATTGTCAATGGCAAGGTTAGTCACCGAGTGGGCCCCAGTTACTGTTGTACTAATAACATGCAGACGCTTAGACCATATCAAAGCAAACGACTACCACGCACTCACTTACCCCACGCTCATCGAAGACTCTTCCTTCTTAGCTGTGATTACTACTCGCTTACTTCTTACACTTATACGCTCGACCGCTCAATTACTCAATCTTTACTATATCGACCACCCGACTTACAATGCCTGGCCCTAGGCAACGCCACCAAAACAGTGAGTCGGGTAGAGCCAACCAACGTGCCCACGAAGAGCGTATCGCTCGTCGCGCAGCAGAACGTGAGGCAACACAACAAGTTCGCGGTCGCGGTCGCGGTCAGCAGCAAGAAGATCGCGGTCAGCGGCAGCAAGACATACCCTCAGGTCGAGGTCAAGATCATCAGCAGCAAGGCTATCTACAAGATCAGGGTCGCGGCCGGCAGCAGCGCGATCAAGGCCATCAGCAGCAGGGCTTTCAGCCAAGTCAAGGTCAAGGCCAGTATCCAGACTCAGGCTGTTCACAAGGTCAGGGCCAACAATTCCACATTAAACTGTCTAATGCATACTGACTTGGATAAAGCAGCACCTGATGTCACTCTTTCGCCTCGAAGTTCCCCACCATTTCCCTCGCCAGTAAATATCGGGCCTAGTGCTCCTGATCGATATCTATACCCCGGTACGCCTTTCCAGGTCCTAAATCCCAGCTACACGCAACGGCCGTTACCAGAGCCAGCCTCCGCTCCCCGTCAGCTACCCAAGACACCCCCACCGCCTGTAGTAGCATTTTCGCCGGGGACTGAAGCTGTAAGTAGATCCTTTGATGTACCTAAATGAGGGCTATACTCTCATTGGTCTATCTTCATAGGTGAATGACAGATCTTTAAATAGTAATTGTTTGGGAGGTCATGAGTGCCACAGACTTCGGAAAGCAATGGGATGTATATTTCTTATTTCATTGAATGGCAGTGTAATAAGGGAAGCCGTTCGGTATAGCATATGCAATACATTGGAGAACAGCAAAAGGGTAGAGGTTTTGAGACAAATGGAACTTTTATCGAACCTATTACAAGTCGTGTGTGCTGGCCCCAAAACGTGTTCCTTATGCTGCGTGAAGCCATGTCTTGAGAATGGGATCGTAAGTTTGCTGTGTAGTTGTGTACTCTAACGATATTGGTTAAGTGCTAGAATGGCAGCCATACTCTTGTGCGTAAAAAAACATGTTGTTCTGCGCCCAGAATATATATTTGCTCCATTTTTTGCGGCATATGATGTATTGACAAATGCTCACGGGCCAGAAACAGTAATGTACTTCGTGTTTGTACGACCAAAGTAGGCTTCCTCATCATCGTCTAGATTCCTTCCGGGCGTAATCATTCCCTCTGGCTCTTCGGCGTATGCCGTCGGATAAGCGCTGTCATCGAAGTCCTCTTCTACCGGAAATTCGTTTACGAGACTGGCCAACTCCCAATCGCCACTGATATAACTGTCCATACTGAAACGCTCCTTGCGGTATTCAGTCCAATCCGGTTCGTTGTTTACCTCCTCTTCTGCATCTTCTCCGGTCTCCCAAAGGTCTTGCTCAATTCCACTCAGAAAATCCCAAACATTCGCCAGTAGCTCCTCGTGTGGTAGAAAATAGCTCAGTGACTCGTTGTCCTGTCCTGTCCAGTCACTCCATGCTTCCAATATCTCCAGACGAGGAAAGTGCGCTGCAAGTGGTTGTGCCCATAACCGGACGAGCTCTTCTTCAACGAGTGGATCGACCACAGAGCTACATTGGGAATTTGATGAAACGGTGTACGCATCACTAACGATCGATAGGATTGACTGAGGACGTGCGAAGGCGACGTGCGTCAAGAACTGGAAGAGCGGACTATTCGAAGCTCCATTACCGGAGAGATCCTTTTGATCCACAGAAGCGCTTCTTTCGTGACCATCAAGTGTTATGGAAGGCGCTTGAAGTGCATCTTCAATTTGAGAATAATCGTCAAGCGCGGTTTCGAAGGCTTTCGGATGCGGAAGACCCCGTAGTGTCTGTAGATCCGGAAGATGGAGTGCAACTTTCATGCGCAAGGTTTCAAGCAGGGGACAGTATTTACCGAGGCTCGGTAGCGCGGTAGATTCCAGATCGATTGCACTTTGTGGATGAAGCTTCATGCTGAGGCTCAAAAGTTGCGGCAACTTCCTACAAAATGCTTCGAAGTGGAGGCTCGAAATCAAAGACCCATCTATTGCACTAGGTTCCGAGGCAAGAAGGTCGACATGTTCCAATTTGGGACAGCCATTGGCAAGGTTCACCAAAGCCTCACCGTGAAGGAGTGGATGTGATACGGCCGATGGAAAGTTCTGCGCGAGTGCGCCAACGTTGACTCGCATTGATCGAAGTTCACCGCATTGCGCCATCTGAGCTAGTATGAGATCAAGAACATTCAAATCCCAATCCTGCTGTGCTCGCTCTGGTATTCTAGCAATGTCTAGTTGTACTTGTTCTACAAGTGGGAGGTGAGGAAGAAGTGCAACGGCCAACTCAGGATAGCACTTGAGGTGGAGCTGCCTGAGCGAAGAGAAAGGGGAAACAAGCGCAACGGGACCCGATAAGTATGGCAATAGTTGCAGGCCAGGGTCGAGGTCGATGTGTAGAGTTTCCAGGCCTGGTCGGTTACTTAAATGTCTGAACAGCATATCCTTGCCGGAAAGGCTAGCGTTCATCAATCGCACGTTCGTGATGCTGGGCACGGAGTCGATCACATCTACCAGGTTTTGATAAGACACAGGATCTTCAGGACAGAAGACATCTGGACCAAAGGTAATGCTAGAGAGATTGGTACATGCGGAAAAGGCTGAAAGAACAGTGCCAGCGACGTAATGCGAATTACCAGATTGCGATCCAAGGAATTCCAGTTGTGTAAGGCCTGTGTGCAGCATAGTGTTGATTGCTTTTGAATGCGTCGCCCAGTCTATTTCCAGCTCCAGTATCTCGATTTTTGGCCAATATAAGCCTTCGAGGTATGCAAGATCTCCGCCACCGTCTGTAGGTCCCAATACGAACAGCCTCTCGACTTTGTTCGCATACCATTGTCTTCGGTCGAAGGTCATGTCCTGCAGAGCCGGAAGGTGCGGGTAGCGTCTCCACAGGATAGACGTACCCTCGTTTGCCCAGATTTTGTTGACCATGATTGAGGGTACCAACGTGGGCCGAAACTCGAGAAGTTCAACCGGCTGGTCGGGTCCCTGCTGTCTACGGTCCTTGTACTTCATGTCGGACAGAAAATGTAGAATCAGTCTCACGATACGAGGATCCGCGGCAGCCGTGGCTGCGGCAGCCATGATTGCGCGAAGACGAAGGAAAAGCAGCAAAAGAGCGACTCGAAGGAATGAAGTGACAGAGAAAAACGTGGGTGGAGAGAGCGCAAGGACAGTTACCTAGGGCGGCAGAGGCTGTGGGTAGACAGTCATCCTGCTTTGGACCTGGTCGCTTTTCTCGCAGCCGGGCAAAGCGAAATCCCGCCCGCTCGCCACGGCTGATCGCCAGGGGGCTGCGGAAGCCTGATAGCCTGTCATTACGCGTCTCTGCAAAAGCGATTGTGAACTGTATAATTCCCATGTCGATAGGAAGGCATGTTTGGGTTCCAATGGAGGGAGTTCTTGGGCGCCCTCTTCGTGAAGCTTGGAAGCCGCCAGCTTAGTCAACCTTGGAAGCGCGTTGGCCTTCCAGCGTGACGGGCCGGACGACCGCCGGAGCTGTGTTAACACCGCAGAGCTGCCCGGTCAAGTCTACTGATCGCATACAGACAGCGTTCGTGCAAAATGTGGCGCAGATGTCAATCTTGCACGGAGTTAACGCCGTTGCTATTGGGGGACATTACGCCCGTTAATCACAACTGACCATGATGGTAGCGCTTACGCTTGAGCACGCAGGCATATACAACAGACGACTCTGGAACCACGATTAGACAGCTAAACAGCACATCAAACGAAGAAGCGCAGTTGCCATGCATCTCATACTCACTGGAGCGACAGGGCTGGTCGGCACGTCGGTCCTCGACAATATGCTTGCACAGGAGAGCATTAGTCGTATCTCGATCCTGAGCAGACGGCCTGTCAAGATGGCCGATGGACATGCCAAGGCGAAAGTCATCATTCATACAGACTTCAACAACTACGACCAAGTCTTACTGGAAGATCTGAAGGATGCACAGGGTTGCGTGTGGGCCTTGGGCGAGTCACAGAATGCTGTCAGCAAGGAGTGAGCTGTTTTCTATAAACTGCTATAGAGGCCTTATGCTAACATGCTTGCTCAGGCAATATGTCGAGATAACGCACGACTATGCCATGGCTGCTGCGCGCGCCTTCTCTACCATGCACCCAGACTCACCCTTTACGTTTGTCCATGTCTCGGGCGAGGGCGCTACGCAAGCGCCAGGCACCTTCACACCGCTATACGGACGAGTCAAAGGACAGGTCGAGTCGGAGCTTCTCGACTTGGGCAAATCGAAGCCCATGTTCAGGGTGTACAACGTCAGGCCAGGGGGGGTGGACTGGACAAAGCATACGGCGATCCATCCGTTCATACCGCCGCAGGCTGCGTGGAAGAAGGCGATGATAGCGCCAATGAATCTAGTCTACAAGGCCATGATGACGCCAACGAAGGAGATGGGAGCCGTCATGACAGAGCTGGCCATGTCCCGGGGCGAAAGGTTAGAGGGCAAGGACATTGGCATGGAGGGGCGGCTGGTTTCCAATGTAGCCCTCAGACGTATGGCGGGGCTGTAGAGATGATGTTGGCTGATAGAGTGGTAGACACGATGAACTTGATATGCTTGATGCGACGGTACCTGAGCATCCGACTGTGCACGTGGGAACGCTGTCTGTGCGTGGGTGATGACGGCAGTGAGACCCTGGTTCGCCGGGTGGGGGCGCGTCCGAGGCCCAAGGAACGCGTCGCCGCATCTTTCTCCCCACAGCTCCCAGCCATCGCCTCATTTCTTTCTGGCGCGACTGCAAGTTCGACACGCCATATAATCAACCGTCCGCCTGCCTTCTCTGCTCGATTGTCTCTCCAGAAATCTTCTCTGCCATGGATTTCGACGAGGCGCCCCCGTCGTCACCACCGCTCGCGTGCACCACCATGGACCTCCCGCCCAACCCCTTCTTTGAGCGCAAATATACTGCCTTCACCACCAAGTCGAGCTCGCCGCCCCCCGTCTTTTCCAGCGATGACTCTCGCGAATCCGTCGATGTGACCAACTACGAATCCCCTCGTATCCACAAGAACAAACGCAAGGGCGCGTGGTGGGACAGTCGCGAGTCTGCCCACACGACCCCAGAGGTGAAGAAGACGAAATTCGAGCGCAATTTCGACTCTGGCATCTACATGCTCAGCGATGCCACCAACAGCTCCGAAGAACTACCTCCGCCCCAGTACATATCGCCTTACAACATGAGGAGCAAGATGCCGCTCAAGCGCGCCCCCAACCCAAATGCCTCTGATGATGAAGACATGAACATGGGCAGCACCAGTGCTCCAACAGCAGAGCAAGCCTTCGTCCAGCAGATGGACCATGGCATTGCGCGGAACCAGGAATCCTATGACTTTGATGGCCAGGGCCTCGAGGACAGCGACATTAGGCACATCGGCAACCTCAAAACCGTCATCAGCGACCCGCCCGTCCACGACACTGAGCTCCCCACGGCGGGGCAGTACCGATCTCTCCTCCCCAAACTCCAGATCCACCTCAGTAAGAACAAGCTCTGTCGACTGGTTCCATCTCTGTTCGACCTTGCAGATCTCACTGGTCTCTACCTGCGTCAGAATGAGATTGAAGAGCTTCCGCAACAAATCAGCCGTTTAACCAAACTCGAAACCTTGGACGTGTCTCTCAACAAGCTAAAGTACCTCCCCTTTGACGTCATCTCCCTTCTCTCTCCACATGGGAACATGACCCGCCTCACTTTCATGGGAAAAGATCTACTTCAGCCCATGTCTTCTCATAGATTCTCAGTCGCCGACTACCAGAAGCAAGAGCAAGCGTCTCTTCATCACACCGACTCGCTGCCACTCGATGAGGTGCGGGAAGACGCAAGCAGTCAACTTGCGCACTTGTACCAAACTCTGGCGACTTGCAAAGACCGCGACCAAGCAGTCTGGCGGATCCGCTATTTCGAGTCTTGGACAAACTCTTTCGGTGGCGGAGATGACACCTGGGAATGCAATGTTGAACAAGACGTTGGTTTCTATCCGCACCATCCCTCTTTGCCCTTGGATGTTATGAACGATAGCCAAGTGCTAGCCCACGCACCACGGTACATTGCCAGGACACTAGTGTCTTACTATGACCAGGGCGGCAACGTCCTCAAAGGATCTCCACGGCTTCCTTGTTCCAACGAAGAAGAATATCCCGTCATTGTCGAAACCAACCAAGGTACATACGGCGTTCCTTCTTCACCTTGGTTCACCCCTCCGTCTACAAGCAAAATGTCCTCCCTCGTCACAGCTAGCTTATACAGGGGGCTCAGATCTACGAACATCGGTACCATCCGTGCGTTCCTCGATTCGGATTTCCTCCCCGTCGTGGAAGCCATCCTCTCGCAAGCAGAGGAGAATGCCGCTGACGGGTATGGTTTGTTCCGCAGGTGCCATACCTGTCACAAGGAGTACATTGTGGCACGCGCCGAGTGGATTGAGTTTTGGAGTCGGGGAGGCGAATTCGTTCCATTGAAAGCCAGCGTGTGCTCCTGGGGCTGTGTACCTGTAAGCATGGTGCAGAGGCCGCAGAAAGAGTTGGCATGGTGAAGTCAGGAAGCAACTAGCGGACATGAAGAGCAGCACAGTGAGATGCACATGGTAGTTTGGGGTCAGCCGGCTGCACGACGGGTTTCACTTAGGCTGTTTCGATGATCCCGGCCCGTTCGTCACCTTGCCATCTTGACCATTCTAAGATGATGTAATCTGCCATACCCTCCGTCCACCTTCCATCGCCTTCTACTCCACTACCTTTCCTCCATACCCGTCTCGTCAGCCAGATTTGCGCGCTAATGCACTTTGCTTCTAAGCTCGATAGAGCAAAAGCAAAGATTCTGGACGCTGGGCGAGGTGCGCTAAGTCGCATCGGATTCTGGAAATTGTATTCGTGACCACAAGAGGGCAATCCATCATCTCTCCCCTCTCTCAAGCTGTATTCAACAGGGTCCATGTCATGTCGTGTGTGCTCATTGACCTGGCACGCGAACCCCGAGCTCGAGACCACGTCGCAAATAACTGGCATCCATATCCCAAGAACTCAATCTAGAACGTCCGGCGCATGAGTCCTTGGTATTTTCCTCTATAACTCCACATCCTACGAATAGATACGTCTACGCTGCGCTCGCACTCTCATCTGGTGGACTGGAATCAAAACAGAGTGGCCTGGTGGATGACAGAGACAGGTTGTGTTGATCGACGGCAAGAGAGGGAACTATCACTTTGAACGTGGGGCGGAGATCTCTGAGGCGGGGCGGTTTCCCATCCCCGAGGCTGTCTAAGATGCGGCATGTCTAAGTGGGGTCTACTCGAGCATGTCGTTTTGTACACTACGATCCGGTTGCCAATGGTGCCTAGTGACTGGTGATCCTTCGGTCAAAATCATGATCAAGAGGATAATAGGCTTTCAAGTTCGTTCTGAGTAGTAATTATCAACTCCACCATTTATGAGAAATTGACGCGAGAAGGCATGTCCGCGCTGCCGCCTCCTGTTGTAGTTAGGCCGCGTGCTAATCCTGACCGAGTTTAGATTGATTTGGTCGGAGAATTGCGATAACAACACGCCGTCTGAGTGGGCATCTTTCAGGTATCACCATTCTCTGTATCTCATATCCCGGACTCGTACGTGCACGTAAATGGGACTAGCCGCCTAGCCATTGCTTTGTCAAACATACACCATGGTTCCAAGCGTAATTGTCGCGTCTTCCAGTACCGCGCAGCACATCTACATATGCCCAGTCAATACAGTGCTGGATGCAAGACAACCGCAGATAGACATGTAATCCCGAAAATCTCTCCAAAGAGCTTAGTTTCCCCATACAGTGTGAATGAAGAAGCTTATCAGCTCTTGCAATCGCTTGCCATCCTGCTTATCGGCGCCTATCTTCAGCCCTCGTTCATACCCTTGCCGGTCTCGACTCAATCCGCCGAACCACCGTTCGCAACATGACGTGAGCGGCTGGAGAAGACCATATCGACGTTTCAGCTGGAGCCCATCTTGCCTGGCTTCGGTGCATTCGCGTTGACACTACGCACGTTAGGAGGACAAGCCTTCCTTGGGTTGCACGACTACCGGCCATGGCATGCTGACAAGGGTTGCTTGAGCCTACCGCATGGATTGCTCCTATCTCGGCTGCATGTACATAAACGGAGTTCTTAAGCCCTGTGTCGCCGCGCGTTGGATCCCTGACGTGCTTTGAGCATTCCACGACAGCGAAAACTGATCCTTAGTGCAGTGATTGACAACGCAGACATGTCTGAGAAGAAGGTCGAGGAGTCGACTGTCGGAGAACAGAATGTGGACTATGGCATCGGCAATGTGCGAAACTCGCACACGGCAAGTCGTAGAAAGAGTTCCGCTGTTGATCCGGCCATCATTGCAGGAGAGATCTTTGATGAGCGTTATGAGACCACGCATCGAGGTCTGAAGTCAAGGTAAGTTGCTGGCTGTTCCCCGTGTGGTGTGGGTTGGGGGGCTAATATAGAGCAGACATGCCCAAATGATTGCTTTGGGCGGCACAATAGGCACTGGTCTCTTTGTCGGCTCAGGCCAAACCCTCGCTCGCGGCGGTCCAGCCTTTATCCTATCCACCTATATCGCCATGTCCTTCTTGATCTTTTGCACTGTTGCAGGTATCATCGAAGTCGCCGCCTATCTCCCGACTCCTGGGTCTTCTATGAACCTCTTCGGATACCGCTATGTCTCCCGCTCAATGGGCTTTGGACTCGGATGGTTATACTTTTACTCTCTCGGGATCTTGGTACCCTACGAGATTACAGCGGCTGGATTGGTCATTGAGTATTGGAACCCACCCGTGAACATCGCAGTGTGGATCACGATAATGATCATTGTCATCGTCGGGCTAAATTGCTTCCCAGTCAAGTTTTACGGCGAGACGGAGTTTTGGTTCGCTGGAACAAAGGTTGTGATGATTTTGGGACTGCTTATCTTGTCTTTCATCCTATTCTGGGGCGGTGGTCCCAAGCACGACCGTCTCGGTTTCAGATACTGGAAGAACCCTGGCGCGGCAAATACATATCTAGAAGAGGGTAATGCGGGGCGGTTTGTGGCACTGCTATCTACCATGGTACTTTCTGCCGTAAGTGAACAGCTCCACAAGGTCTAGTTCAGCTTCACTAATCCCTGTTTAGTTCCCGTTTACATTTGCCCCCGAGCTTCTTGTAGCAACAGGTGGTGAGATGCAGTCACCGCGGCGGAACCTGCCTACTGCTGCACGCCGATATATCTACCGTCTTCTTTTCTTCTACGTCGGCAGTGTGCTTGCAATCGGTGTTATCTGTCCCTCAAATGATCCCATTATCACCTCTGGGGGATCTGGTGCCGGTTCGTCACCATTCGTCGCAGGCATCAAGAACGCCGGTATTCCGTAAGTGGCCCTGTACGAACTGATTGTGGGCCGTTCACTGACCTCGTATACACGCATCTAGGGTACTCGACAGCGTTATCAACGCCGGTATCATCATAAGTGCTTGGTCATCAGGAAACTCCTTCCTCTTCCTCTCCTCGCGCTCCCTATATGCGCTTGCGCTTTCTGGTAACGCGCCCTCCATCTTCAAATCATGCACTAAGTCTGGTGTGCCATACTGGGCTGTTACAGCGTCTTCACTCTTCTGTGCCCTAGCATACCTGAACGTAGGCAGCGAGAGCGCCGTCGTCTTTAACTGGTTCGTCAACTTGACAAACACGTCTGGCTTCATCTCGTGGATCTGCTGCGGCATCATCTTTTTGCGTTTCCGGAAAGCTTGTGAAGCGCAAAATATCACCGACCTGCCATATCGTTCACCAGTCAACAAGTGGGGAGCTTGGTGCGTTATCGTTAGCTTCACCTTCCTGTGTTTGATCAATGGATTTGATGTCTTCTGGCCTGAGAAGTGGGACGTCAGCTCTTTCTTCACTGCATACGTTGGTATTCCCATGTTCTTTTTATTCTATGGAGGACACCGGATCTGGGCCTGGAGCGATACCTGGGCTTATGATCCAGCGGAGGTGGACATGAAGACAGGCTTGGATCAGGTTCTCGCTGAGGAAGTACCAGCAAGAACAGTGAAAGGGCCGTGGTGGAAGAAGATTACATTGATCTGGCAGTAGAAAGGAAAGAGGGTTGATGAAGCTGTGAAGCAAAAGTAGGCAATTCTCAATCACCAAGGATGTTCAACAAATATTTATTACTCCATACTACTCACACCTTATGCATTTCTTTCTGATCTACAGGTAATTCCGCTCATCCTGTTCTCATAATTGAGTACATTTGAGGGGTGTTGACCGGTCTTTATCAATTTGTCTCGTATTACTGGTCGAGGGAGTTGCAAGTCATAGCCCTGGATTTCTCAAGACTTCGAAACTGTAGGAGTTCGGAAATGGAGGGCGGCACCTTGGAGGAGGGGTTTCGTCTAGTACCGAGTGGGACTAGTGTCTAAGAGTGGTGCGTCATATCTAGGTGGCTGGACAACTGATTGCGAAAGCCCAACATGAACCCACGAACACGCCCGCCATGGCATCATCACATTTGCACTAAGGTTACCAGGCCCTGGACTGATTCAAAATACTTTCGCGTTACCGAACGCACTAAAGGCTTAGTCCTCCTCATCTTCCTTCTTCCGTTGACGGTTCAGCTCATCAATGACCTTTTTGCCGCATGCCAGAATCTCCAGTGTTCGACTCTTATTATCGTGATCCCTCGTCTCCGGGACCAAGAAATATGTCGTCACAGCACCCGCTACCATGAACGCGCTCATGACTTGTAAGATGTGCCCGAAGTTCTGTCGTTCCCATCTGAAATCGTCCTGGTTTTTAGACTTGTCGGATTGGAAAGCATACGCCAGAAAGATCTGCACTACCCAAGACCCGAGTTTTCCACTAGCAGCAGCTATCCCGTGGCAGGTACACCGATATCTTGTCGGAAAGATCTCAGCAGGAATGATGAATGTCGTCACATTCGGCCCTAGGTTGAAGGCGATGTGACTGATCACATACAGTACCATCAGTCCTGATCGACTGCTGTCGAGCAAGTTCGTCCAAGCGCTCCCGGTTACGATGAAGAGTACGAACAGAACCAGGAACCCCCAGAACTGGATCACTTTCGGTGACACATACTTGACGATCTTGATCATCAGCAGACCACCCACAACTGTCCCTGTGGAAACCATAACCAGGGTATATTTGCTGTTATCGCTCAGTGTCTGGTACACAGATGACTCATTTTTGATACCACCCGGCCAGATGTGTCTGACAATCTCTGGTGAGGATAGACCCAGCCCATAGACTGCCTCAAAGTCAGTAAGTCTGTCGCAGCGGCTTAGTGGTCTACTCACATGCGAAATCGAGAAACAGCCAAGCCAACGAGGTTCCCAGTAGGTACTGCCAATTCTTCTCGGCAATAAAAAACTGTTTTGCATCGGTCCATGAGGCGAGTGGAGGGGAAAACTCTGGATCTCCTGGAGAAAGCTGGACCTGCGGTGCTGCAGTGGTACGAAGATGCACGTTACTGAGTCGGTGCTCGGATTCACTGTCGCTCTCAACCTCCTCGTCAGGTGCAATCACTGAAGAAGTAGTTGAATGCCTCGAAGCAGGCCTTCGGCTCTCCGATGAAGCAGGCACATTCAATAATTCGACCTCGCCATGTTCAGGGTTCGCTTCGGGCGCGCCGAAAAAGTTCGCGGTGTCCTCGAGAGTACCTTTCGTGTTTTGCAAGATGTCCAGTGTGTACCTCGGGCTCTCTGGGATTGTAAATCGAAATACGAGAGCAATGAGAGCCGGCACAACGCCAATGCCGATGACAAGTCTCCACAGCCGATCGATAGCTCGAAAACACTCCAGGTCGGTAGGTTGACAAGATCCTACATTATTCTTGATCCAGGGCTTGTACGCTTCTACTGCAGCAAGCGACAGGACATTGGCGAGTAGTTGTCCAACAGGTTGAGCAAAGAAAACCCAGCTCAGCATGCGCGCACGGTGCTTGCGAGGAGCGAACTCCGCAGTGATAACCTATTTCACGATCAGTAAAGCGACGAGCACGCTCGATATCGATACATACAGCACTCAAAGGGTAGTCAGCCCCGATACCAATGCCTCCGTAATGTCAGTACTATCAAGAATCCATGAGCCAGGTCACTCTTTCTTACCCATAATCGCTCGCCAGGTGATTAGCCACCCTCCAATCGCCATGCTATTCTTTTCTCCGTTCGAACTCATGAGTAGCAACATTGTACCGACGATAATGATTACCAACTCGAGCCCATACATCTTGCGTCGGCCCAGAAGATCTGCTGCGAAGCCGAATCCTATCTGACCTACCATTGTACCCGCAAGTGTTGAACACATCATGGCCGTCTTGACCGAGGACGGCACCGAGGGTATACCACCTTCGTCGTGGTTAGGCCAGTAGACGTAACCTAACATAGGAGTAACGACATTCAAGGCGAAGAGTCCGAACGCATCTGTTAGGAAGCCGATGCCAGCGACTACCACTACCCAGACCTGGAAGGGTGCTGAATCGATTGTTGCGAGCGTCCATCGCCGACGCCTTATCTCCTGTCACTAAGATCAGCAAGACACCTACAAGCAGTGAACTCATTGCGTGTGAACAGGAATAACCCACAGGAATGCCGCTCCCGCCTGCGGTCAAGTCCTCTATCCCGATATGGTGGCCCTTGATTGGTCGTGTGATCCAGTTCCGAAGACCCATCGTCGCGTTAATGATGAACCTCTTTTACAACAGGTAGTCGCACCCCAACGCGTATGCTTTGGCAAAATCTCTTTGTGTTGCGTCGTTTGTTGTACACAATCCTCTCGGGGCAGCGCAGTTCATATTGAGGGCGTACGAAGCTTCAGCCTCCACTACGATGCGCATCACCGAAGCCACTCTTAGAAACTCATGCACAGCCCGAGGCGACACAATAAACCGGTCAACAAAAGGGGGTGCATTGGAATTGGCGCTACTCATGGGTTCTTCCTCATCGTGTCCAATCTTGTTCTCTTCGCCGAAGTCAGACTTGGTGGCGTTTGTTGCTGCAGAAAAACCGCAGCATAGCCCTGACATGTCAACCTTACAGGTCATCTGAGATTACCATTGATGGCTAACTGAGGATGTCATCTGCGACTCGTCATGTCTAGGGCGGGTGCCAGCGCAAGAATGAACACAGTTGCGGTGGACAGTGTGGACTTTGGACTTGTCAGAATGTCTGTAAGATGGAATCATGATATTGCCTTCAATATTTTGAGTGGAAGCCGCGCGGTCCTGGATGATGATGGTTGGCTAATCTGGGTATCTGGTAGTTGACGATGGCCGTTCGCCTCCCCACGTGGTGATCTTCGCATCCTCATTGAACGTCAAAAGCCGCCATACCGGTTTCGGTGAACCATCCTGATACCGCCACATGCACGAATACGAGCTGTATGCCGCTCTTGAATAAGATCACGGCTGCAAGTAGTGCTTCCGACGTTGGAAGGCTTGAGAAATGCGCGTGCCTGGGCTCTAGTAGCATGTCAGATAATATGCTAAGCCACTCCAGATGTCGCAGCGGTCTGCCTTTGGGTTAGCCAAGTTATGCACATGTCGGGAAGCTGGATGTAAGCTTGGAAGATTCTTCTACAACCCCGTTTGCGTCTCTCAGAGGCTTGAACTTCTCTTGACTGTTGCCTCCACTGTGTACTAGCAGTTCCACAACGCATGGTCAGTCACTAAACATCCTGTGTTGCGCTTGAGCGCGGCGCAAGCGAACCGAAATGTCTTTTGGATGTAGTCCATCCGATGTGTTGAAGCTGTTGGAGATCTCGACTCGTGTATACCTTGCTTTCAAAGGTATGTTCAGCTACCACCCTGCATCAGTATCTTCCAGGGATCAGCTTGCTAATCCCTACATTCAGATGCGAATGAGAACTCAGAAGCTCAAGTTAGTGGGCTTGTGAAAGAGTTCACCACCTTCCATACTTGTCTCAAACAGCTAGGCGAATTGATGAAACAATATGGCCAAACAATGCCATTTCCCGTCAAAGATTTCGAAGACACGCTGAAGAAGTGTGAAAAGACCCTGGAACCATACGCTGATCATCTCGTCGATAGGAAGATGTCTGTTAAGAAGTTCATCTTCACTATCCGCTATATAGGGATGGAAAAAGAAATCGATGGACTGAGAAAACAGATCAGCGGTCACTATCAAGCTCTCAACATGTGCATCTCATTTCTCCAGTTGTAAGCGTCATGCGCACTCAGCGCTTAGGATTTAGTCGCTGACCGCCACTAGACGGCTTCATCTCGAAGCAACAAAGCAAACTCAGCGCCTTCTCGATGCCGCGCCATCTCGTACAGTAAACATGGGTCGCCGCTCATACTCCACTCACAGTCTTGGAATTTCCAGCAACCATACGCCATTAGCGCTTGCGCCTCCTGACGAACACCCATTGTTCAGCGAATGGAAGATTTTTGATAGATGGCTACAAAGCGAGGATGAACGCATAGCTCAAGAAGCGGGATCGTCACGGCCCCTATCGCTAGGCGACATACCCGCTTCTGTACCGAGTGGCGATGTTCAAACCGCTGCAGTACTGTATCAACTTAGGCGACAGGTTGACGATGCGATACTCATTGAAGAAAATCGCGCGAAGCGGGCTACTGCCGAGAAACGAACACACCTGGTCCCGAGCGATACGATGAAGCAGGAGGTCCGCGATATGCCACCAGCACCACCGCGAGTGTATACCCTCAAGACAGACCATTCTGGTGACTTTACGGAGTCTGGCCAAGAACTGATGAGTGACTCGACAGCCACCATCCGTCCCAGCTTGAGCATACGACCATCATCCCCAGATTATTTTGGCTCGTTCAACTGGACACAGTCGCCAACATCAAAGTCTCTTTGTTCGGGCCGAACTGCCTCTATGTCTACAACAAGAAGTAGCGAATGCTATTCAGCAGGTACTACCCCAGAAAAGTCGCTATCTCCCACGCTGCAACGCAGTCTTTCGCGCACATCGCTGGCCACCATGGCATTAGGTGACGCTGCACTCGATTGGAAGCGCGTCTGTCGCAATGTGCAGGTTGAACGAAAGTCTTTAAAGTACGGGCCCGAGAACCGTGAATGCGACGTTCGGTGGCGATATCGAGAAGATACTGGCATCTCGCTGCGAGCAGTATATTACTCTAGCCAAGATGGAAAACTACGCACTTGGACTGAACAGCATTTCCCTGCCACCGGTCCATCGATACCATTGACTACCACATACGCTGACGGTGCAGTGTCTATTGATTTTCCACGTGGTTCGTTCGGAAGACTATACAAACAGTACATTGACATTAAATACACATTTGTTGGTCACGAATCAGCGGACAAGTTCCAAACCTTATTATACACCAACAACGGCGTCGATCCTGCCGAACTTAAATTCGATCGACCTATCCTGGCTATATCGTCAAACAAAAATCCAACTGAATGTCGTAACAAGAATCTGCGATTATGGCGGCGCGTTGAGACGCAGCTGGTAGATGGCGAGCTCATCACATCCGAGGTTCTGGTTTTGCTATTCTACACAAGCGCGTTAGAAGAAGAGAAAGGTCACTGGGTCGAGGAGCCACATTACGCGTTCGAGTGGCTTGCAGATTCTATCTACAAGAAAGAAAGCGACAAGCTTACTCTTGTCTTTTCAAAAGACCCATCGCGTTGGGCGACCGATAAGCTGCTCAAACGCCGCAAATCATCGACCCGGTCCGAGTCCGAGCCTGTGAACTCTTCTCTCTTCGAAAGGAAACGAAACGACTCTATGGAGATGCCAGAATTGGCGCGATCAGAAAGTAGGGCCTCAGGGTCACTGAACGGCTCGCTCCAGTCGCCGAGGAGCATATTTGGAAATGGCAGTGGATTTTCGAGAGCGGGCAACTTAAATCGGTTTGGGTATTCGGAATTGGACATCAAGTTTCAAAGCAAGAAGGATAGAAGGGCATTTCTAGATGTCTGGAAGCAACACGTGAAGCCGTTGGTTGCGGCTTCATGATCCCACGTCACAGAAAGGGAGACATTACCGGGGTGTACTGTACTATGGAGGAAGAAGAAGAAGAAGAAGAAGAAGCACAGCGCATGATCAGGCTGGCGAGAACGACGGTGTTGGCTGCCAATATAGGCTAATATACGCAAAACACGTTGATACCAATAGCTGGATGATAATGAGTGAAAGTCTTTCTATGAAGCCTTTTGTAGCAGTTCCGTTAAATGTCACATTATTTTGTTTGTCTATGGGGTACTTGGACAACCTCGTGAAATAAAATGAGTTTGAGTATAGAGGAACAATGCTCTACCCGATCTCACCCATGGTGGCTGATAAGAAGACAGGATCCGTAAAGTTCTTTTCGCTGCGCGCTCATCGTACCCAAAACGACGCTTTGCGCTACATTATGCAAGGAGAAAGATTGCGTTTCGGTTTTTCGTCTGTTTCAAATGATGCAGCATTAAAAAGATCGCGACTAGATGAAAAACCTGAAGTTTCTTTTTTGTTTAAAGACATCAATACAGACAGTTGGAATTATGTCTCATTTTTCTACTTCTATTCTGTATATCTTCGGCATCGATCTAAAGTAGGAATAGCTGGCGACCATCCCGGTAGGAGTGCGCACGATACCTGAACACATCGTTAGTGCGGGATAGACCTCGTCATGACCCATACGCTGCATGCGTGTTACGTGTTCACCTCCTTGGCAATCAGAGGCGTAGAATCGCATGTGATTTAGTACACCTGAAGCCATTGCCAGCATTTGGCGTAGTGCCTGTTGGAAACGAGACCTACTCAATGTTGAGGACGAAAGGTTGTAAAGCCAGGGCCTGGACCTTGCGTGATGCAGCACAGCTACGCCACAACTTGATTCATCCGCAACAGGTTTTTACTGCATGTGCGTATACGAAGAGGCGTTTCTGAGGAGGGGCACAATCCCTGTTAGGCGAAGCGATGCGTACATGACTAGATATAGGATCAATGCTAGAAAATCGAACAAGCTAACCATGCGGGACTATGCACATCATTTGGAGAGCAAAAGGTTGGATAGACAAGAAAGAAAGTATAGTAATAGCATTTGAGAAAAGAAAATGATTATGGACAGTTCAGAAACAACAAAGTAGTGCAAGCCTGATAGCATGCAGTTCTCCACCTCGAAGCAGATCAAGCGCAAGTCGTATTGGCAGACATTTTGCCAAACTCATCCACGCTCGTAACAGCACCTTGGTCGTCGTATTCGATCCTGACTTGCTGGTTACTCGAGACAGATGGATCGCCGACGAGGTAGTTAAGTGGCTCGAATCGCATGGCAGAATGCGCAGAGCTAAACATTGTGTTTGGCAAATCGCCAGTATGCGGGAGGTGGTGCATGCCAAGGTTGAACCAGAGTACTCTGTGTCTTGTTAGTAAGGTGTTATATATCATCAGCCGCGATACTGATAAGGAATGGGATTACGAACAAGTCTTCCTGCTCCAAAGTCTCCTCATCGAAGAAGGATGCAAAATCTACCAAGGGATCATCCTTGTTAAACTGGTTGTTGGCATCCGCAGCCCTCGGCTCCGTCTCCTTTTGCTGAGTAACGTAAAAGTCGTGCGTCACAAAGGCACCCGTCTTGCCAGTGTTTGTCGAGTTTGTTTGTGTGAGATGGATTGTACCGGCAGCTCTCTTGATTCTGTAACCCGGGTATTCGCCGTATGGGTTCGGTGTATCCCTGTTCACAATGGCGTACAATGTGTTATCGTTCTCCGCCCAATTGATCTTGGATTCGCTCTCGTTGGCTACCCATGATCGCTCGGCTTTAAAAGTGTTGTATACTCGACCTTGACTCCAGGGATATGTCGTGGAAGTTGGCACAAATTGCAGTTTCTGCACACTGTTCTTCCTTCCGTTGATATCCAAGTCCACCTTGAATGTGAGGGTGTGGTCGTGTGAGCTACCTGAGAGAAAGTCATGGATGTGGAAGCCGTACTCCGGTTGGCCATCCCAATAGGCAGCGGCAATATATCCAGAAAATCGAGAGGATACTTCGATGCCTCCGTCGTAGAAGAAGCTGTAGTCGATCATGAAGTCGTAGTTGCCTACTGTGGCTACGGTACGCATGACAAATTGGATATTCTTTGCTACACTGGTGTGTGGTGCGGATGGTGAGAAAGAGTGGCGGCGGATCGGGTAGCCAGCATCAAACTCAAATATGCATATAGCATCCGCTTGGGTCTTGAGTGTATCGCCTTCGGTCCATGTCGCAGGGAGATATGTCGCATGACTAGGGCAGTCGTAACCCTTGACAAGAGGTTGTAGTGTCGAGCCCATACCACTTGTAGTGTCGAAGAATGTTGCTTGCGATTGGAAAGGATCGGTTCCGGAGTAGGACGTCAGAGCTTCTTGCAAAGACAACTCGTAAATGATACGTCGGCCTTTGTATTTGATGTCGAACAGCGAAAGGCCAAGATCCTGGGAGACAGCATGGTAAAACGTAAAGTCCATCCAAGATATATATCCCTCTTCAGCATCAATCTTGAATCGCTGGTCTCCTTGGGCGATAGACGCTGGCGGTGGTAGATGGTCCAAGGGCATGGGCGTTCCCTGCCTGTCAGTGGACGTCCAGTTACCCAGTACATTCGGTGGTGGTTTCTGGTAGTCGGGCTGGTTGATTGCGGCACGGAAGTCGTCAGTACTGGCATAAAACTCTCCTTTCGAGTACCAGCCAACAGCTTTCCAATTGTCCGAATTTTGTCCAGTCAAATCAAACTTTACAGCAAAACCGAGCGGCTCCACTGTAACACTGCTAAGTTTGGTACCTGGATCCGCAAAGGCCGCCGCCCAGGAAATTATTCGGCCTTCTTCATCCCAGAAGGGACTACCGAGCCGGAGACCAATGCTACCAGTAAAGAAAGTCTAGACATGTAAGCTTTTGCTGTTACCTAGTGCGTATGTCTTCTAACTTACAGTGTTGAACAGTTGCATTGAGATATCCTCGACCTCTGTCGAGAACCTCGTGAAGAAACTTGATGCTTCATTAGGTGAGTACAAAGGATGCATGGGAGTTCGTCCCGGTTGAGAGTTTTGGAAAGGAAATGTCAACGGTTCAACCGCAGTGGCGTTTGTTGCTGGTAGCGGCCCTACCAAATACTCTTGCCAGTATTTCTCCGTCGAGTTGGTGGTACCGCTTTGAATAGTTGCTCGCGCATAACGCCTTGGTGCGGTGGCATTGTTGTCGAGAAAGGGTAGAGTGTCCGTCTTGTTGGGATGAAGAAGGGAAAGCTGTACGCTGAGATGGTGTTAGTAGGCACAGTGATGTTTTGGATTGCCAGACTCACACAAAGTTATCTCGGCTGGATCCTGTGTTGCCTGTCAAGCTCATTCTCTCCTGTAGAAGCTCATTGACACTAGCAGCTTCTTCTTCGGACAATGCCTTCCATGGGTTCTCGTACGGCGCGCTCACTGTGGGTTGGCGATCGTTTGTCGGCGTATCTTGTGCCGTCGCGAGAGAGGCCAAGACGGCAGCACCAAACGTTAGAGACGATGTCCACTTCATGTTGACTCGGAACGAAAGTAAACGAGCGTGCAGATTCCGAAATGCAGGTCTCTGCGGATTATATGCCCGTCTGTTGGCCCATGCCTATACGGTAGCACAATACCCCTAAGGGCGTTTGTGCAGTCATCACACCATAGCTGGCTCGCGTCCTTAGCGATGAGGAGCTATGCCTCAGACATCGGTTCTGTTGAGCAGGCTGAAAAAACAATATCGCGGTGTTGCTTTGATGCACGCCGTGCGCTAGGAAGGACATGATCGGCGGCACGGTTCTCTTCTGCATATGTGCGAGGGGAATTCAGCTCCACACCCCAGCGACGTGCATCCAAGCGCCTTCGTTACATAATACGGCCGCTCTCACAGATTTCGAGGCAAAAAAGTACAAGTGACTGCACTGCATCGACAAAAGAATGTCTTAGGTTAGCAAGAAAGTGTGGTTGTATCATGATTGAAGTGTCACGCACGGTTGGCGACTCAGGGGCGGGGGCATCCCTTCCGAAAGCTTGGTACGGCAATGCACCCCGCAAGAAACAATAACAGGCGAAAGTGATCCAGCAAACAAGCTTTTCATGGCTACCTGTCGGTTCCAAGATTTGGTCGCCGATGCTACCTACGTGCTTCTGGAACTCTGCAAATAGAACAGCCTGCGTTTCCACGCATTCCCCAACAGCTGAAGATCGCCCCCGTCTCGTCGTTCGCCACGCCATCTACGTACGTAGTTCCAAATCGCGACGTCCCATCATTGCCTTCTCTAGTCGCCCGCTTTTCGCTTGCATTTTCCATTCTACGTCTTGTCGTTGTCACTGCTCCTGATGCTGTTGTTACTGCGATCCTTGTACCGCTCACACATCCTCTACGCAGGTTGAGGGTCGTTGTTCTTTCAAGGTTGGATCTGAGCTTCCAGGACCTTTCCTATCAATACCGCAATTTCCGGAGCTTGAGCTTCCAACTTCATCGCCATGAATATCTCTGAATTTCATCTCGTTGTCATGGCCATGTATGCCCTCTCATCCTTTGCTACAAACTTTTCTAGGGCCAAAGGGACAGTATAAGCAGGATTGCGAACATCAGCTTCGAAAGCGATATCATGTGCTCTGTGGGCGGCTAAGTATAGTCTTGTAGTCAACTAGACCAGGCCTTTTTCAGGACCTGGATCTCAATAGCGTTGGTGATGGGATCCGCGTATAGGATGAGGATGCGTTCTTCAATCTTAGTAGCCTGCAGCGCAATCTTTAGGTCGGTCTGGCAGATATTGGGGAGACTATGGACGACTTGCTGCACGGAGCGAATGCACTCTGCTTGGTGAGCTACTTCGGCCATAGATTGGATCGCCCGGCCGCGCTCTGCATCGTAGGTGGCCTCGCCCATTTCCTTGAAGAACCGAGCGCGCACTGTCTCACAAGTAGCGTCGTAAGACGGCATTACCGTGTATCAAGGGGTAATGTGCTGATCTTGGCTTGCGACAACCTGAATAAACAAATATCGGAGAGAATTGGTCGTGGTGGCAGTCGGTACGAGGGTGGCGTCCAAGTGGATCGCAGGATTGACAGAGGCAAGACAGTATTAGCGAGGGAGCAAACAAACTCACCGCTCTACTTGCTTGTACATGAGAGAAGGACTAAGACATATGACGCTCGCAAGTAAACTGCTTCTCTTGTTTCCTGTATTCTTCCGATGTCCGGCACTGCAAGCAGGAATGTCATGATAGTCAATACATTCATTCCACGTTCCTACTAAGCGAATACAGTTTACGTCTAGTGTAGATGACCTTCCTGTCCTACTTGGCTGCCACTTTCTCATTGCATCTCTCGGAGCCGCACTTGTGTTCGAGCAATCTCTAGCCTGCAATGCTTTTGCCAAATGGCCACTCACGCATTCGCTGGGGGTCCACCGCCTGCGTATATGTACAACGTGCGTAGTACCCCAGTATACAAGTCCTGCTTGCTGAACAGGGAATATATTGCTATTAGAATAATTACGTACGCTTTCCAGCGGAAAGACCCAATCATGGTAGAAGTTAATGAGTTGTTCTGGTGCGGTAGTTGGAAAGCGGCGTCACACCAGAGATATTCGATACATGGCCAGAGCATTCCTAAAACTACAGCTAGAGCTGTCATGTGCAATCTTTTGTACGACAAGCCGGCTTGTTTCACGTTCAGTAGCCATTTTTCGTTCTTCACTTCGAGGTCATGATCGCCACACCGCTCGACTTCTCAAAGAACGATCGCATACTCAGGAAAGATAGCAGCAGTGACATGTCTAACGTACATCGAATGACAGTCTACAAATAGCGACCGCAGCAAATCTCTAGAGCGTGATCCAAGCCATTCGATATGAGCGCAAGTTGAGTTCAACACCAGCAGTCCAAGCATCTATGTCTAGAACATAATCAGCGGCATCAACGATCCACGATTGTTCCGATGCTTAGACATTGCGCTGGATCGAAAACGTCTGGAACTCATTTGTGTATCCCTTCCCATGTACTTCAACTGGTCCGACCATGAAGCCAACTCATGCATACCTGTTGCAAAGTACAATTTGCGTAACAACTTTGATAGCCTCTCTATCTCACGCGACACATAATAAGACTCCGGGCCATCTTGATCGAAACCGTGCTTGTAGTAGCGATGGATACATTTGTATGCCTCCAGGACGTGGTCGAAATATGGTGATGCTACCATTCTCAGCTCAAAGAGGCCCTCTTCCAGACTCGGCTACACATTGTTAGGCGGGCGTAATCAGAAAAGGCTAAGCGGGTAGCATGTAGCGTACAATGTTGTCATGAGTAACACAAAACTCGCAGCATGGACCTGCTGCGAGCTCTGAGAACGCCCACCATGGAGCTCGCAGCCTTCGAGACGATCGAGGATTGGTACAGCGCGCATGTGAATCTAAGAAGTCAAAGCCATTCGACCACCACGGGTATGTCTGATATGGCATTTCGTGTTCTCTTTGTTGATGATGCCCAACACACCACGCTGTGAAATAATGAAAAAGCAGTGCGAAGATAGCGGTGAAGTAGAAGAGTTGACTATGATATGGCTACTGTGTGCGAAGGTCCTTATACTGCTGGTCATTGTGCTTGCTCACGTCACACACTTAATACCAGCCCTGCTTCTTGCACCACCACAAGAATCGGCAGAACGAAAAGGCAGCCCAATTGTACCACGCAAACGAAGTGGCAGTGGTGAGACAGTAGTCATGCTCTGCACGTCAGTCCAGGATCAGTAGATGTGGACCAGGCGTTGGAGAGGGACATGATCTCGTTGGAGAGTTGTTACGAGGCGCAGGGGTTTCGCAGCAAACAGCTCGACAAGCCCGAGGTTCGCGTGACATATTCACCGCTGACTGAGTGATGCTGGGCCATGTTCGTAAGATATGTGGGAGGCGGAGAAAGGCGCGTGACAAGATGGGTTAGAAGACTTTTGGGGCGGGACGCGCACCGACCACCACTTTACGCGTCGCGCGTGCTTCGTGTGCCGCTCAGTTCCTTCCATGATTGACGCTCTCACACTGTCGGCAATTGCAACGCACCCCTCGCACCTTCCCACAGCATACCCAAGATGGCCTCTACCGTTCTCGGCAAGAGGACTCGCAGCTCTGCACGTATAGAAGCTTCAGGTACGAGCCACGGCGGCTCTGGTCGCGGTTCCTTGGACAACACGTCCCTAACGCGCTCTACAGAGTCAAAATTAAACATCGCAACGCGCACAAAGCGGAGGACTCAGTTCGTTATACACGACGAAGGGGAGATTGAGAATCCCTTCGTCACTCCAAAGAAGCAAAATGTGCGCGACGAGGATGCAATGGACGTGGATGAGCCCGAGGAGAAGGCGTCGATAAAACGCGGAAGGAAGACAGGCACAACTCCCGCAAAGTATGCCTCGCAATGCACACGACTCCCCGTTTCCGCAGCCAAGGAGAACTCCCCGCAGAAGGCGCTCGTGGACATCCCAGAAAACTTTGCGCCTACTCCTTCGACACCGAGACATCGCGACGCGCTTGCCGGCAAAGTTGCCGTCACACCCAGGCACCGACTCATCATTGCCGGTCGACCTTTGACACCGCGCACACCACACACCCCAGGCACTCCACGAAACACAGGGCCGACAATCTACAATGAAGCGCGTCAGGTATTTGCAAGAGGCTCTGCCCCAACTGCATTGTTTGGTCGCGAAAATGAAAGGAAGGAACTCGACACGTTCATCACAACACGAACTAAGACGAAGACATCGGGCTGCATATACGTCTCCGGTCCGCCAGGCACCGGCAAGAGCGCTTTCGTCAACGACGTCTGTCGTACAGTCTCATCGGATGAAGCCGTTAGGACCGGATACATCAATTGTATGAGCGTCAAGAACGCCACAGATCTCTACAGAACCCTTTTAGAGGAGTTCGTCGACATCACTGAGATCGCAGAGGGCGACGAGATGGATGCGCTTAGGACTGTTTTCATGCAACGGAAGACATCTTACGTCGTTACGCTCGATGAAGTGGACCACCTGCTGGACTTGGACATTGAGCTCTTCTACAACATCTTTGAGTGGTCGTTACAGAAAGAATCAGGCCTTGTGCTAGTTGGCATTGCGAACGCGCTGGATCTCACAGATCGATTCCTCCCGCGACTCAAGGCTCGCGGTCTCAAGCCGCAACTACTGCCGTTCCTCCCATACAACGCCACACAAATATCCTCTGTCATCACCTCAAAACTAAAGGCCCTTCTCCCACCAGGCTCAACCCAACTACCATTCATCCACCCAACCGCCATCATATTCCTCTCCAAGAAAGTAGCCGCCCAGTCCGGCGACCTACGCAAAGCCTTCGACATCTGCCGGCGGGCAATCGACCTCATCGAAGCCGACACGCGCGACCAACACTTGAAAAAAGCCACAGAAATCACACCATCACCCACGCCCTCGCCCTCGAAAACCCCTCTAGTTGAAAAAGTCAACCTCTCCTGCTCAGCCGTGCGCTCACCCACCAAAACCAAAGACCTGAACAGCATCATCGCTGCCTCCCTGGGCTCCCTCACTGTCGAAACCGCACCCCGCGCCACCATTGCCCACATGGCCAAGATCACAGCAGCAGTATTCAGCAACGGCACAAGTCAACGTCTGCGAAACCTGAACCTCCAACAAAAAGCCGTCCTCTGCTCGCTCTCCGCCATTGAAAAAAGGAAGCGTGCCACCGCTGCCGACAGCATTCTAGCCACACCGTCAAGATCCCACACTACATCTCCTACCATCAAAGAACTTTTTGAAGCCTACACCGCGCTGTGTAAGCGAGAGAACATTCTACATCCTCTTACGAGCACTGAGTTCAGGGATATCGTAGGCAGTTTGGAGACACTGTCGCTTGTTTCTGCAGTGGAGGGTAAAGCTGGGTCGCTGGATGTTGGCGCTGGCACGCCTAGTCGCAGGGGGAGGGGTAAAGCTTTTCCTGGGGTTGTTGTTGAGGATCGCAGGGTTGCTAGCGTTGTTGGAGAGAAGGAGTTGGCGGATTCACTCGTGGGGCCTGGAGCTGGCATCCTCAAGGGTATCCTGGAGGGAAACTGAAAAGACGCTGTTGTTGTGCTTTTGGATCCGGTCGCATGGAATGGGGCTTGATTACGGATCATATTGTGACATCCTCGATTGAGGCTCTGTGTTTGTCTACTTGTTTTGCGAAGCGTGGCGCCAAAGTTTTTGCACCTGCATCATCGCTTGTGTTATGAGCAATAGTCTTTTAGCGTAGCATAGCCGGCTTCATTCAGGGGCATAACAGCTGTACACCAGAAATGCAGTACGATTTCAACACGATGCACTTTCATATGACAGTGATTCCCAAGATTCATCAATGGGTTAAAGACCGAACTTTTGTGCTTTTGCATCTTTTTATGTCTCAGAGGTTATGGTATCATTCATCTTCATCCCATCCATGCAGATCCTTGTATTCCAGGCTTCAAGACACAGGTCCTCAGACCTTGACGCCCCCTCCTTCCACGGCATCCTCTTTGCTCGCCTGGCTCTCTCCTTGTTCATCCGCTACACCGTCCCCACCCTCTTCCTCCTCCTTATCCTGCCTCAACGTACTTGTCGGCACCTCACTCTCCATGCCCGCCTTGCGAAACACAGCCTGCATCCAACACCTATACATTTTCAACCTCCTCTGCCTATTCACCAGCATACGTCTATCAACGCCAATGTGCGCAACCTCAAAACCCGGTCTGGGGGTCTCGGGATCATTAACGTCATCATGACTCTGCTCTCTCGTCTGCGAATCCGGATCATGAAGCGACAGACTCTCAATCTTATCCGCGATGACGCCTTCAGCCTCTGTCTGGGATATTGTTGTATCCGCCACATTGCCAACCGTCGTATCGCGTTTCCTGGCTGCTCCACCCCAAATGTCCTCGAGCTCAGACTGCTCGAAGAAGTAGACTCGCGTGCCGTCGCCGCGGACGTAGAAGTTTTCTTCCATGTACCGGCCTTTTTTGAAGCGGACCTGAGCTAGATCGCCGCGTCCGTAGTCGCGGAACAGAACCTGGCCGCCCGGCTTGAGGACCCGCCAGATATTGCGGACGGCTTGGTCCCATTGCTTGGGATTTAGGGCACTGAAGATGAATATCATGAGTACGACATCCACGCTGCCTTCTATCAGCCCTGGAGGGAGACCGCCGTTTTCAGAGTCGGGCGATGCGGCTACGTCCCATACGTCGGCTTGTATGCGTTCCGGGTCGTAGAGTTCGTGGTTACGTATAAGCTCGACTGCCTTTTTAGAGAAATCGCATGCGTGTATCTTCAGCCTCTTGTTTTGGCTCCTCTGCAAGATGGGAAACGCACTGTTGCCCGCTCCAGCGCCAACTTCCAACAAGGTAGCCTCGGGTCCATCTTCTGCACCCAGTTCCTCTAGTATTGGAAATTCCTGCGCCAGCCATTTGCGATTCTTGAAGAAGTTTGTCTTGTTGTTCTTGTAAAATTGGTTCCACCACTTCTCGGGCTGGTCGTTGTAACGTTTGCGATCAAACTCGGAGACGGGCTCTTGCCGTTGTTTGGAATATTGTTCTTCGGAGAAGGCAAGGTAGTTGGAGTCGACGGTTACGTGGTCCCAGGCATTGAATTCGAAGATGTTGTCGCCTTCCTCGAGGTAGCGCGATCCGAATGCGAAGGGGTCACTGCGCTTTTGGTTGTTGCCAGGGTCGTGGGAGCGAGAGGGTGGTGCGCGGACAGGCTGTAGAGAAGCAGGTACTCCGTAAGCGTCGTTCTCGGGGCCTTGTTGCGTGGGTGGAGATGCGGCATCGGAGGCTTCTGGCGGTGGCGTGGAAGTCGAAGTATGCGGTATAGGATCGACTGTGACTGCGAAGCGCATATGTTCCATTGCTTTGGATAATTGCTGTTTAGGCTGTGGCTTCCTTGACATGCTGTTGTCCGTCTGGAATCTGGAGTCGCCACTATCCTGAGAACTTGGGCCGTCCATGGCGTCTGTGTTTGCGCTTTCCATGGCATCCATTTTCGCAGCCGTGGCCGACTTTTGTTAGAGTCGCGTACGCGGGGCATGGGGATAATTCATGGAGGGGAAATTTCAGCCGCTAATGTCGAGAGGAGTTTAGCGGCCGCGGTCCCTGGCAGCGTCATTGCAGAGCCGCATCTCCTAGCGGCGCGAATCCACACTCAACTGAAGGTTGATGCGCTCATCGATTCTAGGCTTTCGGAAAACCTCAGGTATCATGTCGAGGTGACACTCTCAATACAAACTCCGCTGTCCACTGCTCTAGATCCACAATGGCATCCTTGCGATCCGCTCGCCCATCGGTGCACCGCTACACGCGTCTTCCCCAGCGCCTCCCCCAACGGCGAACCTTCCTCCCCAACCCTTTCGAAGCACTAAACTCCGCCCTCCCATCTTCGTCCTCGCCACCTCAAATCCTGACCGCCGTGCGAACTCTCCCTTACCCCTCGGACCCCGTCTACTCCATCATAGCCGACGTACCCAACTACCAAAACTTCCTGCCCTACTGCCAACGCAGCGACATAACGAAGTGGTCGGCACCAGATAAAGTTCATGGCCGGCGGTGGCCATCAGAAGGCATCTTGACGAGCGGCTTTGGTGGCATAACCGAGAGTTTCGTGAGTAGGGTGTATTGCATACCGGGACGCTATGTGGAAAGTGTAGGCGGGAACACGGAAACGAGCTTGAAGATTGACGATATCGCCCATCACTTAGATGGGGAGAAGCAGGGAACAGAGAGGAAACAAGGCGAAAATGGTTTGCTTACCCATCTACGGAGTACGTGGACTGTCGAGTCTATCCAGAACGACCAGACACAGGTTAGTTTGGCGGTAGAGTTTGCTTTTGCAAATCCCATGTACGCGGCCTTGAGTGGGGGCGTCGCGCCCAAGGTGGCAGAATTCATGGTCAAGGCTTTCGAAAAGAGGGTGCGAGAGCTGTTGAACAACAACCCGGACATGGTAAAGGCGAGTTTAGCGGAGCTGGATGGCAGTCGATTGAAGAGGTAGCACATGGTCTTCATCAGAGGGCTACAGCAAATCCAAACGAATGGACAAACAATCATGTTCGGTCTGTGTGTGCATCAATCGCAATAACATTCTTCGTCCACTACTTCATGCTCTCGAAATACTTCTTAAATCGCGGCTCGCGCTCCAGATCACATCGCAACACCGCGTCATAACAGCTCATCAGCAGCTGCGGGAACTTGACCGTCCAATATCTCAGATAGCCACTCGGCAATGGCCCCACCTTGGCCTTGATTGCATCCTCCATATCCTCGTAGTGGTTTTTCTTGTTCCTGAGCGCTCTCAACAGATCCAGCATCTTGTCGCCCGTATACTTGCGCTGTTTTCCGAGCGAGTTGATGAAACTCTGGTCAAGTTTGGCGAGGAAGTTGCGTCTATGATCCAGTACGTCTTCCGAATATTCTTCCAGCACTGCCAGGTGTTCCGATGGTGGGTCTCTGGGTTCACGTTCCCAATGATCCGAGCAGTCGCACAGGAAATCAAGGCGTTTCTGATCGTCCCAGAAAAAGGGATGGTTCATGACTTGCAAGGCGTTGGGGCGGTCTTCGGGCCTGGGTCGCAGCATCCAATGGATGAGACGATGGGGCTCTACGGAATCGGCACCGAGAAGCAGGCGATCGAGATTGGACTTCTCTTTTTTGATGTTGTATTCGCGGATCTGCATCCAGCCTTCTTCGTCATCGAAAGGATGGCAACCACCAGTGAGGACGTAGTAGAAAACGCAGCCCAGAGAAAATATGTCAACGGCTCGCTTGACGCCTTGCGCGACCGGGTCTGTAGAGCTTGATGAATCGCGAGAGAAGCCTTGAGAGCTGCCGTTGGCCAACTCCTTCGGTTGCGAGATAAGCTCAGGCGCTTTCCAGCCAACCGTGCCTGCATTGCCAGTCGTTCCGACAAGGGTACTGACGTTGTCAGGCAGCGTCTTACAGAGTCCGAAATCAGATATCACTAGCCGTACATCGTCCTTGGAGGTGATCAATGGCTGTGCAATCAGTATGTTCTGGGGTTTGATGTCGCGGTGGATGATGCGAAGATGGTGAAGGTGATTCAATCCAGCAGCGAGTTGGTAGAGACAAGCTGCAGCTTTCCCGCTGATCTTGTTCACCAACTGCTGGTGGCTTTCAGAAAGTTCCTCTCCTGGACGACCGTCTTTGTAAAGGTCAAACAGACTAGCTTGACAGAGTTCGACGGCGATATATAAGAAGTTCTCATCCCTCTCATCGTCAAAGTATCGAATAACGTTCGGGTGCGGGTCGCTGTTCTGTAATAGCTTCACCTCTTGCTCTGCGAGTCCGAAGTACTGTGGTAACATGCGTTTGACAGCCACCTTGACTTCCTGCAAAGAGAATTAGTATGAGATACTCATCGAGAATGCGTGGAAACCGTCATTGCTGGACGGCCGACATGCTCAATCGTAACAGATTGACTTGTTCAACGTACCTTCCATTTACCCTCAAAGACAAACGTTCCTCCACTTCCGTTGCCAAGAAGACGATCTTGGTCGATCGTCAACTTGCCGATCCGTTTGATCTCGGAGACATTCTGTACATCGCCACCACTCACAGTAAGTTCATCGGGTTGCAGGCGAGGCCCGACCTCGAGTTGCTTAGCTGCGTCCACGATGCGATTTACCTCGTCTTCTTCTTTCTGTTGATTCTTGCTGAGCTTGCGTCCACCACGTCTACCCCGATGTGCTTTCTTCTTCTTAGGAGTCGTGGGCGCGGCGGATGGGTCCTGCGAAATGTCGTCGATACTGCTAGTCATGGGTTGAGCATCCGCGTTGAGTGTGGAACCAGTTAGGGTAGGTTCGTCTTCACTAGGAGAACCACGTTCAACCGTCGTGGTTCTAGAGAGAGGTGAAAGATCTTCATCTTCGTCATCGGGGACGTTGAAAGTCACTTTCTTCTCCTTGACTTCCTCAGCAACAGGGGCGACGATATCAGCCTCTACTACACTTTCTACATTTGGCTTCTCAGGGACGACGTCCTCGCTGACAGGCACTGTTAGAGTCTCCTGTTTTACGGATTGATCGATTTCCGGCTCGGTAGAGGCAGACAGTGGAGTCGGTGACAGAGTGGCCTTGGCTGGATGCAAAAGTCTGTTGAGGTAGCTCAAGGAGGACTGTCGTACTGTTGGTTTCACAGTAGCTCCCAAAACGACAACGGCAATCATAAAGGAAACAAAGAGTGTGATGGATGCTTTTGCCGTCTGCGTTTGAGGCGGCCCTTCAATCGTTTGCTGTTGAGGGTTTTCATGAGGTGATGTCACAGGCGGATTAGACACGACTTGACCGTTCAAGGTTGGAGAGTAAGTCGTGGCGGCGATGCCTGGCAATTGTGCCTGCTGGCTGGGGATCCTGTAGTCCAGCCTGTGGACACCAATAAGGCTTCTCCTATCCGGCAACACGTAGGCTGAGTCCCAGTCGTATGATACCTGGTTCTGCTTGTAGCAAGCTGCGTCGGGTGCACCGTCGGTGACTGCGGGGTAATTGACTTCTGAAAGAGCATACCAAGCCCCCGATTCGGTCGTGTTGAGCAGGACGTGGTTAGCTTTGTCATCCGAGAAGATGGGGCCGGCTGGTTGTGGGAGCAAAACGAGGGGCGGCTCGCTTGACTGATCGTTCAGAGGCCGAGCAACGTCAAAGACACGTGCTACCGGGTAAGGCAGACGTTGTCTGTAGAGGGGACGCTGGTGCGATCTCGGTCGCTTGTAGTCAAAGGCAATGACTTCGCCGTTGTACATGGTATAAATGTACTGCTTGTCCAGGGTCTGATCGTACTGGGACTGCAAATCTTTGTCTCGGCTGTTTGGGTTCCACTCTGCATATTTGAGCGTGCATATATGCTCGTTGGTCTTCTTGTTGTGGATGGTGATGGTGTACTGAGTCTGGCCAATGTCGATGATGCCACGGCAATCGCGTTCCCGAGTGCTGAAGAAGTTCTTGGAGTCGGGAGCGCAGCTATCGTCGTAGGGGAAGTTGCCGCCCGGAGTGAAGCTCTGCTTGACAATGCCCGAGGCGGCGTCGACGAGAAGCATGAATGTCTTCTTCTCGACGTTGTAGACGACGGGGAGTTCCGGGTCATCGCTAGAGTAGGGTGCACTTTCGGCGAGTTGCTTGACTGTGACACCCAGGTGCTGTAGCTGGGGGTGGGGGCCTGGAGTGAGGAGATAGAGAGCTCCGTCCTCTTTAGGCTCGACGACCCACACAAAGGGCTGGTGGTGGGGGCTGGTCTTGTCTTCGGAGACGTTGTAGATGGTCTCCAACATGGGCCGTCCGCTTAGCTCCCAGATCTCCTCTCCATTGTATCGGTCGCGTGCGTGGATATGGCCATCGACGGTCGCCAAGAGAACAAAGTCCTCAACTTCCCAATCCTGCAGAGAACGCGCACTGGGGATGAGGCCTCCCGAGGCAGCGTATCTGGCAGGATGGGCTCTGACAGCACTGATGGCTGGAGCAGAAGGAACTTTGGTAGCTACGGCGCGCACATTCTGGTCGTTCAAGGGCGTGTAGGCATGACGTCTGTGGGCGTCCCCTACAGTGTCTTTGAGGCTGGGGTGTCCGTGGTGGGGTTTAATTGTGTTTGCATGCTGCACGTGCACCTCGGCGTGGGGAGACGTGTTGCCGACATGGTGGTCGAGTGGTTGCTGCTGCTGAGCTGCCACAAGCGTGATGATGAGAAGGGCGAGTGTGGTGAGCGTCGAGCCAGCACCGGGCGGCCGGCGCGGACGCGGCATGGCGGGTCGGTCGTGCGTCGATGAGTGGGAAGCCTAGGGAAGGCGGCGAGAGCGGGGGTGATGGAGCATCAGTGGGAGGTGATGAGGTTTGGGCGGAAGAAGAAGAAGGCCTGTGGCAGCAGTGATTTTGGCCTCGATATTAACCTGCGGGGGCTGCTGCAACTGTCTGGGCGTGCGCCGCAAACTGGGGGTCTCGCCGGGGCCTCGTCAGCCAGCCCGCCCACTAAACTCCTTGCCGACACGCCCGCCTGTTTCCCTTGTTTTAGCACCAACCTTGGCCCCGTCGTCTTTGCTGTCCACGCAGGTACCGGCAACACGGCCAAATATCACTTCAAAGCATCGTTCTTGTTGGCAAATATCTCGTCTTCCTCCAACTCTGTCTGCGAGTCTGCCTGCAGCTCGGTCTACGACACAGTCAGAAGGGGAACACCCGGCTTGCACTCCCCCCCGCCCCAACACCCCCCATGTTTCTTACCAAGTCCGACTGCCATGCTGCGGCAAGTACCATGTAAAAGTCTAAGATTCCTATTCGAGACAACAACATGAAACAGATGATGTGAGCACTTGAGTAGCTCTCGCAACTACTAAGCAACTGTTTGTTCACAGTCGCCAACCTGTCGTTGCGTGCAACTTCACTCCACATTCGGCAGTGTCCGCCCCCACTGCCACATATGTGACACGACCAAAGGAGAAGCTTGGTCTTCATCATGTTCGTCTGGATGCATTGATGTCTTTCATAGTATACACTCTATCTAGTGTCGAAATCCTTGACGACATCATGCCTGCTCACCCCACCCTTACATGCGCTCACGTCTCCGTGGTGCGCTTCGGATGATGTTGTCTACTCGCAGTAGCAACTAGAGTCGTGTTAGTTCCTTGCTCAAATCACGCCGTATTGGGTAGACTTACCTCTGCAGCCTCTGATGCTGACGACACCACCGCGCGCTTCAGCTTGTAGCTCTCAATGACGCCAAGCTCCCTCATGTCCGCAATGCCACCTCCAGGGGACAGGAGATCCAGACCTGAGCTGGTCAAGCCCGAGTAGACGGCTTTCCGGAGGCGTGTGACCAGGTCGCTCGAGTCGAAACCAGCGTTGTCGGCCAAGATGGTGGGTAGTTGTTGGAGCGCCTTGGAGAAGGACTCGACAGCGATGGCCTTCTTGCCAGCCACGTTTTGTGCCGCCTCCGCCACGGCCTTTGCCATGTTCATCTCGGCGCAGCCACCACCCAGCGTTGTCCTTGGCTCTTTGATCGTCTGTGACAGAACGGCAAGTGCGTCGTGTAGCGATCGCTCGGCCTCGTCGAGAAGTTGCTCGGTTGCACCGCGGAGGACGATGGTGCATGCCCGTCCGGCATTGATGCCCGAGAATCTGATCAACACATCCTCTCCGATGATGACCTCTTCGACTAGATCGCAGTGGCCGAGCTTGACGTTCTCTGGGTGGTCAAAGGTCGAAGTGATCTCTCCACCAGTGACTAGGGCTAGGCGCTCAATGCCGTCAAAATCGGCATGCTCGATGGAGCAGATGCCAGCATCCGCGAAGAGTTGCTCTGGCCAGTTGTAGATGAGCTGTCGGTTGACGAAACAGTTGATGCCGTGTGCCTTGATGCGCTCAACCTTGGCCTTCATCTTCTCGCGCTCAGCCTTCTCCAGCTCAGCGAGCTTGCCTGTCGAGTCGACCTTGACCCGTGCACCGAAGATCTTGATCTTGTCCGTGTCCATGGCTGTGTTGGCAACCAGAATCTTTGCGTTTTCTATCCGCTTTGGCTGGTTCACACCGAACTTCTTGTCCAGGATGAATCCCTCGTCCAGGTACGAGTCCTTCAGCTTTCCGCCAGCCTTTTTGATGATCTGAATGTGCGTGAGGTCGGTCGATCCCCCCAGCTTGAGGACGGCGTCGACGGCAAGTTTCGCAAACTGTAGTCGGTCCTGCGAGAGCACTTTTGAGCTCAGAGTTGTTCGGGCAATGGCCTCGAGATCTTTCCTGAAAGCCTGCTCGTCGCTGCTGTGGTCCACGGCAATCTTCTCCAGGGCTTTGAGAGCCGCAGAACTCGCTATCCTGTAGCCCTCAATGATAGTCTGGGGGTGGATCTTCTGGTCGACCAGCTTCTCTGCCTCTCGCAGCAGTTCGGCGGCAAGGACAGTGACTGATGTCGTTCCGTCGCCGACCTCGTCATCTTGGACTTTTGAGATGTTGACCAAGACTTTGGCAGCGGCGTTGTCGAGGGCAATCGCTTTGAGGATGGTAGCGCCGTCGTTTGTAACCATGATCTCGCCGGTAGAACTGGAGACATGTCAGTGCAGGCATCATATGGCGGGGCAGGAGGCGGCACCTACGCAGACTGTAATATCTTGTCCATGCCCTTGGGGCCCAGTGTGCTCTTGACCAAGTCTCCGACGGCGATGGCTCCTACAAAGGCCGAGAGACGCGCATTCTCGCCCTTCTCCTCTGTGACATCCTCCGCAAAGATCTGGGTGGGGTTGGACTGCGTGCGAGTGAGTGCTTTTGTTGCTTTTGCAGCGAGGCGTGCGACATACCATCTTGAACGCACTCGTAAACAGGCAAAGAGGGGTATCTCGGAAGGTGTGGGGTTGTTGGTTTGTGGTGCCTGAACGCGACTTTTTTCTTGACCTGCCCGCGTTGAAGCTGTGTTTGCCGTGTTTGCGCCCGGAGCTTCCCCGGCCAATGGTTCCACCGGCGCCCGTGACCTTTTGGATGCCTACAACTTTCGCTGCTTCACCACTCCAATTGCGCGAGCAGCTGTATTCGACCTGGACTCGTAGCTTCTTCCAGCTGCCACTCGACTGCCGTATCCTCGCGACACTTTTCCCTGCGCAAAATGTCCAAGCGACCGGCGCTAGAACCGCTCGAGGAAATGTACGACGCGCCTTCTCCAGCACCAAAGCGCGCCAAGGTCGAAGACGAAGAGATAGAGAGCCCTCAGCCCGATGGCGCGACTAGCAATGGTCATCTCATGTCACCGCGCGAGCAATATCGAGACAAAGTAGACATCACAGGCGCATACGACGAGGAGCATGCCGAGCTTGAGGAAGCCGGCGCATTAAACGACAACGACGACGATGACGAGCCCGCAATCGCTGCGCCGAAACGCCAGACTGCCCCAGAAGCCGGCTACACAGATCTATACCTTGATACGATAAATCGCAAAGTCCTCGACTTCGACTTTGAGAAACTATGTTCCGTTACCCTCTCCAACATCAACGTGTATGCCTGTCTAGTATGCGGGAAATACTACCAAGGTCGCGGCCCCAAATCGCAGGCATACTTCCACGCGCTGGAGGAGGGCCATCACGTATACGTCAATATGGAGACAAAGAAGGTCTATGTGCTCCCAGAGGGCTACGAAGTGACGTCCAAGTCGTTGGACGACATCAAGTTCGTTGTGGATCCGCGTATGAACAAAGAAGAGGTTGCGAAGCTAGACAAGGAGCCCAAGGTATCATGGGACCTCTCCAATCGAGAGTATATCCCAGGTTTCGTTGGTATGAACAACATCAAAGCGAACGATTACTTCAACGTTGTGATACAAGCTCTATCTCATGTTTCTCCTTTGCGGAACTATTTCATGCTGGAAGATTTGTCGACCCGGCCGCAGCTCGCACAGCGCTTTAGCACCCTCGTCCGTAAGATTTGGAACCCACGGGCCTTCAAAACTCACGTCTCACCCCATGAACTCCTCCAAGAGATAGCTCTTCGATCATCAAAACGTTTTACTCTCTCTGACCAGTCAGATCCCGTCGACTTCCTCTCATGGTTCCTCAACAATCTTCACCTAGCAGTCGGCGGCTCGCGAACAAAACCCAACAGCAGCATAATCCAGAAAGTGTTCCAAGGCACGCTGAAGATCGAGCAACAAGAAATTACTGCGCGTGCTGATGCCGGTGATCGTCTCCGCTTCGAAGACGCCGCCGTTCAAACCGAGATATCACGTTTCCTCGTGCTAACCCTCGACCTACCGGCAGCCCCTCTGTTCCAAGACGCCCTCGAGAAGAACATCATCCCACAGGTCCCTCTTGTCAATATCCTTTCAAAATACAACGGCGTGACTCCACAAGAAAAGTCAAAGAACCGCGTTCGCTACCGCCTCCTACACCCCTTACCTCCTTACCTCCTCTTCAACATCAAGCGCTTCTCCAAGAACAAATTCGTCTCGGAACGGAATCCAACCATCGTCACGTTTCCCGTACACTCTCTTGACATGTCACCGTACGTCGAGCCGAGTCAAGACTATCCTCCCGGCGAGCCTATCTGGTATGATCTTGTAGCCAACATCACTCACGAGGCGGTCAAGAAAAAGGATGATAGTGTTGAAGGTGAGCAGGAAAGCAAGGTTTGGAGAGTGCAGGTCAAGGATCGAGCGAGAGAGGAGTGGTACGGCATTCAAGATCTGTATGTCGAGAAAGAGAGGGCTGAGACGTTGTTTACCAAGGAAGCATATCTCATGGTTTGGGAGAGGAGAAAGGGGCAGAAACCAAAGGGGCGGTAGGCAGAGGAAGTGGTGACTGTCTTGTACGAATATTTTAGGGAGCATAGTTGGAATATCGTCTTGTCGAGGAATCAATACAATGACTCCCTGCGCCTGGATTTAGTATCGCAGATGAAGGATGTCAGCCCCCAGTCATTCGTAGCACTCCTCACATAGAATATTGCTACTCCAGATTTGACCCGACCACATCATTTTCGGACTGCCTTGAAGCTTAAAATCCAGCCAAAATCTACCCGACAGAACCAATAGGCTAGCCGGATTGACTTTTTCATGAGATGTGTGCTGTTGTCAAGCATCATTTATCATAGCAGAACCGCTCTCATACCACGTTTCTAAATTCAACAAGATGGGAGAAAGAGGGGAAGTCAAAATCTACCTTTAGGCCGTTTATATTCATCTCTATATACGCACATATGCCGTTTCGCACTTGCCATCCCCACCTGTTCCCGAGTATCTCATGCAACCAAACAAAAACAAAAACGAAAGGGGTGAAAGAACAACTCTCACCACATGATTCCCTTCCAGTCGAACTGGCCGTCGATGTTCCTCCACTTGCCCTCCTGTACAGCACTTCCCCACCCCATCATAACAGCCAGCAACCTACAACTCGTACTACTAACTGTGCAAACCACCGTATCCGCCTTGCTCAACACACTCAAGTCAAGCAGATATGCGCGCCCAACAAGCTCCCTCAGCTTCATTGCACTCTCAGGAACAGCAGAATTTTCCTCATTGACCTTCTTCATGTCCTCGGCGTTGCCAACAGGTTGTCCCAAAGAAAAGAAGACGTCGCGATAGAAGCCGCCTTCCCACCCCGTAATCTCGTCGATCCACGTGTTCTTCTTCGGCTGGGATTGCGCGGCTTCGAGAGCGGCTTTTGTGGCGAGGACAATGCGGTCTTGGGCACGAACACTGTTAGGGCCTAGTTCGGGGGAGTCGTAGACGAGGGGGTCGTCAGAGGCGAGTATCATTTTCGAGGTTGTATGGCGGGGGGTGAGGGAGTCGGTAGAGAAGGAAGAGAATGGAGAAGAGAGTAGATTGCGTTTGGCCATTTTCTTCTTTAGTCCGCCTTCGACAAGATCGATGTAGAGATCGCGGGCGGTGTCGACGTAGCGGGCTAGCGGGATGTAGTCCTTTTGGTACTGGTATTCCATGGGGTGCTTGTCGCCGTGGCGGACGTGCATGGCGATGCTGAGGCCGCCTTCGCTCTTAACTTCACCGTACATTTCCAGCGCTCGTTGGAGGACGTAGGTTTCGTCGTCTGAGCGAAGTTTAAAGAGAGCCTCATAGCCTGTTCGGGCGAGGTTGAAGATTTTCGATTGGCGTTGCACACCCATTTTTGTTGGATCCTCCCACTCGTCGGTAAAGGCATGTCCAAAGGTGGATTTCAACGTCGCTCCGCTGACGACGATGTGTCGGGCAGTGTGAGGACAGGGGACGATGTGAGATGGGGGAGGAGGGAGACAGTTTGCGGAAGGGGGAGGCTGGAAGTAAGAGGAGTACTTGCCATACGGCCTGGCGGTAGTGTCAGTGTCAATCATCCGGTAGTCAGAAATGTAGATACATACCAACGAGTGTCATCAACGAAAAAGGCGCGCTTCTCGGCTTTTGCCAAACCATACGACATCCACAAACGCATCAGCGTGTTGCCAAAACCTGCATCCTCCGTTTCCATGACATATGTCAAAGTCCTGTCACAGACCTTGAGTCCTTCCGTAGAGATACCATCCCGGATAGCCTCGTCCTCTACGAAGCTTTTGGGTCTTCCAGCAGCCTTAGATGGTGGCAACAGTCCTTGTTGTTCCGCTTCCTGGACATCAATGTAATATTGGTCTTGTTGATAGTAGTTCAACATTCTCTTCGCAAAGCCAGCCGAAGCCTTCGCTTCCTGTCTGATTTCTTTCGAGACTTCCATAGATTGATGGCAGATATCACGGTACTGCGCCGGACGAAGCGGGAATTCATAGTCGGATGGTATGGATACAGTCCACCTCATCTTTCCCTTTGCGTCCTGCAGCGCAAGGGCGACAGGTTCATGCGGCAACTGACTGCCACCAACCATCTCCCATTCTTCTTCGTTGCCATCCTCATAAGTTGCCGCTCCTTGCGAGTTGGCGTATATCTGCCTCAGCACAATCCATAGTAGGAATGCTACACCGCAGCAGCCTATCAGTATTCGCTTCACCAACTTTGAATGACTCGGCTGTGTAGTCTTCTTTCCATGCTTTGGCAGCAGACTAGGAAGGCTCGGACTCGGTGGTGGGGATCTCGCAAGTAGGCCACGTCTCGAGGGGACCGTGGGAGAGAGGAAAGCACTAGAGGTAGCAGACTGGGGTGGCGGGCTCAGTTGTGAATAGTGCGCTGTCGACTGTATAGACAGGTTCGGATTCCGTCTAACATGCATCTTGGAAAGCTTCTTCGCAGCCTGGTTTAGCATGTCGAATGCGAGACACCCGGTAGACTGATGTGATGGGCGTGCGCGTCGTCACCGCTCGTGGAAAGAGGGAGAATGTAGGGTACGGCCAAGTCGAACGGCTTTCTGCAGTGCACAGTGCTACAGTGATGACGAAGCTGTAATGCCGATATATGCAAGTAGGTAAACGTCACCTCTGACCCTGCAGAGAACGCTCCAACAAGCAAGTAAAGATGTGATAGTAGTCAAAGGAGGGGACGTAGGCACCGCCTATCAAACAAGCAAAACAAGTAGAAGAAAAATAAAGTACAAGAATGTATAACTCAATCCCCTCGTTCGCTCAAGATACGAATCAAAGGAAGAAGGAGTAGAAGGACGTTCAAGAAGCCATTCGAAAGGGCGGGCAAACCTAAGGCGTGTCTTGAAGAGAAGGCCCCTCCTGGTGCACGACGAGTTTCACAACCAGAAACAATCCGATGTCCGAGCAGGATCCCGCCGTAAAATGATCTCCATCAAGGAGCGCCCGAGAGTCCCTTGCACAGCGGATAAAGCCAGTAAGCGGCCCAAGGGTATAGAAGCGACGACTCGAGAAGCGCTGCGGAGACCAAGATAGGATCAAAGGTAAGATTGCAGAGATCGCACTTGCTTGATCCAGGAAGGTTACAGCGAGAATGCGGAAGGCGCAGGAGGGGACCTCATTTTGCCGCATGTGCGCGGGCCAGGGCGTCGTTGTTTCAGAATGCCCCTCTAGTGCAACGTTGTTGACGCACTGGTGCTTAGTCGACTGATCGCGCTCCGGCGCTAAACGCCTTTGATGCTAGAGTTGAGCAGCCAAAACCACATGACAGTGACACCACACCAATGGTGGCTTGGGATCTTTGCAAAGGTAGGCTGATTTGTCTGCTGCAAGTTTAGGGTAAAGGGCATGTAGTCAGATGTATATGCACACGTATTAAAGGAAGTTTGCTATTTGAGAATGTCATGCTGGACATGCAGTAAGACGGCAGCTGGCAATCAACTTTAAGATCCCGAGGCACGGCAAGTAGGCTCTGCTGTGCCGTACACCACGTACTATAAACAACTTCGGAGTATCTATAAATTGCTAGCATGTTGACTCCCTGGAATCCTACGAGAGGCGACTATGTAAAAAGTACCTAGGTTAGATAGCAGCTGTATGGTCTCCTTCAGGATCCCGAGGCACGACAAGTTTGTGCCCCACACCACGTACTATGAACAAACCTCGGAGTACATATCTGCAAATTGCTAGCGTGTTGGCGTCTCAAAATCCTGCGGATGACGGTGCTCACAATTAGTAAGGTAGCGCTTATCGTATTGCGTATAGACCTCGAGACGTTGTGCAACCAAGTTGTCTACACATCAATACGGCTTGTTAAAATCACATCACACAAAAACACACAATCTCGTCGAGAACAAGGTGTGAAAGCCTTCATTTATAGCTCCCACATTGTATTCATTAGCGCAACAAGAACACAATTCAACGACAAGCTATGTAAAAGATGGGGTGGGGGGTTTGGGTATCAGATCGAAAGTCCCTCGGTCGGCACAGGGGAAGAAGACGAAGAGAATAGAAAACAAGAAGAAAAAAGTAGTAGTGTTACAAAATCCCCTTCCACCAGGAGGGCTCGCCATATCGCAAATGTGAATTAAACAAGCAGCAGCAGTAGCAGCAGCCAGAAAGCCGCCCCCCTTGGATATAACCCATGTGCGTAACATAAAAATCCCATGCACGGCTATTCGCGCCGAATTTTCCTACCAGTCCATGTGCCTGGTGGCTCAAATCATTACTCCGTTTCCCCGATTAAACGCCTGTCGCTAATGTCTTGTCCCTTTGTGAATGAACATGTTGTTTGCTGGATGGGATTGGGAAAAGTGCAAGTACGATGCCACACCCGCGCGCCGCTCGTTGCTGACGTTCTCGCCTCATCCTCATTACTGTACTTCGTTTCATACCCGGCTGAACTGGTTCGTTTGTTCGTCCAAGCAAGAATTCGTACCTGACTCTCACCATCTTCTGCGTTGGGTAAGATCATGGTCCTTCGGTGACTGGTCTGAGACTGCTTCGCCTGGCAGTCTTTTCAACGCGACCAGTAATCATCTCGTCTAGCATACGCGTCATCTCCTCGATATTCTTGGTAGAGCCGTTGGTAACTGGAGGGGGTAGGAAGGGCGTCTTTACACTGAGTGCAGGCGACGTTGGACCTTTCGGTAAACTAATCCCGCTACCATCACTGCCGCTGCGCTGATAACCCGAGGTGCGCCGGCTGCCTGGTGACTCGCTGCCCATCTCATGTGCAGTGTCGTTCTTCTTGCGAGCTGATGTGAGGGCGCCGATCATACGCTCCTTATCCTCAAGCTGTGCGCGCAGGTTGACTATCTCGTTGTCTCTCTCGGCAAGAGCTGCGATCATACCACCCTCCTCACTATTTGTGAGCTTGTGTGACAATGACATGGAGACACGAGAATGGCTCGATCGCCGAGCGTGCAACAGGCGCTTTTCAAGGGTAGCGATGTAACGGTTCTTATCCGCAAGATCAGCCTGTAGTGCTTGGATCTGCACCGTCTGACTTGCACTACCATCTCCATTCTCCCCAACCGAGTCGTCTTCCTCAGAGCCGTCCATGTGGAGGTGTGGTGTGCTTTGTCTTTTACCGGGAACCTCGAGGGTCGCATGGCTAGCAGAAGAGCGAATAGAGCTTGGGCGCATGTCGTGGTGGTTGGTGCTCATGATGGAGCCGCGCTGGAAGCTCATTGAAGAGAATGATCGGCCATTGTTGACACCGATAGACTTGGAGCTCAAAATCAGCCTGTTAAGATGCTCGATCCGCTCCTTTAGGGCTGTTCGGGCTAGTTGCATCTCAAGCATCTGCTCTTCATGCCGCTGCTTGTCTTCCAGTTCGCGCGCCTTTTCTTCCTCCTTGTCTCTTTTCAGCTCGTCATCTTCTTCTTCCTTGGGTTCTTTGTTTTTGCCTTCAGCGAGCTGCTTCTTGAGTTCTTCAATTTCCAGGCGGTAGCGATCTAGAAGCGCTCGACTTCCTGCGTCCCCACCAGCACCCATAGATTCGTCGGCCTTCTTGGCGTGGCTGACAATATTGTTTTTGGCTCTGGAGGCGAATTTGAGAGTATTCAGCGTCTCACCTGTGTGACTATTGACAGCAGCAGGACTCCCACTGGCTCCGATCTGGATTGTACAGAGAATGCTGACCAGCGAGTTACCGGAGAGGGCAGGTTGAAGAAGTCGGGTCAGTTTGCTGTCTCGGTATGGCAAATGTTTGTCGCCCTTGCCCTTGTCCTTCTCAGACTTGTCTTTATCGGAAGCCAATCGGCCAATGACTGTACCCAAAGTAAGCAAACTCTTGTTGATATGGGAACCCTCAGTCCGCCTTTCTTTGTTATCAGCCGCCTTTTCAGAACCAGCCAAATCGATTAAACTGAGCGTCGAGACACGGACACCACCAGGGACAATGGCTGACCGTTTGTCGCCATTTATTGCTGGGCCGGGAGCGCGCTCTCTACTCTCAACGACAATCTGGACCACGGCGTGACTTCGGGAACTGCGCGCGTTGAACTGGGTACCCGCCACCTTTCTTGAGTTGTCACCTCGTGCAATAACCCTCAGGAGTTGCGTCGGACTCTGCACGATTTCCTCCTTTAGTGGCGACGCATAGACACCACGTTTGCTGTCCTCGCGTAGCTTGATCTCTTCAACGGGCCCGGTCTGGCCGTTCATGCCTACAACGGGTCCCGCTAGCAGATCGATAATCTTCTCATTGTAGATTTCAATGTAACTGACTCTCAGAAGAAACTCTCGCTGAGGCGTCTCACGAATGTAAGAGAAGATATCGGTGATGGCAAGTGGTATGACACCAGGATTTGTTGCAGTTCCTTGCATAGAAAACGTCTTGCCGGTTCCAGTCATTCCGTAGGCGAAGACGGTGCCGTGGTAGCCCTCCATGACCCTCCGGACAAGTCGCTTGGCTGCAGCATCGTATACGCGGGCGTTGTTGTCTTGGGTATCGAATACGTTGTCTATGTCAGACCAAATTAGCTCCAGCTCAGTCACCCTCCACTTCGTTATGCAACCATACCATATATGTAGTCTCCGCCCTCTTTGCCTTTGTAGGCTATCAGTGCGCGCTTGTTGTTAACCTCCCACTCCAAGTCGTGTTTGTTGTCTTTGGCCCCAGCATCAGGCCGTACCCGAACGCTGACAATGACATTGCCTTTGCCGTCCTTGTGTACCTTGCCATCTGCGCGTCCATCTTCCCCTTCCTCGAATGTGGTTGCGCTGGTTGCGTACGATCCCTGGGGTGAAGAGTTGCGACTCTGCGGTGGTGAGGGGAGACTGAGGTGGGCTGTCTCTACTGTGACGGAATCTGCGCTTCCATTGAGTAGACTGGGGGGTGATAGGGGTGATTTCGGTAGTAAACCTCGCGCTCCTCCAATATTAGAGCTTCGCGGCTTCTTAAGGCTGTTATTCCTGGAAGGCGTTTGACCCTTGGATATTGACGACACTCTCCGATCGACCATGTCTCCTCCAGGCGTCGAACTCGTCGACAGCGGACTGGTTGGATTCGATCGCCCACCATGTCTGGGTGGTTGTGGAAAGGAACCGATGCTGACTGTCTTGCGCAGCGATTTTCCAACGGGTAGCGATCCGGCGGCACCAGCCTCGGGTGGGAATGACGGCACGGACGGCGATGTGAGGTGCTTGGAAGTTGGCCTGTAGGGTAGCGACGACGAAGACACAGCGCGTGTATTGGCGGCGCCTGGGAGCAACGAGGCTCGCGTCGTCGGACCGACATTGGAGCTTCTTTGCTTGGGGACGGGCAGCGAGGGCAAGGGACCGGTGGGAGGAGCAATCGACGGCCGCGAGGGGCGAGGCAGCGAGTTGGCCGACATGGTGATGGGGGTGGCGCGTATGTTCGAGTGCTACTGCAGGCTGGAAGGGTGCTGGCGCTGCAGTGTTTGGCCCGATTGCCTTTGTTTTTCCAGGTGGCCTATGCCACAGTGCACATGTCCGGCGTGGCCCTCCAGTAGTCGTGACCGGAATTCGAACAGGCCGGGGAAGCAGTCTGAGCTGGCTGTGTATTGCGGGGAGGGGAGAGAGGCAGGCTTGGTTGGGTGTGCGTCAGTCTCAGACAGACAGGCAGGGACCTGGATGCGGGAAGCAAGCGCGAATGTAATGCAGCGGAGACGGGTAGGTGCAGTGGATACTGCCGTTTGACGCAAGAGGCTGGAGCGCGCTCTGGCAAACGTCGAGGGCGTCGAGGGCGGAAGCGAGGGTGAAGATGCGATACAACAGCACTCGGCGTGTCTGAGTAAGAGGTCGGCAGCAGTGTGCTGGCGTGGTGGGGAAAAAGGAGCGGTGATGGGATGGATGGTAGGATGGTGGCCGCCGAAAAGCCCAAGCGTGGATATCCCCTGGGACTCGGTGCATGTGCAGGGGCCCGACAAAGGAACGACCGACGAAAACTCCGTGCAAAGCAAAGAACGAGTGGGAGGCGGCAAATCGCTCTCGACGGCTGCGCTGTGGGGACGGCTGAAGAAATCAGACACAAGACCCTCTCCCGACCCTGGGAAAGGGTGGAAAAGGGGTTCAGTCGTCAACTCTTGGTGGGTTCAACTTGTTCCCCCCATGTTGCCTCTACGCACCAAAGACGTTAGCCCTCCGCCAGCCTCAGTCCAAGCGTACATATCCGCACCCACAGCTGCTATCTGCAGACCCTTGCCCGGCTCTGTTCGCGTAGCATTCCGGCTATATACCATTGTCCTATGGCACCAGTCCTCCGACCACCTTTGCCTAACCCTCTGCGCGCTATCTGGCCTTGCACCGCGCGCCGTGCACACTGCTGCTCTATCTGAATCTCACGGTTTTTCTGGTAGCGACGTTTCTGTAGTGACGACTTGCGTCAACGGTATTTGTAAAGCCCCAGAGGCGATCCCTGCTGATCCGCCCCTGCACAGGCAATCATGCCGACCATCCTTCGCTTCTCTGCCCCTGCGACATGCCATTGCTCTACTACAGAACCATTCGCAATCTCCGTGTCACAAAGCCTTTGTTGACCAAACCTCGACGTCGCATCTCGCTCCCCCAATCAGTTGTGCTAGTTGCGTTGCATAGCGCCAGCCTCGTGAGACGAACGCGTTGGCGCTGGCGGGAGGAGCGCCACATTGCACGTGCTGCCGCGTTTGCCTTCCGAGTCACCATCATGTCTTGCAAACGTCTGCCGGCAATCTTCCTCTGTGCGCATGCCCCAACAAACATGATCGATCCGCTCAAACGTCTATCCACTTGACTCGAGACCAAGTATGCCCCATAGCGGCGGTGACCAATAAAAAGCCAACCCGTTGGAATCGTGGGGACGCTGCTGTGCACTGCTTACTGCTTCTTCTTCTTCGGAGCATTCTCCATGCCGGCAGTCGAGTCTAGTTGCTCGTGAAACGCACAAAGGTGCCACCCTACGGCCATTGCATCGGGTGTTACCGAACATGTAGACTTCAGGAATGTCCCGCCTGAGTGGTAAGTCCAAGTGCAATGCAAGAGCATGTCACTGGTGCTGACGCTGTATACGAAGCGAGCGACTCGCCTATAGCGTACCCCATCCGAAGACACTCTGTCCAAACTTTGTAATGGCCTGATATTGCATTCCCCACAAACTGAGATCGATAGCCAACTCCAGTGCCCCGCAGAGCGCTACGCGTGAGAGCTGGGTGCCAATGTTCCGCCAGCTCATATCGCCATGGAGCTCTAGTGGATTCACAATGCGATGCGACCCCGCGTATTCGCCTTGGCTGACTAGATGGTGTGAAGCAATCATTCGCAAAGTAACCATCCTAAACGGAAGCATGGCAAGACCGACAAGCTGAGCTCTCACCATTGCACTGATCATCTGCGCAGGCTCACACGAGAGTTGGGATACGCGGTGGTATACATGGCCGTCTATTGAGCGTGCTCGGTCCCGCGGCTCCACAGCTGCATCATCTCGCGAGGAACCCGAGGCTTCTGCAACACGAGTATGAGTGGAAAGTATCCTAGGTGGTAGGCGGACTTCCATTTCTACGATACCTTCCCTTGAAGTAATGCGTATTCGAGGATCGTTCTCGTTTTGCTCGGATTCTGTTGGTGATCCCGGTGGAGTTGTGGATCGTATCAAATCTTGGAACGCATCTATTGGAATTGTGATTACATCTGCGTCGAGCGGCTCTGTGACAGGCTGATCTTGGGACTGGAGCACGGGAAGATGCAGCGGGGTAGCGTTGATCACTTGAGTACCACCGACTTCTATTGTCTGGCCATTGTTTGAAGCAGCCGTGGTTGCAAGCTCGATGGTCCGCTTCTGTTGTGTGTTTGGAGAGGAACTTGGAAGAGCCCAGCCGAGCATTGCAAGTAGCCTGTGAATGGCATTGCGAATAAGGGTTGGTGACTCCCGCCGCAACCCGAGCACAGTCAAAGCACGGTCTTTTCCGTTGGCGTCTCGGCTGGGTATGTCGGGCTTGTCAGGGCGGACGACGGCTGTCTCGACTGCTTCGTAGACACAGGCATAAATCCAGCGTTCAATGGCATGTTCAGCACATAAAAGGACAAGGGGTGAAGTCAGCACTGCTCCAATACAGTCCGTGATGGAACTGGACGCATTGTATCGCACAGAAAATGGTAGCAGAGGCGATGAGCTTGAAAAGGGAATGAGACATGTCCAGTTTGGCAATAGTGGGCGAGCGGGCACCAGGCCAAGGCGCTGCAAAGCAGCGTGGTAAAAGAAGGGGTAGCACAGAACCTCGAGGCCCAGACGAAGACTAACGGGGTTAACGAGAAGTAGAAAGGCGAACGTGGGACCTACCTAGACTTGATGGCTTTCTTGGCTCGTCGGAAGAAGTGGCGGGTCTTTGGGCTGGCACGTGTCGCATACAGCACACGTTCGACGGGCTGATAGACAAAAGTGCTGTACACGATGGCTTGGATGTTCATGGTCGCAAAGACGCGAGAGAAGAAGCCAGCATAGACAATGGAAGTGCCAGAGAGGGCACGCTCCGAGGCTGCGATGTGGCTGAAGGCAAGGGCATGGGGATAGCGAAATGTCAGGATCCTCTCCCTGATTGAGCCTATCCACCATGTGCAAAGGTTCTCGGTAAGGGTAGTCGCCAGCGCAATGGCGTTTCCAACCGTATCCTCGGCTTCGAGCAGCTCGAGACGCTCTACGCTGGACCCTGGAAAGGCGTCGGCGGGAGAGTGTCTGCGCTCGACGACGCCGACAGACGCGAGCACATCGTTTTGGGCGCCTCTGAGTTTCTTGCCATACTGGTGGGAGCGGGGGTTGATGGGGTTGCCGCGCTCGTCGTAGAGCTGGACGTAGTTGTTGGCCGTGGCCTCGTGGTAACGCCGTGGAATCTCGGACTGCGACGATTCGAGCTGGACGTATTCGGTCGACTGCGAGGCGGATTGGGTGGGCTCAAAGGCAGACCGTCCCTAGCAAGCGTGTCAGACATGTCCTCGAGCATTGCGCTGGCTGGCGGCGTGTGTACGAAAGCGATCTTGTCCAGGTAGGCTTGCCGGCCCATGGTGGTGCTGACAAAATTCAACTTTGATCAGGTGCACGCAGTAGAACAAGGTGACTGCATCTTGAACAATGCAATATAGGCGCATGCTCCAGAAGCCGAGTTGGCGGCCGGGGGGAGACGCGCCGGCGCCAAACGTCAGCGCGCGTGGCTTGCGACTGCCGTTATCGATAAACTTTTTTCCTCGAGCACTTTGCGACACTTCCCTCACCTCTCTCGGCAGAGACGCGACGCTACCAAGTCCACAATCCACCATGTCGGCCCAAAGAGCTGCCGTCAAGACGACGTACGAGGTCGCTCGCACCCTGCAGCCAATCTACTCGGGAGGCAGCTTGGCCCTCAGCGAAGACGGGCGCATTCTGGCCGCGAGCTTGGGCGAGGATGTCCTTCTTTCCGACCTCACCAACGGCCAGGAGCTGGCCAGGGTCGAGGGAGACGGCGAGGCAATCACGGCCCTGGCCCTGACCCCGTCCGCATCTCATCTCGTAGTGTGCTCGCGCTCCCTCTCCATGCGCCTCTTCGCCCTCAGGCCCTCTGACACCGACGACCAAGTCATCGAGCTCGACCTTCTCCGAACACTACGCCCACACACGTCTCCTGTCGTCACGCTAGCCACAGATCGCACGGGCACACTGATAGCCACCGGCGGCGCCGACGGCGTGGTCAAGATCTGGGACATTGTCGGTGGCTACACAACACACACTTTCCACGGCCATGGTGGAGTCGTCTCGGCCCTGCACTTCTTCGAGGTAGAGGTAGCCGAGCGTGACGACGCCTCGGAAAACAACAAAAAGAGAAAGAGAAAGTCGCGGCAGGAAGGCGCCGAGTCGGATCAAGCTCAGGGCGAGACTCAGATACAGTTTCGGTTGGCCTCTGGTGCCGAAGACGGCAAAATACGGATATGGGATCTTCACAAGAGAAAGAGCACTGCTGTCCTCGACTCGCACGTCTCCGTCGTTCGCTCGTTACAGTACTCGCCGCAAGAGAAGGTCCTTCTGTCTGGCAGCAGAGACAAGACATTGATTGTCTGGGACTCACACAAGTGGAAGGCGCAACGCACCATTGCTACTCTAGAGGGCATCGAGAGCGCAGGCTTCATCGCAGACGGCAAGATCCTGTACTCTGGTGGAGAGAACGGCCGACTACGACTCTGGTCAGCCTCCAGTGGAAGAGAGCTCACCCGAGAGCAAGAGCCTGGATCCGAGACGGATGAGATTGTCAACATCCTCTACTATCCTTCATTGCCCTACTTGATCTCGGTGCACGCTGACCAAGTGCTCAACTTCTACTCCCTCAAAACAGCAGAGTCACTCGTCGTAGAAGAGACCATCGACCCGCTGCCCATCTTCCGCCGCGTTTCCGGAACCCACGACGAGGTCATTGACATCGCCTACGTTGGCCGAGACAAGTCCCTATTGGCACTCAACACCAACTCAGAGGATATTCGGATAATCACACTCAACGAATCCGACGCAGAAGACGCGACCCAAGGCAAATACTTTGGTGCCGATGTCGGACTGCTAAAGGGACACGAAGACATTGTCATCTGCCTAGATGTAGATTGGTCAGGCCACTGGCTTGTCACAGGTGCCAAAGACAACACAGCACGGTTATGGCGTCTCGACCCCGCTAACGAATCGTATACCTGTGCTGCAGTCCTCACAGGTCATGCCGAGTCGCTTGGAGCGATTGCACTGCCGCACACCATACCCCAGGAATCCTCAGCCGCTTTCACAGACCCTTTGTCACACCCACCTGCGTATATTGTGACCGGCTCTCAAGATAGGACAGTTAAGCGTTGGGATACCACCAAAGAGATGAAGGGTAAACTGCGAGCCAAGTACACCCGCAAAGCACACGACAAAGACATCAATGCCATCGACATCGACCCCTCTGGAAGTCTTTTTGCGTCCGCATCGCAGGATCGTACGGTCAAGATCTACTCCGCAGCAGAAGGAGAGGCTATTGGTGTCCTCCGAGGTCACAAACGTGGTGTGTGGTCAGTCAAATTCGCACCCAAAGACTCGCAAGCGCCAAACTCAGGAAACAAGGGCTTGATCGCAACAGGCAGCGGAGATAAGACGGTCAAGATCTGGAGTCTAGCAGACTACAGCTGTTTACTAACTTTAGAAGGCCACTCAAACAGTGTACTGAAGCTGTCGTGGCTGCCCTATCGACCCGTCGACGCACGAGACAAGCGTGGCCCACAAATAGCTTCTGCAGCTGGTGACGGACTGGTCAAGATCTGGGATACAGTGTCCGGTGAGGCCATGTCCACACTTGACAACCACACTGATCGTGTCTGGGCACTTGTCGCACACCCCACAACGGGCGCCTTGGTGTCTGGTGGTGGAGATAGTGTCATCACGTTTTGGGAAGATACGACGAGCACCACGCTGGAAGCTGCCACAACAGCGGAAACAGAACGCGTCGAACTTGATCAAAAACTACAAAACTACACCTACGCCGGCAACTATCGCGAAGCTATCGTCCTTGCACTCCAGATGGACCAGCCCGCCCGTCTCTTCTCCCTCTTTAAATCTGTGGTGGAAACCGAGAACCCAGATACAGACAGTCTCTCAGGTCTCATCACCGTAGACGAAGTCCTCGGTTCCTTAGCAGACGAACAGCTGTACAAACTGCTCATCCGCCTCCGCGACTGGAATACCAACGTGCGTACTGCACCCATCGCTCAGAAGATTCTGTGGACTATTGTTAAGTCATATCCCGCTTCTCGACTAGCTAGTCTGAGGCCGCAGGGCAAGGTTGGCGCAAAGGGCAGTCTGAAAGATGTGATGGATGCCATCAAGGTGTACTCTGAGAGGCACTACAAGCGAGTAGAGGAATTGGTTGATGAGAGTTACTTATTGGACTTTACTCTCAAGGAAATGGACGAGGTTGCGGGTGAAGTCAAGGCTATTACGAACGGCACTTCGCAGCTGGGTCTTCAAAGGGATATCGTCATGGTTGATTAGGAGTAATATGTTCAAGGCAGCTAGCCTGGCACCAAGATTCCGGCGAGTAGCTGGGTTATTGTAGGTTCGATATGAATACCATATTTGACAATTTCAGGATTTTCCTTCTCTAATGTGGTACTTGTCTGCCTGCGTCAAGGATAGACGCCGGCCGATTGTGCCTCGGTTAATCCGATCGGCTATGAGATCACCGGCCTCGTCTCCTCACCAACCACCTACATAGAGCAAGGTGCCAGGAACAAAGGCACCCCCGGTCTCATCTCCACTCCAGATCAGTAATCCCCTTTTGACTTCTGCAATAATCCAACCAGCCATGGCTCAGCCGAAGATTACCCTTTACGTTGACATTGTCAGCCCGTTTGCTTACATTGCTTTCTACATCTTGAAAGTAAGTTGCTTTACCATGTGTCCTACGTAAATCCAGATTTTTGTGCTAGAATCATGCACTACAGTACTAACAAGAGCATTCCGAGTAGAACTCAAAGGTTTTTAAGCAGGTTGAGGTGACGTATGTGCCTATTCTGCTTGGGGGGTTGATGAAGGTCTGCGAGAATACACCACCATTGAGGATAAAAAGTATGTCGGATCTCCCCTTCTCTTGAAAGAGCAGCTTAGCTTGGCCACAGTAAGGGGGAAGCGCAACACGAAAGAAAAAGATACAACAAACGGCTCACCTGGTGGACCATCATCGGAGTCACCGTCATTGCAACTGCTTATCTTACCATCTAACACACCCAATCAGACAAGGACAAATGGATAAACACAGAGCGTCAGCGCCTATCCACTCACTTTAACGTCCCCATCTCGCAAGATACTCCACCTGGCTTCCCCATCAACACACTGCCTATCCAACGCGCCCTAGTTTCCCTCTCTCTGTCGCATCCCCAAGCCCTTGAACAAGCCATCGCCCTGTTTTACGAAAACTTCTGGGCAAAATGGAATGATCCAATCAAGCCGGAGAACCTGCTTGCTATTCTCGCAGTTGCCTTGGGTAGTGAGGAGGAGGCAAGCAAGGTGCTAGAGAGGACCAAGACGGAGGAGGTGAAGAAGGTGCTAGGTGGGAATACGACCAAGGCGTTTGAGGATGGGGCTTTTGGCCTGCCTTGGTTTGTTGCTACGAATGAAAAGGGGGAGACTGAGGGATTTTGGGGCGTTGATCATATGGGGCTGATGTGTGATCATTTGGGAATCAAGAGGCCGGAAAGTAGGGAATGGCGCTCGTTGTTGTAGAGTAAGACGTTCTCTGGGCGGACATGTGAATGGATACTGTTCAATCCCGCGCCTTTTACGACGGCTTCTGATGGACCACAGCGGCCGACTCCTTTTTTTACTGCTAACGATGAAGCGATGCCCTTAATGGCCACGACGCTAGCCTTGAAGGACATAAGAAGGATTTCGGTGTTTCTAGTGACGAGGCCTTTCCCTCCTTTCACTTTGTGTATCTGGGTTTGAGACCTGCGAGCGTTAGCGCATAGCAAGGGTATGAACCACTGAGCTCGGAATCTCCAGACCACCACTCGGTTGCGTCAAGTATTATCATGCGACAGCAAGATCTAGGCGGGTCTTGACTGCATTATCGCGAACGGAACTGTCATCTTGCGCAATACCTGACTGTAAGTTGGCGGCCCGTGAGCGCACTACCATTAACGTTTTATTCTATAATCGTTATTCATTCTTCCTGATATCAGAAAGCACAGATACTTTCTCGGGAGCTTTTCTAGAGCACTCGCGAAGCTACTTCGCCAGCTAAATTCACTGCCTTCAACTCTTCTCAATGGTCTTTACCACCCACATTCATTTTCTCAACCACCTCTCCAATTCTCTTTCAAGATGGATTACTATCGACGGAACGAACTTCCCGAGACAGTCAAGCGTTACAAAACGTATACCGAACAGTTTCAGGCATGGCTGCTCAAGACGGGAATTCAGCGCGGCGTGGAACTCGCAAATATAGTCGCAGACCAGGCTAAGAAGAAAAAGAGCAAAAAGGGCTACAGAATACCACTACAAGAGCAGGAGCAACTCGTCAACGCCATCACTGCTACAAGCGTTCCACTTGCCGACACCTCCGGTATCAACGACCTCGAAGATGCCATCCGCTCCAGGAGAGAGGTGACGCAATACCACAAACACAACAACACGGCGGATTTGGGTCACGAATACTTCAGCGGGAGCCTAGAGACGCTCATGGCGTCGTTGAAAGTTCTCGTTCCTGGAATGAACAAAGCTCGAAATCGCAAGAATGACACGCCCACATTCGTGTTCATTCAGCTTCCCACTGGTCCCAAGACAAGCCAAGATGAACAAGACGACTTGCTTAAGAAAATGCGGGAACAGGACCAATGCGACATCGAGAGTGATGGTCAGCAGCAACAAACTCCGACATCCAGGACGAAGAAGAAGGCACCAATATCAGAGACAAATCCGCTGACTGCAGAGGAAGAGCAGCTGCGCCGCGAATTCCTTATACTCTGCTTTCTCTACACTTTCAACCGCATACGAGATGTCCTCTACGAGATTTGGGTGCTCTACCACAAGGGCCTTGTCAATGCGATCACAGCAGCGTTGGTATCAGACCTGGCTCAGGACCAAATGAACCAAAATGTCAAGTCACTCGTGGAAGAGCTTGATCTGCTACCTGGAGAATTGGCCATACTCATCCACCAACTTTTCAACAAAACCAAAGCTGCTCTTGAGACTGGGGCGCAAAATTCTGCGACACTACCTGCTGAAAAGGTATTGCGCCACCTGTTCGGTCTGGATGCTGCTGCTTTGATCAAAACCTACATTACGAAGACATACCCAACAGAGGATAGTGCTGACGAAGATATACGAGAGCATCCTCTCATGCTCTTCTTGAAGTTCTTCGACGTCATTCGCAAGGGCGGTCTCAAACTTCCTAAGTGGGATCACTTTACTGAAGAGATGTTATTGCACCAGAGTACATCACAGGACTACCTGCCGTTCGGCTTGGCCATTGTCCTTGACATCCAGGAAGCTGTACGTGAGGACTACCGTCGGATGTTACGCGACCTTACCGAGCACGGTTTGGATATCGCTAGATGTATCCGTTATCATGTCGATTACGAGGATCGCATGTGGGCCAAGGGCACAAAGCCAGATTACATGTGCAAAGAAGAGATTAAATTTAGCACCATCCTTCTCAATCCTCTAGACAGGCTGTTGGAGTGGCTACAAGAGCTTTTGAACTCTCAAGAAAAGCCAATGACTGCTAGCATCTTCATCACTGTCCACTCGACGCTCGCAGGACTCTCTATGTGGCACTTTAACTCTATCTATCATCATACTGCGATTGCTAAGATACAATGGTTCATTCATGGTATGGCCCATCTATACAACGCCGCCTGCCAGATGGGTGGTCTGGAGATTCTATGGTCAGACCTGGACTACCTGATCATGATATATGGGGCCAAGGTTATGTTCCGGGGTGATCCACCTACTCACCCTAACGACTTCCTCAACCGCTATCTCCTCTCGGGCAACACTAGCAGTCGCGTTATGGCTTCAGACTTCCGTCACACGTCCGAATTTCTACCTCAAGTCTCGAGAGAACTTGGTGCCAAGCGTGGTTTGCAACCCGAATTGTCTTTGGAAGCCAAAATCTGCGACTACTACGATTCAGATGCGGACAACGATCGTTGGCTGAGGCGTCACGCAGTCTTTAACTACCTCTATCGACAAAGCGAGGATACCGACAAGACACCAGATGATGACTGTCAGGAAGCTACTCAAGATAGGAAGGGCCTACGAGATACATTCGCGAACCTAGCGGCCAATATCGCGCCTCCAAAGCCAAGGCGAAAAGGAAAGAGCAAATCCAGGGTACACAGACCCGACTTCGACAAGCAAGATGAGACCCACGCCAAACTCTTCGGTACAATGAAATCAGAACTACGAGAGAACGAGGTGCACAGTAATTTCGACTTCCTTTCCTTTTACCGCCGCGCTTACGACCTCGTTCTGCGTATCCGTAAGGAAGTGCTGATGAGTGATCAAGTCCAGCGCTTCCGCGCCGAAGACATGAATGCTGATCCAGATCCCCCTAACTTTCAACTGATAACTGATCTCTTCCGCGCGCTTCAAATCGATCCAAAAACTAAGAAAGGAGAGGAAGCGGAAGCTGAGGAAGGTGCTGGGTATCAGCTGTCTACCAAGGTCGTGCCGTTGAAACAGATTCGACGTGTCGCGGAGATGATCCAGGATTTAACTCGTAGTGAAGGTGATGTGGAGTTGAAGCGCGCGAAGTTGCGGGTCAAGGGAGATTGGGAGGGTCTCAAGGCTTCGTATGCTGCTGAAGAGGCGGGCAGGGACACATCTACCGTCGACGACACCGTCGCTCAAGTTGAGAAGGTGGTGCTCAAAACTGCTGACGACAATGTCGATTCCAGTACTACTCTGCGTAATGACGACGGCGATCATCGAGTCAAGCACAAGTTTGAGGCAGATGGAGACTCAGTAGATGATCCACAGTATACGCCTGGCAACCAGCTCACAGGAACAGACCATTCAAATAACAATCTGGGAGGCATGTTAAACAAGCCGGCAACTACAGCAATTATAGATGTCATCGGAACTCAGAACGGTAGGGTTTCATTACACAAGGAAAACGGAAAGAAAGGCGTCAAGCGCAAGCACAAAGCAGATGAAGACACCGAGAACGGCCCAGCCTATACTCCTAGCCTATGCGAGCAGATCAGCGATCCTGTATATGGCACCATCTCTCAATACGCCCTCGCCCTCTCCCTCTATGCTGGCAAATTAAGGCAAGGCCAACCTTCAAACGACCCAACCCAACAGATCATCAGTACCACAGACTCAACTTCTCTGGCAATACCCTCACCTAACGACCAACGTAACAACCAACTCAACGTCGCAGAACCCACGGTTCGCTCACCACTTGCCATCAAGCGCAAAATCATGACAAGAAGAACATACCATTACAAAACCTACTCTAGTACCACACCCCGGAAATCCCACACGACCGCATTCCATCCTTGCCGTACGTCCAAGAAGACCAAAATAGTAGCTCTATCCCAGCCGCGCAGAGGCTACTATCGTCGTCTCACCAGCACTACTAATAAACGCCATGTCGCTTTTCGCTGCTTCGCTCGATGCAGTATGGCTCGGGCGCTGTGTGGCCAACAGACTCGCGTACAGAGGCAGATGGCGATTGCTATTGCGGAACTGAAGAAGAGAGCTAGATGGGATTCGGCAGAGTTGAAGAAGGTGTGGTTGAGCATTAGGGACGGGAAGTTGGGCAGGGTTTGGGATACTGATAGTAATGCCAGTTCGGACTAAAGGTGGTGAGGGGTAGTAGATAGGGGATGATGAATTGAAGAGCCCAAGCTCAGGTTGGTAAGGAGTGGCAGCGTTGAGGTAGCACGACATTGCGATCAGGTCCAGTGACGACGCCACAGTAATGATACAACACTTCATGAAAAATCATCTAGAATTATACATACTGACATGCATTGGACCGACTCCCGATCCCACCTCGCACCTTCCTATTCCTCCCGTCCAGCTCACATCCATCACCCCATACTCAAACCTCGAACATCTTTGTAGTACTGACATTAATCCGACTCCACGCCTGCCCCCTTCTCAACGCCTCCAAGAACTTCGCCGGCCAATAAACATGATACAAGACGAAGAAAGGTACTGGATCCTCAAACAAATACGTCCCATCCTTCCACCCCACAACATGACTCCAAAATGTCGCTAGATCATTGAACGCACTCTGCAGCGTTGTCGCACCGAATAAGAGATCGAGAAGTGGCAGGATGACAAAAGATACAAGGTCATGTCCGATCCAGTAATAACTGTACGTTGGGGTGCGAGGAAAAACAGGGCCAGGCTTGTTTTTGGAGGTCAATGGGTTAGGACTGTTGAAGATGGAAAGATATGCTTCCGCCATTTCGGGCGTCTGCTCAAAGAGCACGACAGCCGTATGAGCACGGGGGTTAGATTCAATAGGGTAGAACTTCGCAGCCGCACCCTTGTCGTCGTTCTCGACTAGAAAGTCAAAACTCAGATGACCTGTAAAGGTTTCGCCACCGTCTTTGCACACACGCTCGGTGAATTCGAGCATCTTTTTGCTGAGGGGGGAGGAGGCTGGTAGCGGTTCGTAGTGCATGAGGAGTTCTAGGCTGGGGCAGCTAGTAAAGGCCTTTACTTTGCCGCGGATGACGAGTGCATGTGTGCAGTACTCGTTTCCCTTGATGAATTGTTGGAGTTGGAATGGGTTTTCCTTGCTAATATTGAGAGAGTGAATGTATTGCGCTGTTGCATCCGGTGTCTTGAAGGGGAGGAGGGTCATCATGTTGTTTCGCGCCTTGTCGTCCACTCCGATGGGTTTCATGATGAATTGTCGCCTGGGTGCTGTTCTCCCAGATTTTGTCGGGGTTCTGTGAAGCTCTCCCATGAGCACATCGAGGGCTTCCCCTGGGTGGGTGCAGCGGTGCGATTCTGGGATTGGCAGACCGAGCGATTCGATATAGTCGATGAATTTGTCCTTCTCGTGGAACTTTTCGACCACATCTTCCCGGAACTGGACGGCTTCAAACTTGCGGCCTTGTTCTTTGGCCTGCTTTTCTGCTAAGCGGACGACTTGACCGTCTTCTACGGCTGCGACGACGCTGGAGCAGCTGATCCATAAGTCGACTTTCTCGCGCTGGATGATGGAGAGGATGGAATCAATATATGGCTCCGCATCGTCGCCACTTGGTGTGTCCAGACGGTAGTATTTTGCAATAGCGTTGGAGAAGCGACCTGGTGATAGAGCAGAGATGTCGGCGCCGATGATGCGATGTGGTGTATGCTGAGACAAATTGCGCGCAATAGTAAGGCTCTTGGTCATCGACACTCCTGTGACAAGAATAGTTTTCCGTCTCCGTGCCGCTGCAACATGCTGCTTATCCTCCTTGGAAAACGTTGCATTGCGCTGTCCATGGAGTTTCGACACTGCAAGACCAACCAACACCAGCGCTGCCGAGAGAGGCGCGCAAACAGCGCTCAGAGCCAGTAGAAGCACATTCTTCCACACATGGCTATAGTAAAATGGCAACACCACCGAATCCTTCTTTCCTTCCGCCATTGCCATTGTCTTTTCCTTGTTGCTGCTTGATGAAAATGAGCAGCTCGTGACCTCGGCACTTGTTCTCGCGCAGTCTTCACCGTTTAGAAGTTTCCCAACACACCACCAACGGCGCTACCTTATCAAAAGTAAGACCGAGGAACGACTTAATTGCCCCTGCAAAAAAGGTGCAGGCTGCACTGCAATGCAAACTGCAAGTAAGTAGAATTTAGTGGGCAGTAAACAGACGGCTCGTAGTCACGCAACCCGTTCTTGCATAGGCGAGGTGATTGATGTGCGTGCGGCTGCGTTCGCCCAGACAAAGTTGTTGGCCTTGGAGTGCTGGCTCTGCACGACTAGTCTCGACGTCATCGTTACTTCACTCATGTACGACATTGCGGAACACTAGGAACTCCACGATCCTGTTTACGATCTGTATATAGTAGATCCTGATTTTGGGACAATGATCTGGCCGCGATCGGCAGATGGATGTTGAGGGGCTTGTACCGCGGATGCAGGGTGCGTGGGGTTCATGTTTGTTTATTCGAATGCAACGTGTCATGCTATTTTCTCGACATCCCGCACAATATGTGCAATACGGTTTCGCAAAGATGGATCGACAAATGCTTTCAAATGTAGATTCAATTGTTTATTGCATTGATTTGTGCTGTCATTGAAGCCTTGACGGTAGCTATCCTGCTGGTCTGTGGTCGGGTACCATGCCCATGTCTGAGTCGTTCAGGACCCACCAGCGCTGAAACTTGCGATTCATAGAGATTATTACGCGTATCCGACTATTGATGATGCTTCCATCTAACCAACGCATCGTGTAATCTCGATACCATCCTGTGCTAGTCAGTAAATGCTTGCAAAGCGTCGTCTGTGTTTGAACTCACAGGTACACCAGTCGGCTCAAAGCTGTTTACCAGCTTGCTCTCATACTTGAGATTTGGGTTGCCCTTGCTCTCGCTGAACTTGGCCTTGCCATATCGCTTCTCGTACATCTTGACATTCGTCTCGGCAATGCCGCTGAGGTTTGTCTGCCCACCCTCTCCTGCTTCCTTGACCTTCTCCTCAACGCTCGACCTGACATACTTCAAGTATGGCGGGTTTCCGGGCTTGATGACATTGTCCGCTGCCAGCACAGAGCCCTTGGTGATCAGGCCAAGTTCCTCGCAAAGCTTCAGATCTGTGGTGTAGGCTGGCTTGTAGTGGTCCAGGAACATGAGATCGACGTGTTTGAGTTGGCCTGATGCGGCCAGTCGTGCGATACCCTCGTCGCTTGAGCCTACGACTACTTTGACAAGGTCGGTGAGGCCTGCAAGATCGACCAAGGACATGATGACAGCCGCGAAAGCGGGGTCACGCTCAAAGCTGAAGTATCGCTCACCACCTGCTTTGCGTACTGCATCTGCGAAGAGAATGCAGGAGTAGCCTACATAGCCGCCGAGTTCTACCTGCGAGGTGTTAGAAACGTAGAATCGAGTTCGACAAGTCTCGTACCATGGTATTTGGCTTTACTTCCGCAATCAAATCTGTTACGATACGGCCCTTGTCCTCCCCGACGTTCATGAGATACTTCTTCGTGCGGCCATATTCGTCAATGGCAGCCAGAACGTTTTCTGGCGATCCTCGTATCTTCTCGATGTTGGGGTGCGAGTAGACGAAGTGCAGGAGCTCAATTTCTCGCCCATCGTCGAAGAAGGCACCCTCTTCCTCTTGCGCTGCATAGGCTTTGCTTTGATCGAAACTACCCATTGTTGCTGTTGTTCAATGGTAGTATGAAATTGTGCGGGCAGCCGTGAGCTCGACGCGTCCAAGCTGCTAGAGAGTGCCCCTCAACGCGTGTGGTTTAGTGCGGGGCTGTGGTCAGTAATGACGAAATACATGCAGGAACGTGTACGACGAGTGGCGCTTGGTTCGGTCGACCGTTTTAGCACGGATCCCGCTTCCGTGGAGTCGTTCTAGATGTCACTCCTTATGTTAGCACATTAGCAATTGACTTTCTGCAAATTGCTTTTTCTACAAAACCTCTTTACTGAGGGTGGGATGCCAATGTGTGTCAGACGCCATATCCTGCCTGTTCGGTGCCACATCCCCGTGTACGCGTCAAGGCACCCTTGGCACAGGTTGAGGCGAGTTCATACTATACCATGTGGATACGCGACGCTCATGTGGGTCGGATCATTGGTGCATATACGGTTCTGTATAGTGTTGACGTTGAGTTGGATGTGGCTGTCGTCAACGATCTAGAGCTTTCTGCATCCGCTAGCCGACTATGGAGCCACAAAGACCTGCCATGACAACGTACGCTTACCTCTACCAGGCAATATACCTCAACGATCCTGGCTCCGCCAAACTCTATCTACCCGAAGCGGGAACTAGGATCGAAAAGATCCCCTCGAACGTCACATTTTTTTCCAGCTTGTCCCTGAACTGAGGGGTAAGAAAAGTGCCGTTGTATGGCTACCGGTACTGCACTATCAGCCCTGCGCGCATCGCAGCACATCTTTCGACTAGCTGGCAAATGAAAACTCTCCAACATATGCCACAGAACGTCAGCAATCGAATGATGGGAATCCTGAAGTGGAGATGAGGTGATTTCGATGATTGCCCCGCAGTTTTATGTAGTGTATCTCATCCTCTCCACAACGGGAGAGACTCCGTTGTTGGCACTAAATGGATTCGCGGCTTGTGCTACGCCGATTGCGTCCTTGGCCGAAGGAAAAATAGGATAGTTCTGCTTTGTCCAAGCCCGCAAAAACCCATGTTGCATGAGTAAAGTGCATATCCCATGTGCCGGAACCGGGTTTTACCGCTGGGAGGGCGCTGTTGTTGAAGTCATTTCATCATGGCTGGCCAGTAGGAGCCTAGTTTCGCTCGAAGTGAAGTGGTACCAAGTCCAAACAACAAGGGATCCACGAGTGGCCGCATCATGAACGAGAATAATGCGTATGGTTGACGTTTGTCTGGAGCGTTGCTGGCGTGCGAGAGCCAATGGAGGCGGAGCGTGTACCGCGAGCTATATGAGTAGTCCCAAACGACATCGGTCTGTCGACATTTATATAGGACAGCCGTGCCCGTACTTGACCCCGCAGAACTCAACGTATCTCATTTACACCTTTCAAACTCTTTTCACCATGTCAGACCTCAAAGCTTCCGTTGTCGAGACCAAGAACGGCTTCCATGTCGAGGGATACGAGAAGATCGAATATGACTTCACCTTCCTTGACGGCGTCTTCAACCCTGCCAACAACAACCTAGCCAAGTGCTATGAGCGTTGGGGCCGTTGCTTGGCCGTCATGGACTTGAACATCTACAACGTCTATGGCGATGAGATGCAAAAGTACTTCGACCACTACAACCTACCCTTGACGATTCACAAGACCATGATCGGCGAGAAGGCCAAGTCCATGGAGACTCTTCTCAGCATCGTTGACTCGATGACCGACTTTGGTATCATCCGCAAGGAGCCTGTACTTGTTGTCGTATGTTATCCAGTCTGATGATGGTGTTGAAGGATGCTAATATATCACAGGGCGGTGGTTTGGTGACTGATGTTGCTGGGTAAAAAATAGCTCTAAGGCACTCTGGCCTGACTGCGTTGTTAGAATGGAGTTAACTCGTGACCTTAGATTTGCTTGCGCCGCCTACCGAAGGAATACCAACTTCATCCGTATTCCCACCACTGTCATTGGCCTGATTGATGCTAGTGTCAGCATCAAGGTCGCCGTCAACTACGGCAACTACAAGAACCGTCTCGGAGCGTACCACGCCCCAATGCACACATTCCTCGATTTCTCGTTCTTGAAGACCCTACCGGAGGGTCAAGTACGAAACGGCTTTGCAGAGTTGATCAAGATCTCAACCTGCGCCCACAAGCCCACATTCGACTTGCTGGACAAGTACTGTGAGAAGCTAATCACTTCTCGATTCGGTCGTGAGGGTGATGACAAGGAGGTCCTCCAAGCAGCGGATGAGATCAACCGTGCTGGTATCCACGAGATGTTGAAACTCGAGACACCTAACCTTCACGAGATCGGTCTCGACCGTGTCATTGCCTATGGCCACACCTGGAGCCCGCTCCACGAGGTAAGGTTACCACACCTTGCGAATGTTGACTTTGCTAACTCATCCATAGCTATCGCCCAAGGTCCCACTTCGCCACGGCCATGCCATCTCTATCGACATGGCATACTCGGCAACATTGGCGAACCAGCGCGGTCTCCTCAGTGATGAGGAGCACAGGAGACTGTTGAACCTGTTCTCGAGGGCTGGTTTGTCCATGGACCACGAGCTGTTCGACGAGGACATGCTTGACAAGGCCACCAAGGCTATCCTGAAGACCCGTGATGGTCTGCTCCGTGCTGCCGTGCCTAACCCCATTGGTACCTGCGTATTCCTGAACGATGTCTCCGCCGAGGAGATGAACAAGGCTCTGCGACGACACAAGGAGCTGATGAAGGAGTACCCTCGCGAGGGTGCCGGTCTTGACGCGTTCGTCGATGCATCCGACACTGGATACACCATGAACGACAAGCCTATCGAGGACTCCATGCACGAGTCAAAGAAGACCATGAACGGTATGACCAACGGCGCCGTCAACGGTACCGCCAAGGGCCAGGCCAACGGTCCTCCCCAGGGCCTCCAGGAGGTCATGGCTAACGGGTATGAGAACGGATATAAGAACTAGAAAGTGACATAGCTGCGAATAAGTCCGACTAGGCAAGCACATGTCAGATGTTAGCGATGATTTGAACGTAAAAGTTCTTCTTTCAAGCGGCGATGCTGTCTCCCGTCATGGAGTGATAGATTGCGACATGCTTTATGCTCATCAGCTTCTCCGAAATGAAAAAAACATTTACTCAACACATTGTACTCTATAGCTCCCTGCATCGTGAATCATGTGATGATGGTTGGCTGTGTGTGGAAGTTTGCGGTGAATGCCTCGGTACTGCATCGAGCAGAGAGGACAAGCCTGCCATGCAACTGCTCAGTGTGCGTCCGCCGCTGCGCACTATCGCCGTCTGCAGTATTGTTGCTGCGTTATCAGGGTGCCGGTGTCGTTCTTCCGTCCCCTCGCCATTGCCCTCAGTCCTACCGCTGCTTGAATGTGCCCGTGCCCGCCACGCCAAAAACCCTTCTGCCCGTGCACTGGCTTGGCGGCCCCCACTCGTTGGTATAAAAACTCTGCGTCCCTCGTCCTCCTTTCTGGCTCTTTGATCAAAAAATACAAACGAACCCAGCCACGACTATCAGAACATCTTTGTCTTTTAGTTGCCAGTCACTACGGTGGCGTGGGGTCGGAGAGCGATACTCCTGTAGGAAGCTGCTTTCTCGTTGGGTCGTCTTCAGTGATGGCGATGAGTCTGCGGTGTCGATTTATTGGGAGGACATATATTTGTCTTGTGCACACTTTGACTTGAGTGAGGGGCGCGCAAGCCTGTCGCATAAGTGTGCTATGTTGCTTCGGGCTAGTCCCTGTGCAAAGTGCTTGAGAGTATCTCACGGCAGTCTCGCTATCGATTGCATTCGGATCTGAATAGGGCGGTGTTAGTTATAGGCCTCTATTCAGACCTTGACAATGCGAACTTGCGAAGAGAATTGAGCCATGTTCAAAAGGAAGTAACAAGTATCTGCACGCCGGCCACTGTAGTTCCTTGAGAAACACGGTCTAGTCATTAATGTCATTTGACTATTTTTTCTCGTTATCTATCATGCTCAAGTGTCATAATCGTAATGGCACCCATGTCTTTTGCATAAATCATCCGGCGGAATGCTCTAGCTTTCGTCAATCCATAGCCCTCTATGGAATCGCAACCTTTACATCGTCCTCGTACTCCACATCTTTGATGCCATCCTTCGTTATGACCTTGACCAGCACGCCCTTGAAATCGATCGGAAGACGTCGCTTGAGCTCCTCGGTGCACATGCGCATGATCTTCATGCCTTGTTCGTAGTCGATATCGGGATGGTGGTGCTTGTCGAGCAGGGAGAGACAGTAGTATCTGCAAGTGGTGTTAGCACAAGATGCTTAGATTTGGGACCATGCAGAAGAGCAGGGAGTGCTTCAGCAAAGACAGCAAGAGAGGAAACATACTGTGCGTATCCGTGTGCAGCATATGGCAGTGGTGCTTGACTCGCCAAGTAGTCGATCCAGTACAGTGTCGGCTTGTCGGCAATGGTATCGTATCCGCCCAACAGCAGGTTGACCGTGTAGGGTTTTCTTGACCGTAGCGCTGACGCCAGTTCTCCTCGGACGAAGTTGGCTGTTGCGGCAGGGGAAAGCTCCATGTTGTTGCGCATGGAGTATAATTGTACGTTTGCCTGGATGTACTCGGCGAATTGGACTGCATCGTTGTTAGCTACCGCCAAGTTATCGTGGCTTCTTCTTGCGTCATACCAGTGTCACCAGCCTCTCCAGAGAAAGCCATCAAGGTATGTGTGTTGAGTACTCGCGTCTTGTCGTCGGATGCCTTGAGGATGGTGGCGCCACGCATGGCGGCTTTGGAGGCGGCGATGAGGGTGAAATCCTTGCCGGTGATTCCTAGTAGGACCTCCCTGTACAGTGGTCAGTACTGGAGCAGGAGACGTCAAGGCGACTTACATTGTGATGAACTTGAAGTGGTGACGGTAAGTGTGTTGGAGGGCGACTTTCGTCGGGCTTGGAGAGTCTGGTGGGAGGGCGTATGAGCAGGCAGGTGACACGAGTCTTGTCCTACGAGCGAGTTGACGTAGTGGCGAGGACGGTATTGGTGTGGTTATACGGTGATGTTGAAGCCTCACGCGAAGGCAGCTCCCAGCGTCGCGGCCGCCGTACACATGAAGCTTGGGCCAGCTCGGGCTTGGCAGAACTGGACTTGAATGTGAACAGGCACGCCTGGAGTCGTGAACAAGAAGAGCTGTGTCCACTCAGACCTGTGCAATACCTCACAGCTTTGGCTCCATTCGGTTCGTGAACCATGTTCAATCAACTATTCGTCATTGACGACGATGTTTCATACCAGAACAGCCTGAGATGCGCGTCGCCTCTACTGCTAGCCCGCACCAACATGAACAAAGTACTTCACAATGCTGCTGTGCCCTCTACCGACCTGAACAGTCTTTTTTTTCTTTCTGTTGCGACGACCTGCCGTAATTCTTGGAAGCCCAAGGTAGATGTGCAATCTTCGCATGATACAAGAGATGGATGAATAGCCGTGATGATGCTCACAGGATACTCACGGTACCTTGCGAACCTGCAACATTGGCTACAGCTGCATGCAACAAACCAAACAGGTCAACGTTGTGTTGGGCTGGTTCTGCATCTACTCGAATCCTTCACCGGTGCCCATGAGAGCTACTGTTTCGCCTGGCTTGGCTGCGAAGACGTTGTATCGCACTTGTCTGACATTCCTTGGTATTTCCTCAAGGAGCGCTCTGAAGTTTTGAATCCCGCAGGAGAAGCTACCTTGGACGACGATCTCCCGTTCACAACGGACAGGGCCAAGGACTGCATGTATCACCGACATGTATCAATTGTATCCCACAGACCCCCAAACCAGCTTGCGCGTCGTCCCACTCGATGCTTTTGCGATAATGTTAATGCACACTTTTACAAAGAGGCCGTGGGTGGCTACCAATGAGGCGACGGCGTCATAGCGGGGCTGAATTCTGCTGAGCAACCCCTCCAAAACCTTGCTGGACTCTTAAGCTCTGGAACACCCCACCCAAACAAAACAACACCGACACTTGATCTTACACATACAACTAGTAAGTCGAATTTTCTGCTCGGCATCCTATCCGCGGCCGGACATTGCTGCCCGCGCATCCGGTCGCCTTCTATATCTCCTGCCTTGCACTTTGCGGCTCCCCAACTCTCCAATTGACTTTCTCAACAGCAATCCTTCACCATGACCATCACCAAGATCCACGCCCGCTCCGTCTACGACTCTCGGGTACGTTTGCAGACATTTGTGCTTGTCAAGCTTCGTTGCTAACATCTCCAGGGTAACCCGACTGTCGAGGTTGACATTGTCACCGAGACCGGCCTTCACCGCGCCATCGTCCCCTCCGGTGCCTCCACTGGCTCCCACGAGGCTTGCGAACTCCGCGATGGAGACAAGTCCAAGTGGGGTGGTAAGGGTGTCACCAAGGCTGTCGCCAACGTCAACGACACCATTGCCCCTGCTCTCATCAAGGAGAAGCTCGACGTCAAGGACCAGTCCGCCGTAGACGCGTTCCTCAACAAGCTCGATGGCACCACAAACAAGACCAACCTGGGCGCCAACGCCATCCTCGGTGTCTCAATGGCCATTGCAAAGGCCGCTGCCGCCGAGAAGGGTGTACCTCTCTACGCACACATCTCCGACTTGGCTGGCACCAAGAAGCCCTACGTTCTCCCTGTACCCTGTAGGTGAACTGAAGTTGACAAGTAGAGGCATTTTACTGACTATGCAGTCCAAAACGTCCTCAACGGTGGCTCGCACGCTGGTGGCCGTCTTGCTTTCCAAGAGTTCATGATCGTTCCTTGGTAGGTCATCTTTCCGCATACAGTTCTAGCCCATACTGACGACCTCCAGTGAGGCCCCTACCTTCTCCGAGGCCATGCGCCAGGGAGCCGAAGTCTACCAGAAGCTCAAGGCCCTTGCCAAGAAGACCTACGGACAGTCCGCTGGAAACGTCGGTGACGAGGGTGGTGTTGCCCCTGACATCCAGACCGCCGAGGAGGCCCTTGACCTCATCACCAAGGCCATTGAGGAGGCCGGCTACACTGGCAAGATCAAGATCGCCATGGATGTCGCATCAAGTGAATTCTACAAGGCCGACGAGAAGAAGTACGATCTTGACTTCAAGAACCCCGACAGCGACAAGAGCAAGTGGCTCACATACGAACAACTCGCCGAGATGTACAAGTCCCTGGCCGAGAAGTACCCCATTGTCAGCATCGAGGACCCCTTCGCTGAGGATGACTGGGAGGCTTGGTCTTACTTCTTCAAGACCTACGACGGCCAGATCGTTGGTGATGACTTGACCGTCACCAACCCCGAGTTCATCAAGAAGGCCATTGAGCTCAAGTCTTGCAATGCTCTCCTCCTCAAGGTCAACCAGATCGGTACCATCACTGAGGCCATCCAGGCTGCCAAGGACGCTTTCGGCGCTGGCTGGGGTGTCATGGTTTCTCACCGCTCTGGCGAGACTGAGGATGTCACCATTGCCGACATTGTCGTCGGACTGCGATCCGGCCAGATCAAGACTGGTGCACCTGCCCGATCTGAGCGTCTCGCTAAGCTCAACCAGATCCTCCGTATCGAGGAGGAGCTTGGTGACAACGCCGTCTACGCCGGTAACAACTTCAGGACCGCCGTTAACTTGTAAGCGCTTCTTTTGCAGGGTCCGGTAGTGTTAGCGTTGTGAGGAAATGCGACGAATAATGAGTTAAGAGCAAAGGAAATATGTATACAAAATGCAACGATATATCCTACACCATGATTTTTTTATTTCGCATCGAACACTGAAGCGACTATTGCTCTGCTTGCCATCAAGTTTGACTTGAGCATAGCCTCAAGAAACACAATGCTGCAACAATTCCTGGAGCATTTTCGCACGAGGTAACTGCGCTTCCAGAGTTGGACTGTCGAGAAACTCAGATGTCAGCAGATCAGGTCAACTGCTATAGTCGTCGCAATTCTCCAACACAGTAGCCTCTTTGCTTCAAGCTGCCAGAGCTGGTATAGACGCAGCCTCACATGTCGAACCAATCCAAGCTACTCTCAGCAAGCCCGGCAGTATACAAATGCCAACTTCTGCACACTTCCCAAACATCAACACGAAAAAGCCTTCTGGGGCAGTAAACATACATCTTCTGTGCCAGTCTGTAGTTCTGAACTCCTAGTAGTAGATTCCATAGCATATGAGGATATGTCGTGGCTTGCAGGATCGGTAGAGGTCTGGAGGCATATTACTACATGTGCAGTTGACAACTTGGAGGATGAATGTGCTCATCTGGACGATCATCTCCAAATAGAATGGTATGGTAGAAACATGTCCTTGCATTACTGCTGCCTGGTCCATTCTTCGATGACAATCTAGATCAAGTTCACCACTCACAGAGCCATTGCAAAGAGTCTCAGACCTTACCCAGTTTGTTCATGTTACTTCTATCACTCATGCCCTCAGCTACTCCCATCTTTCTAGCCCCATCATCCCCGGTCGCCCAACAACTTCACATTCCGCCCTGTCCTCACACATAGGCCCAATACCGTTCCGGCTACTATACGCACAGCAGATCCAATCCCCACCACAGTAGTTTGGGACCCAGTAACCCGTTGCATTGCAGTATCGGAAGCGGTCGCCGAAATGGTGGCATTGGGCTACACCAGGGAGGCACATGGGGTCAATTTGCCAGAGCGCTGTTGTGGTAGTAGCGGGGAAGGCGGCAACTGTGGTGCTGGCTGTTCTAGGGGAGGGGAACGTAGCCCAAGAGGATGTTTCGATGGTGGTGTTGGTGGCCATCGTCGTTGTTGCTGTTGTTGTTGATAGTGCTGAAATAGTACAAGCGGACTTTGCGATGGCAGAGGCGATAGCGGTGGAGGGTATTAGGAGTATGATGATGAAGGTGGTGAAGGAGAATTGCGGGGCTGCGAGTGATGGATGCATAATATTTTTTGGGGGGGAAGTAGGAGAGCATGGAGAGTTCGAGTCGCGTATCAAGTAGGGCGATGGTAGCGTTGAATGTGTTTGAGATGTACTTACCTGTTCACTTGTTTGACTTGGTAGAATGTGATAGCTGTTGTGTTTGTCATACGTACTCATACCGATGCTGATGTTGTGATCAAATGATATCACATCTTGAGCGAGGTGTCGACGTATACGTACGCTGGAACGACTTACTTGTGTTACCTTGTTCCACGTATCAAAAGGATACAGCCCTATCAAGCCTTGCAATGCTCATATATTGGGTGATTAGAAGCTACCGTCAAAGACATTTTGTAGCATTGCATTTCCAGTTTGTTGAGTGAGTGTAAAGACTTCGGTATTGTCACACAGGATCGTCTGTGCACCCTACGAATGATTTGATATGATCTGTCCTACAGACAATGTGATTGAATGTGACTGTCTACTTCTTGATGAGACCGACCTTATCCCGACATCCACCGATTCTGTACAATATGCTTTAGTATATACTTCGACACCCAGAGTAGGCGGAGGCAAGCTCGTCGAGTCTATCGATGTTTAACTTTGCGACACGCCGACTTTTCGATGCTCTGTGCATGGTGTAAGGAACACTCTCACGAAGCAGCCGAGCAGGTATTCGGTCAAATCTCGGTGCTTATAGTAGTAGTGATTCGTGCCGCAAAAGACGTCGTGCTCTAACCTTGAGACGGTCCGGAACTCGGCACGTTCGCGGCCCGGACTGTGCAAGCCATCAATAGACCAAGTAGACACGATGGTATATAGTGGGATAGAGATGTTCTGGACTCTCCGTGGCTTCACGACAGCCACATTCGAAGTTCATGACGCGGTGCAACAGTGAGAGGCGCAAGGGGTGTGCAGGAGCTACCCAAAGTCTGTCAAAGTCTAGGCGTGTCATCATTGCCGTCTAGCTTTGGTCGGCCGAACAAAGTGCACTGTCGCCCTGAGCTTACCGTGCCTGCTTTGTGTCTTGGGCGGAGTGGCAGGGGACATCTTGCTCTGGAGCGGACCGCAGCCGTTTAAGATGTTGCGGCTCATGCGGTGTCGTTGACTGCAAAAACGATTCATTATTTGTGGGCATGAAGATTGCAATACCGTCTGGACTGCGCGTTCTCAATTAACTAATGTCAGCTGTCGATACAAGCGTATCATGTAGAGCACGGTCGTGAAGCCCTTGGTATCGACGAGACAGACCAGGCGCCCGATATGGGTAGGTCCAGACCGTTGCCAA